ACTTCTTAACCAACAAAGCGTCTTCTTTTTTACCAATATACCAAGCGATTGTACAATAGAAACCAGAATTTAATAACTCTTCATTAGAGAAGAAACAAATTATGAATCTGAAGATTGAAAGATTGTTTTGTAATTCAGTATTATCATAATTATTACCATCATCATGTCTTTTGTTAGCGTTGCTAGTATTGTAAGTTTTCACAAATATGATGAATGTCACACCAATTGTGATGCAAGTAATTATTTCGGTATGTTTGTAAGTGAAGTGTGCTAAAGAGCAATATGTTTTGCGCACGTAATGCACAACGGATGGTAAACGAACTATACGTTCAGGGGTCAATTTAATAAAACTTCTACATTTGTAATCTGCAAGTTGGACCGTTGTATTTACAAGTGCAGACGAAAACGAGTTTAATAAACATCGTTACAAGTCCAGGTTACAAGTGTCCGACTTGTAATTACAGGTGTATCGCTACAAGTGTAAAAGATGATAAGTATCAAATTTAATAAAACTTTTACAAGAGTCCGACTTGTTTTTTTACAAGAGTCTGACTTGTAAATCACAAGTGAAAAATACATGTCGCATGTCACTTGTAAACATTGAATACTTCTTCTGAAAAAGGACATTGGAGCATCACAACATGTCATCCTTGAGTGAAGGGGAACTCGTCGAGCTGCTTAGACGTCAAGTTATCCGTCAACCTAGGAATTTTCAAAACAGACGGCTTTTCGACATCGAAAATCCAAGGGAATTTCGAGAGAAGTTTCGTCTGCCTGTGGACGCCTTCGTCCACCTTTTGGAATTAATAGGCCCGCGCTTGGAGCATAGAACGAGACGTAACAGAGCACCAACGGCAAGACAGCAACTTTTAGCATTTCTCCATTTCCTTGGAACAAATTCCTTCTATCACGTAATGCACTCTTGTCATGGGATCTCCACATCAACAGTATGGCACATCATTCATCGCATTGTTCCTGCAATACTAAGCTTGAAGCGGGAGTTCATACGATGGCCTGGTCAGCCTCTAAGTATCGCCGCTAAATTCAGAGACATCGCGGGCTTTCCGTGTGTCGCAGGATGTGTTGATGTAACTCACGTTCAAGTGAACCCACCTCGCAATAATGAAGACGCCTACGTCAACCGACATCATTCCACATCTCTGAATGTCGCCATGGTATCAGGCCCAGATTACACAATCTACTTCTGTAGCAGTCGATGCCCTGGGAGGTGGCATGATTCACGTGTGATTAAAGAAAGCTCGCTGTGGACCGCCTTTGAGCAACAGGGGAATAGACCATTCCCAGGAGCAGTTATTTTAGGCGACTCTGCCTACGCGTGTAACAGTTGGTTGATCCCCCTTTCAGAGGAGACGTAGAAGGGGCTCACCGCAGGTTTAATGAGGCACATAAGAAAACACGATGCACTATCGAGAGGGCATTTGGCATTCTCAAGAAAAGGTTTTACGCTCTCCAGACAGGTATGAGTGAAAAACATGACAAGAGCGGCCGAGCTTGTCCAGTGTGCTGTTATATTGCACAACCTCTGCATTCTATTTAGCGATAATGGCGATGATCTGCTGGACGATGCAAATCTCGACAATGTCCACGATGAGTTGGATATCGGTTCTGGAGAGGAACAAGAGGACAGAAGACAGCAGCTGCTGCAGCACTTCCTTTAAATGTGAGGACTTATACAAATTACGCTGAATTTAAAACTGCCACTGTTTCAATATCGTGCCAAATAAATGGGCCATTTTTCTATTCAATGACGGTAATCATTACGTTATATTGCACAAAGTACACTTACACCTAACTTCCAAAGGAAAAAGTGAGTGTACATGTAGGTCATAATTCTGATATCGCCCATCACCAATTTACAGTATTCCTCCGACTATCAGTAGCATTATAATACAATAAGTTCGGCAAATGTCCAAAGGCTACTAATATAATCAATTTAATTTACATTTTGGATGCCGTTTAATGAAATTAATTTTCAAGATCCTTTCTGAGTTTTTTTATCTCCAGTCTCAGCTTAACGTTTTCTAGTTGGAGCTTTCTCTTTCAAAGGCGCAGTATATACAATATCCGAATCGTCGACTTTCACGGGCTCTATGTTTGCACTTTCGCGGCCTAAAAACATCGAGGATAGTCTCGTCTAGCTCGGTGAGCTCTCCACTCCCCCCTGTACCAGTCTTCTTAGATTCGCTAACTTTTTTGAGAGTAGCCCTGCGAATATTGGCCCATAAAACATCTCGAAGTGTTTTGGCGCTGTCTATGTTTGCGCCAACGCCGTTTAATTGCCTGCGAATCTTTTCCCACGCTTCTTGCTTTACTTTCTTCGTTACTGTCGACGAAAATGGCGCCAAAACTATCAATTTATGTTCCTTGACAAGCTGAGCCAAAAGCAACTTTTGCTGTTTGGATAACATGCTCAGCGACTGTTTACGAATAAAAATGAAAGCAAAGGAAGCAAAGCCGCATGTATTGAAAGGACAGCAGCGATTTTTAATTGCATATGTAAAAAAATCGCGTATTACATTCTAGCGGAGTTTACAGTTGTAAGGTCTCAATGGGGTTAACCTTCCTATAATTCTACAATTGTAATTTACACTTGTGCACTGACTCGAGATACACGTGTAAATTCCAGTGTGGAATATTGTTTTATTACATCCTTGTATTTACAAGCCGGACTTTACCCGTGTAAATTACACGTGTAAAAGCTACAAGTGTATTTTCTTTATTAAATTGAACCCAGGTTAGTTATTAATGTTTGTAAAGGTAATGACGTGATTTCGAGGGCAATTTGGTGTCGATAAGCACGAGTGAAATTTTAAAAAACAACAAAATTGGACGAGCCCGTAGGGCAAGCGCAATCAGTAGTCTTTGAAAAATTACAAGCGCTTATTACACTAAATTGCAAGGCAAATCAAGTTATTACTTGTTGATCATGTACGTGAAAAGAAAAAAAAAGGCACAGAAGGTCAAGACAGACGAAATTTTGAAAGCGTGCGCGTGCTATTTGTAATTTGCACTCGTACTACAACTTTGCACTCGTGTTACATGAGAATTCAGTCGTTTTCAGCCAATCAAAAGCGCGTAGTTTTGTCATGTACATTGTTAATAGTGTAATTTTGACTCGTTTTGAAATTAATCTTCATTAAGTAAGTCATACTGGCCATATAACTTATTTGTAGTGTTGTTCTTAGTGTAACTGATAAATAATAATGTAATTGAAATAATGGGTGAGTAAAGAGTAAAGATCTGGTGGGTGAGCTTCTGAGTCTTATGAACAATTCCAGAAAATTACATTTGCCATTTTAAATTTCAGAAGCCGCAAATGAGTGGACAGAGAATATGCCATAATTTGGTGGTGAAGACGGTGTGGACCTAGAGAAAGAACGAGTTAAAGGCCATTAGCGTAGATGCCCAGAACCCAGAGTCATTGTGAACCCTGTGAAAGGTGCGGCCACTGTGGACAACATGACACGCAGAGTTCAACGACCCGCGAGAGACGTTGACACTTAGATACGGAGACTGTTGAAAAGACAGGTTATGATTAGAAAATCGTCGACGTAATTGAAAATTGCTTGGAAACCATGTCTAGACATGGTGTAGACAACATCATAAGAGAGAGGATCAAGAATTATTGGAGTGCAGGAATGACCAGAGGCGAATATCCACGAGCTACCCATAGCAAAAAGGGTTATTTCTTCCAAAAATCTAGCGAAATCTTTGCGGCTGACAATGCCGAGGAGAGACAGGCACCCAACACCAGACAGACTCGGCATCAACGATAATGTAGAAACAATTCGTCTAGGAAAAGGACACTACAGTGTTGATAGACTCCATCCAAAAAGACTCCGGTTAGCGTTTGCTGTGATCACGAGGTTGGTTGCAAACCATAATCGGGCCAGATTTCCCTGAGCATTTTGAAGAAACGCGACTAATATCATGGAAATGTCCTCTATACCTGAAGTAAACTCAGTGCACGCGGCACTAGCATATAGTTAGCACTAGCATAGTTATCTTTACCGTGACTATTCACACAAGAAAGGTCAGATTCTGGGATAACCTCAAAATCATTTACAAGGCCATCATAAAGAAATACTCTGAGTCGTGCAAAAGTTCCTTATCCCAAGCGGGGAATTTCAAGTTTATCCTCCATCAGGGATGAGCTACAAAAAGCGGAGTCTTCAAGCGGATGATTAACTACGCAAGCAGGAAGTCATTTGTCCGATTTTTGGTAGAACTAGTATTTGAATAATGCATACAAACATGCTTGAACTCCCAATGCTGGGGGGAAATAATTAGGGGCTATTATTCCAAATAAAACGCAACCCTTTGCTCGAAAAATACAATCGTCAGTGGCATGGGAGGGAGAAGATGGTGTCCGGCATAACGTTCTCAGGTCGCCTACGGTACTTCCCTAGCTAAAATTGCCTCTCGATTTTGTGGCACGATAGTCTTGATCAAATTCTATGATGGCCAAACATTTCAGATAACCGAGGGCAACAACCTTTGAATTACCAAACGGAGCTTTACTTTTCGCGAGCTTGTCCTCCAGCTTGAATGGAGGAAGCGAGAAGGCTGCGAGGATGCCTCGAGTAAACATGAAGTCAATGTAGACACATAGTGGTGATCAGAGAGAAAGATGAGGATTGCTGCTTAGCAATATTGGGGATGACTCAGCGTAAAAGCATTTTCTGGCCAACAACAAGTCATAGTTCCATAGTATCCTGGTCGGTTACCTTGGTGAGAACAGACTTACTGTCATTATTTGGTGCTTAGCCAAAATTTTCATGAGACAGTCAGCAAATTTGTGATCGAGGCAAATCTTAGTCAACTCGTGATATTGCGGAATACGAAACGAGCGCGCATGATAACGGAACAGCTATAAAAGTTAAACGGTATCGAAGAGGTAAAGAATTCGTTTACGCACTCTTTATTCTCGCTTAGAGGCATAACAGTAATTATAGGAAAATGTGCATCATCATTAGGTTAAGTGATCTCACCAAGGCAAAAGCAAAGAGATTAATTTTTATGGTTAAGTACAAATACTTTCTTTTGCTAAGATTAAGCTCTTCGCACTAACGAAATCACATGAGAAAATTTGATTGACAGACTTCAGTGGGAAATATTAACTATATAACAGCAGAACGTAAAACGTCAGCAATAAATTGAGACAAGAAATGGCAGTGACCCATCTAATTCATGTGACACATCTAATTTACATTGAAATTGCATTGACATTGTTATGCCGGACGAGACCTTGAAGAGGGCACCTCATCGGCGATATTTTGTTTTACACCGATGCAGGGTTGTTGGAGAGAGCAGTGGAACACCAAAAATTTCTAGGACTAAAAGATATAGGTGTAACATGTGTTACATTTTCGCAATGAATCAAGTCATGACTTAGAATGAGTATTTTAAAACATTGATTTATAAAACAGGAGTGCCTTAAGCCACTAATTTGCTCCAAAAGCTTTATAGTTGTTGACAGCAAGATTTTGCGAAGGCCCTTCATTACGTGAGGCTATAGGATATGCCTTGATTCCTTTGGTGTAGATGTTTACAACTATATCATCTCACTTTGCAAAATAGCAGCAAATACTTATGATGGGAGAGATGCAAATTCTATGTTGATAGTAATGTTAATGATAACAAAAATAAATGAAAATGGTTATTAAGACAACAATACGTTCCCACTGAAGTCGCATAAGATTAAGCCACGAGTCAGGTCATAGATGTTAGTGTGAAACATCAGCACTTTGAGTTCAACCGTAAACGAAGAAGAGGAATGCTTAGCGGGTTCCTAACACGGACAGAACACGAAATAGAAAGAATTGGAAGGTATCTAAACCTCAGAAGAACAGATCTGACATATTTTACTTGTGTCAACGCAGTGCATTTGTAAAACCGTCGCAGGCAGCGGCTTTAAAAAAGCCGAAGTGAAATTGCACACGTCATGTCATGGATGTATGGCCGTACAGTACAAAAGGGTTTTTACCATGGTAGCTCCTTGGGAAATAGGTAAACCTTGTGCATGCGCTATGTCATAAAAGGGATTCACGGGAGCAACACCAAACATTTCAAATGGCTGATGATGTATTTTGGAAACAGACGTTCACCAATAAAAAACTCTATGGTGGGCTGCTTAGACTATGAGGTATGGCAAAAGAAAGTGGAATGGGTTTAAGAAGACTTCGCGCAAGGCGTGATGATGAGATTACACACCATCTGATATTGAGGCAACCAGTATTAAGAATCGGTACAAAGGATGGAGAGTTTTTAGCTGTATTTAACATTTGAAGGACACCAGCAAAAAAAGAATGTGATCACGGACCTTAATGTTTGACAACTATTTTCAGAGAGATGTCTAGTGTCACTAAGACCTCGCTAGCTTGCCGACTTAAATTGAATGTTTCACAATGCATAGCAAGGGGCTAAACGTCCTCATTACGAGAGAACTTGAAAAAAAATGAAAACTTTTATCGGCTGACAATAAGCATTCCCATTTCCTGAAGAATGTGAAAATTATCTCAAGGAAGTATATGCGTGACTTCAATGAGGATTGGCAATTGCCTGAGAAGCAGAAGGGCTACAGGAGAAGTTTACGCGATGAAACGAAGATTCCTGCACGAAATTGTTACGAATCGTTCTGTGGGCTTTAAGAGAGCCTTGGACCAACCATATTACATGGCCGATTTGTAAGCGCATGGTCAAGATGGCTGGATATTGGCTGACTGTTGTTATTACCAATTTATTTAACTTTTTCTTTTTCAAATGCATAAAGGGGTAATTTTCTAAAGAAACTGTGGTGCTGCATAGGTGGGAGAGTATAACAGAGTAATTTAGTTTTATCAACTGAGTCGATAACGTAAATTGGTCACTGTAAAGATTTTAAAAGCTGACGTTTCGTGTGTTAGCCCCTCGTCAGAGCGATTGACGAAGGGCCAATTAACGTCATCAACTCAGCTGATAATACTTCTTCACCCTTTTTGAAATACAACAGGAAGTGTCAACTAAGTTCTCTTGTCATTCAAACAATTGTTTTTTTCGTTTAATTTGCAGATTAGTTTTTTCTTCATATATAGATACTCATTCTTTGTGTGGAACCCTCATTAGCTTGGTTTTTTTTCGAGTCGAGGTCTATGAAAACGTAAAAAAAAAACAAAAAAACAAGCTAATATCCAGCCATCTTGTCCGACAAGCCTGATCAATACAGGATTTATCATATGGGAAAAAGATTTCGCTCAATCATAATCAGAATGACTTGTTTACTAGAACAATGGGCAATTAGCAGCGGGTTTCAACACGAGCCCTCGATTTACGGCGCTTTTTAAATGATCACGGCACTAGCGTCAAGATTTATGAAGGATAAATAACAGCTCATCTTGGTCACCCAGTTTACCTAGTTTCATTTAGATAGATTTTGTTCTAATTGATTTTTTTCATCCAGATTACCTCCAGTGATCCAGAGTGTGTGTTGCCTGCTCAATTTTTTTCAAAGCGACTGGGCGAAGAATAGATCCACAATCCACCTAAGAAATATTGGAATGAGTCAGTAGTTTGAGACTTCCTCGTGAGGGGTGGAATTCCCTAAAAAAGCGTCTTGGTTTAGATTCACAAGGCACTATCACCACTGGTTTGCCTCAAAAAGGTTGAGGATCGTCATCATGTTAGATATATTTACACGCTGCATTTGTGTGAAGTACTCGAATTTAAACTTAGTTTTTCAAATGCATGAATTCTTCACTGATTTTGATTTGTACCAGGGAAAAGGCAAGTCGCGTCTTTTGCAAAGGTCAAAATCGAACAGCATTACCGCTGAGCGTAGTGAAAATAGTACTAAGAAGTATGATAGTAGAAGGATGTAGATGGTTGATGTGCGAATTAGAAATTATATATAGAAAAAGAGGGGGGAAGAGAGTTTTTATAACTAAACTAGTACTGTCTGCTACATGAATACACAAATAAAAAAGCGAATAACCTGAAGCGGAGAAATATTTTATCGATATATAGTTTACCTGCGCAGCACTTACGAAGAAAAGCTGTTCATTTGTGTAATTCAGTGCAGGAAGTTGAGGTTCCTCGCCATTTTTCTCAATCCATTTTTTATAAGCCTGTAAAAAGACACTTTTTTATTAGCGGCAACTTTTGACAGCAATTATCGGCTAAAAGGATTTTCCATCGACGAGGGTCCTGGGAAAGAGTCATCGCATACCTCCGGGGTCTTATGTTTACAGTCATACCAGGTTAACAGACAAAACAAAGCACGGTAGTTTTCTGATTTGTCAGATCTCACGAGGTTTTGAATAACTCATATGCGACAAAAGTAAATGCCATTTGAATGCAAAATGCTCCAATATCAAAACGTTTCCATGTTTCTGCAGCCTAAGTAAATTAAGACACTAAACACTGAAAATAGTATTTGCTGAAAAATGTTTTTTTGTTTTTTTAATGACATACCATAAACGCTTGCTTGATAGCTCCGTTGTCTGCAATATTTTCTCCAAGGGTTTGGATACCATTCAGCTATATTAAGAAAGTATCATGGAATTAGGATTAGGAGACACTATATGCATGATGAATACCAAAACTTACCATGTTAAGGTTATAAATACAATCTGAAAGGCGGATTTTGTTGAGCACGAAAGGATTTCTCCCTCACTGGAATTAAAATGCTCATCTGGGTTATAGCAGAACAGTAAATAGTTAAAGACCTCAGACTTCAGCGGAACATTGTATGTGTTTTTGACTAAGCGTGAGGTCAAGATGGCTGGATATTGGCCGAATTTTTTTTTTCTTCGGAGTTTTTATGGACCAAGTCGAGGTTGAGGTTCATAACATGCTAAAAAAGAATGAGGCTAATATCCAGTGACTTTTAACGAACAAGTTTGGTCATTTAAAAGAATTTATTATACATCTGTCTATTTGAGCACTTTCCTTACAACGAATCAAAGGCAATCTAAGGCTCGTTAAACGAGCAAAGCCCACCCTATGATATGTCTTCCAAAAATTCCTGTAAACAATAATAATTTTTTCAGCTTTTGGTTGTACATTTATTGTGAAAGAGATCTTAAACTGGAACTTTCATCTCAAAGTGTCATCGAAGCAAACAATGCATTTCACTTCATATTTTTCTCATTTTACTTAAAATCTTCGGTAGATAATCTGTTGCCGTAATGTTAGCTTACGGCATTTTGCGAGATTTACTTTATCCTTGCAAATGTAAGATAAAGACGCATCGGTATGGCCGTTTACTTAAATACTCTTGTTTTTTGTGGCTTTTTACTGTCTTAAAATACCGGGCGCTTAATTAGGATCTTGACTAGGATCTTCAGTGGTTCATATTTTTCTCAAACACCGTCACATTCCACGAAAGGAAAGACACAGTCTGACTCTTATGATCTGCGTCAAATGCACTCACCTTTTTCGCATAAGCTTCAAAGTTTGAATATTGCCTTATAAAACACTGAGATTTTTTTTCAAAAGCTTCGTTAGATGACTCAGACCACCAGTTAACAAGATCACCGTTCTTGTTGTATTTCCGACCTGCAAAAGAGCATAAATAAGAACAGTATACAGCTGACGTCAATGATAATTATCATGATATTGATAATAATTTTATAATTTTAGCAACAAGAGCAAAACGCACCAATACTTGTGGTAAAAAAACAAATAAATAAATTAGTGATAGTTTGTTTCACGATTTAGTCACTTCAAGCGTATCCAGTTTACCATACCGCCTGAAGGGAGAATAGTATGCAGTCGGAATGTAATGACTGACATCAGATGCGACTACATTGTCAGAAATATATGATTTTACAACACAAGTGCATGTATAGGTGTATGAACGACTACAATCTTTTTAAGGAAAAGAAAAAAATAAAAACATGAGAATCAACACGAAAGCGATGATGATGATGATGATGATTGGAAGGCATGATATGGGTCTGCAGTCCGCATTTGTACATCGGAAAATTTCTCAGCTATCAGTAAGAGAGTCAGCCATAACCTGCAGGAAAATTATCTCTCCGTCTCGCTGCATGTTTCGATCGTAAGTTTTGAGCTTTACTTTGCAGATCTTTTTCGCACGTCATGGTGTATGAACAAGGCATTTGTTGTAATCAGATAAAAAATATGCCTCGTCTTGCTGAGAAAAGAGTTTCTCGGCAAGAATCACGAATCGTGTTCAAACCACGCATATTCATACAGTTAGAAGAAACCAACATTAAAAACGTTTCTTAGCTTGCATGTAGTGTTGGAGAATCCAACCGTGAAGAGAGAGGACTAATTTTTTTAAAATTCAATCCTGGTAAACATGACACAACCAGTGAAGAAAGGATACTTAAAGTTTTATCCGTCCTCAACAGAACTTTCTAGAAAGCATAGAATAGGGAAACAAGCTTTTCCGAGAGCAGTCTTTTAGATAAAAGAGACAAAGGATGTATTACACGAGACGTTAATAAAGCAATTTTTTCTACAACCAGGCGGAAAGAATTCATAATAATATGTACTTATGACCGAGAGCCAAATATTTTCTCCTTCGATCGACCTAGCTCTTTAAAATGTTGTATGACTGTCGCTATTTCTACTTTTCTTCTCATTCTTGTTCGCATCTCGGGGCCCGTGTGACTTTCCTGATCCCGCTCACGCCATTTCATACGGCCCTCATACGAGAACTGTGCTCAAACTTTTTTCAATATCAGCGCCCACAGAGACATGGCATGATAGCCGTTATTTCGCAAGATTTATTTTGAAGTTGCCATTGTAATCATATAAATAAACTGAAACTCTTTTGAGTGAATGTAACGTGCCTTCTCTTATATAGGAGTCTTCCAAAAATGACAAAGCAAACAAGAAACGTTTAAAGAATAAATGGCTTTACATGCGGGCACCTGACTCTTTTGTTGTCCAGCCATCTCAATACCTAATCGAATCCCGAATCAGCAAGAGACAAGACCTTTCGTTCTCTGTGTTGTTAGTAGCGGGAAGAATTATGTTCTTTACTATATCCTGATACCATTCACCCCTGAGTCAATTCGAAAAATTCGATCTCCCTGGGTGGTGGCCATATAAGTTATAACATCTAGCACGGATGTCCAGTGCGTTGGACACTCGTTCGATTTCGGTCAGCCCTACTCGCGCAAAAGGGGTTACATATTTACATACAGTGCAACTCGCGTTAAAATTATTCATTGGCAATTGTGAGTGTTTATTCTCCAAGTATTTGAAAAAAAGGGGAAGGGAATCATTTGAGAATGGTTTTGTGACATTTAGCATAATTCTCTTTCACATGTAGATTAATTGTCTCGAAATTGCTTTTTGCGTTAATTCTGGCTGGGTGCCATTTCAATTACAATTAACAAATCGACGTGGTTTACCGTGGTCTTTACTCTTATCGACGACGTGGTCAAAATGTTGTGGACTCACGAGGCGCAGCCCACACTTAACCTCGGTCGATTTGACTTTTACCACAATATCGACGTCAAATAAAACGATTCTTTCAGTGCGTGACCATTGCGAGACAGGTTAACGCGAGCAGTGTTATCTTTACTCTTATCTACAATGGCAAATTGGCCAATCAAATTGCGACATGACTGCCATTTGTTAAAAAACAAATTTCGAAACCGTTCATATACACGTATCATCTAACAATGATAATAATCAGGGTAATGATGAAGATGATGGTAATAATAATGGTGATAATTATAACAATGAATAGTAATCAGAATGATTATAACAATCATGATAATTATAAAATATGAAAATACAGTGATCGAAAGATCAATGTTTTCACGATGACAGTGATCGTCCTGACTCTGCTTTAGAGAACAGGGGCTGAGGTTTTGACAACTTGAGGCTTCTGTCTACTTACCACTTCTCAACAAATTGATGACGTAAGCCAAAATTTCAGAGAACAGGTTTTCTTTATTGCATAAAATGTTGTCGAGTTGCATGTAACTGGATGAACTGGATGGCTCTTATCAGATGAAAAACGAAAATTTAATCCAACTACAAACTTTGTTACAAAGCTTTAAATAATACTTACCATTGCTATCAAATCCATGCGTTATTTCATGAGCAACTACAATTCCTATTCCACCGTAGCTTATTGCTCTGATACAATAGAAACAAAGTGTTGAATAGTATGGCCATCTTAAAAATGTTTCTCATACGGCCAAAAAAATAAAAACGAAATTATTTACAAGACTTACAAGAGTACATGTCAGTCTCAGGTGAAGTAGAGAAACGATATCAGTAAAATTTAATGCGCATGAGGTTGCCTGATTTACTCAGATTAATCATGACATAATCTCACACGTGGTTTTTAAACATTTAAAATTTTTGCATATAGGAATCTCAAGCCAGTACGAGTGCTTTTATGTTATTAAAGGAAATTGTTGTTTTTCACAAAATATTCTATTTTGAAAGAGACAATTGTGCCCCAGTGCCTTTGCTATGCTGGAGTAGGGAAGAATAGGGAGGCAATAAGGAAGAAATGAGAGAATTAATATCCCTTGTTAGTCACAAGAGCGACTCTGAGTGAGCTTCAATTACGCGAAAACGACGAGGAATCACCACTGAAGATAAGACATATATGTTATTTACCAGCCGTGTGGTCCGTATTCGGAAAAACTGTGCCCGAAGTCTTAGATACGGTACTAAAGACAGAGGGAACAGTTTTTCCTGATATGGACCAACTTTGGCTGGTGAATAAAATATTTCTTTTCTAAAAACTTAACAATATACTTTCCGAAAGAATCTTTAACTCAAACATGACAAATGAAAAGTAGGTAAGTAACCTTTGCCATAATTTGAACCCAGTATATTAGACGAACACAAAGCGTGATTTGACCTGCCAAATGACTGTCAAAGTCAACTGCTGAACATAGTTTCAGGGTTGATGTAATCAAAGATGACGAGTTGGGTGTCAGAATGTCGTTTTTATTTACCCTAGTTTTGAGGGCAGCAAATGATCTTGTTGCTGCTATTACATATAAGTCGAAAATTAACACACAGTACAAGACCAATAATATTGATCGATTTTATCAGGAGCTCTCACCCTGCCTGACATTACAAAAAGGCAACGAAGCAAATCGGATCTGGTATTGCAACATTGGTTACACGATGCTGTGTCTAATCTAACTAATGATTATAGAGCCATAAGTTGCAACTGAGCCAACTCAGAGAAATGTATGTATGTATTTTGTCAAAAAGTTAGAACATGTGTGCCCTTGATGTTCATCATCAATTGGTGTGTTTACTCGAAGATAATCCAAATATGGCTTCGGAAAAAGTTATCGAAAATGGCTCGACATGCGCTATTCAAAATTCTCCCCTCATTCAGATGTAAACGATACTCTTTTAACCAAAACAGTGTTGTGAGTATTATTGCCCCGCCCGGTTTCTCTTAGTTTTCTCGTGGACACGATCTTTACCTGGTTTTATCCGGGTTCAGAGGTTATCTGTTGTTAAATACCAGTTATTTAGCCTAGCCACAGTTGATTCACTGTCCTGGACCCGAAAGAACCTGAACTGTTTAGTGTCGTCAACATAATAGTCCTTTGCCGTTGCGGAATCGATGGTAAATCATTGGCATAAACTATGAAGAGGTGCCTAAGGATGCTGCTCAATGGAATGCTCCAGTTCATAAGCAACAGGTCGGACAAGGCAAAATCTATGCGCATAGCCTAGTACAATTGAGGCACCGGATGGCAGAAGATGGCAAGCCAATGTCTTGTTGAATAATAACTATCTCATAACTGATACTATCAAACGCCTTGCTCGTCTTAAAGAGAACAACAGCTGTTGTTTCCTTATGGTCCAACGCATTAAGAATACAATCAGACGTAAACAAGAGAGAAGTCTCGGTCGAATGCCAATGGCCTTGTCGGTAAATACATTGTAAGAAACCACTCGCTGTGATCGACCTGTTCTTGGAGGCATAGCTGATGAAAGTCCGAAGTCGAAAGAAAGGTAAAGTCTCGCGAAAGGTCATCCTCTCATACATGCACAAATACCGCCGTCGATCTTTCCATGGCCGCGATTCAGGCGCTATAAATCATAGCGTGGAATTTCAACCTCAACGTCCAGAACAAGCAGCCTAACCAGGTTTTCGAAGCCGTAAAGGTTTTAAAAACATTTTTTGCCTCAAAGTTTTTGATTGAGATGAAATTTCTCAGTTCCTCAGGAAAGCGCGCGTTCAAGTGAGTGATCTCTGCTCTTAGAAAATTATCGGCGAAATTGTTTAGTTGACTTCCTAACTTGTGCTAACCGTGGACCAAAGATGGCAGCTCGGCCAAACTTCTAGCAAGATAGCCACAACGCTTCAAAGAAATTTGAGGGATTTGGCTGAAACAGGGTTTCTAACCCAGAACTTAAGTTTTTAGTTTAGTTTTGTCCTCTTTTGGAGAAGATAAAGCGACAAGGATAGGGAATAAAGCCGAAAAAGTCAAAGCGAATCAAGACGCGAGCGCAATTTACCTGTGTAGGTTTATATGGCTTATGATCAATCGATTGAATCACGGATTTAATCGAAGACTGAGGTATCTTATCTAGAGAGCACGAAGTAAACTCCTCGAGAAATAATATTATAGCGATCTCCAGCATTGTCGGCATGGACTCATGCAATGTCATCAGTTCATTTACTAACTATTTCAAGTCCCGGTATTTGAAAAGACTACCCAATTTGATCTGGTGACTTATACTTTACAAAAATCCTCATCACCAATGCCCTAACCTTAATGGGGGTTAATGTACATTTATCAATTGACTTGCCATAAGTGTAAAATTGCTTCACAGAGGAGATCGATGGCACTCTCGGTTGGTGAATGAGAGTTTTAGTGAAGAAATGTAAAATGGTTTCCGTGTTTACATAGCCTGATGTAAACACGCGGGAGGTTGGGAGAACACGAGATAAGCGTAGGAAACCACGACGCGAATCGGAGTGGTTTCCAGCTATCGAGCCCTAACCTCCCAAGTGTTTACATCAGGCTATGTAAAACCGGAAACTATTTTACATTTCTTTTATAAAATAACTAATGAAAGAGGAATGAAAACCGTATTTACATATGCTCATGTAAAATGGTTTTATGGCCAATCAGAGCGTGCGTACTATTTGAATTATTTCATAAAAGGGGTTCTAAATGGAATTGATTTTATTTCGTTCTCTGCAAGATATGTTGAATTTAACAAAAGTGACTTCTGTTCCTCTGTGTCACGGACAACTAAAGAGCAAAATTTATCCTATTGACGCATGTTTGCTGTCTCTAACGTAAGGTTGCCCTTGCTTAAAACACTTACCGAGGAAATTTTCTGTTGTAAAATGGAATTTGAAGTATTCCGGCTGGAAAAACTGCCGAAAAAATGAGAGGGCAAACATAAATAGGATACAAATCAACTATTTATTCTAAAGCATCTCAGCGATCCATATCCCAATCCATTTTTGCTAAGTATCCCTTGTTCTAGATATAAAAGTTATAGTTTGAACAAGACCCAAAGGACAAGAGAGGAGGTAAGATCAAGTTACATACATTTGCATTGTTAAACAGTAGCCTGAAAATTAAAATTTCCCTCAATCAATGAGTTAACGGAATGGTTTTTTTTTTTTACATATTTATAGCTTGTGTAGCCTACAGACGGAGATATGTCAGTCTGGTGGATCTAAACCTTGTACATTGTAAGTACTTACTTTTAATTTGACTGGATTAAGATGACGCCTTTGAAAATATTTATTACATAACCTGAGTTGTGTTACAAGGATTTCCAGCTCTGAGAAAAGCCATAACTACACACGCGTAAAATTGAGATAATTTTTTACCTGCGTTCGATATCGGTAATCAGCTGTTGATGTAACTCGCCTTTCGCGCCTCTCTGTCAGGTTATTAATGAATAGCAAAGTGTTTACCATTCTCACTCCTAGGTCTTTTGTCGAAATTTCTCGGATTATGGCTGCTAATAATACTGAAAGATTCTTATCGCTCATAGAAATTACAAACCCCTTCACGTTTTCTTATAGTTTATGCTTCACGAGTTTAAAGAAAACTCTCATTCATAGCATCTCGCAGAAACAACCGAGGATGCGTCAATAGCTCGTTCAATAACAACTTTCTGTCCGAAACAAACCTCTCATCGGGAAACCGTTTAACATCATAGTAATCTTACATCTACGTAGGCTACACCTTTCGTCACTACCTAAAACTGAGCTACTCCGAAGGACAAAAAAAATTGAAAGCAAAAACAAAATTTACACACGGATACACACAAACATTACGAGAGAAAAAGACGAGGTTGGTCTGGGTCGTTAACAAATGTCTTATGGAGTCCTGGAGAAATTTTGCTAAAATAGGGCAAGATTTTAAAGGGTTTGGCTTTCCCAAGGTGTACCCTCTGAATTCAATTTTGTCGCGGGGCTGTTCGATTTTAAGGCTTTTTCCAGGAATCCATATGCGACCTCTTTGGTATTTCCAGTTGCACCATGCAGGTTGAGAGATCTTTCATTGAGATTTTCCATTCCAAATAAGCCTCTGCATTCATCAACTGCTTCTTAAATACATGTAAATCGTTTTCCAGTTTCCCTTTATCGCATTGCATATCTTTATCAATCTCTTACCAAACTTTTGCGTCTTGATCTATGAGGTGCTGATTTCTGAATCTATTCTGTATACTGTCTTCCTGATGTTAACTATTTCCCATTGGATCCCATCGATTTATATCTCTAGAATGTCCACCTTTACTGTCTTTTTTGAGAATTTCTATAACCTTTCTACCAGGAGCTTCCCTGATGTTAGGAGCCTTAATTACTTCATCATTCTTAGCTCTCGATCGGTTTTCGTCAGGAGAATTTTTTCAATCTCTGGATGATGACGATGACTGTCTATTCTTTCTCATTTGCATGTAAATAATTCGTTAGGTGGTGCAAAGAGCGGATAACTTTCACTGCTCCACCACACTAGTCTCAGTCTCCTCAAATTGTACTACTTGTGTATCGTATTGAGAGTCGTCGCATTATGGACGAATTTGAACGATGCTGGGATTTCTCTATATTAGTAATCTATTAAACCAACAAGGAAAAATTTTTAAAGTTTATTTTTTTTGCAGAAATGTCAAGTCAGATGGTTTGGCGGAATCATCTCGATTCTCTTCTAGGACATTCAAGGTGAAAAAAGTTTGCATGACGGAATTTTTAACCGTCACGGTAGAATGAAAGGTCGGTGGTGATTGGTTACTTCAATCTGTCGATAACGTTAATCATTTTTGAGAGGTACTGTGTGTTTGTTGTTTCAATGTCGGGTATGAGTCATTTCTATGGAGACGGGAATTAATATATTATCTCTCGAAAGGAATTTGTTCCCAGCTAATAAGACAGCAGTTTAAGATTGTTTGTTGAAAGTAGATCGTGCTGCAGGTTATCTGTAATTTCCTATGTTGTAACATTTCATAGAGTCTCGTCGCTCATTTTTGCGCATTAGGGCTTTGATTAAGGCTTCTGATAGCTGTCTAGATGTATGAGATTAGGGAATCGGACTTGCCTTGATCTTCATTACTAGAAAATTAGTTACTTGTATTTACTTGACGTTTCTGCAGATGATTATTCTCATGTACTTACTGATTTTGTTGGTCACTCTGTCGTAGAAGGCATTGACCGTATGTGGGTGAATCATCCACCTAAATTAGAGTAAATTGGAGAAATTGTGACTTCATCATTAAACAGGGAATTGGCTGGGGTTTCGCATAGCGAATAGCAGGCGAAGTAAAAATTTAAAATTTTAGCTGTGATTATATATTAACGCTTGCTATGTGAAAAAGTTTTCAGCTTTCAAATCCTGGCGAAAAGAAAAATCCCGATGTATTTTCAAGTAAGTTACGCAGGATCTAATAGAAAATTGTAGTCTGCGAATATTGGTCCCTTAAGGTTATCATCGAAAAATAGGGCTTTGAAAAAAACTCAACGGCATCCTTATTGCATTTAATGCTATTCCTAAATTTGATCAAAATGGTAGCCCGCTACTTTGGCATAACTTCAAGATTAATGTTAATTTCTAACTGATTTATAAAGTAAATCATGATGGGCTGGAAGTACTTAAGGGCCAAACTAGGGGAGACAAGGTCACAACTTTCAAAATTAAAAGTGTAAAATGGGGCCAAATGACCAGTCATCTTCGAAAAGACGTTTTCAAGACTTTGTTTGTAATTAATGAGAAGCTAGATGAGACCAAAGCTAACAAATCGAGAAATTTGAAGTCAAGCAATCGGGCCATAGACAGTTCTGCCAAAGCTGAGGCAGAGAGTCGCTAAAAAACTTAAAAAAGTCTTTCAAGCTACATCGAAAATTATTTTTATCAGGAAATAAGAGATGCTTGGGAAAAACAGTAGACATTAAGGGGAAATTCAATAGTTAAGCCTATACCCAGAACCGTCAAAAACTTATCGGACGACTGGGAATACTTGTCAAACATAACAACCTTGACAGCTTCATATCATTTAAGGATGTTTTCTTTCCACCATATATTTTGCTCGGACAAGAGACGTTCTTTCCGAAACATTTCCCCGAATCTCCCCGAATTTTTTCTGTACGCGAATTTTTTTCCAAACTAGAGTAATGTAATTGGCCGTTACCTTTCTTTGTCTACAGCATTACGAAGATCCTTTAACATTGTCTTCATAGAAAAAGTTCGGATGCTAATCACATTGTTGAAGTAAGAGGAATTATCCATTGTTAGCTGAAACAAAACAAGAAAAAATTAATTTTGTTATTATGAAATTACTAAAAATAATCAAGTTCAATGAGGTAATCACGGTCAATTTACAGTTCCACATGTATAAAGTACTGTTAAATTTGTAATTTGTAAACAACATATCTTTATGTTTATTTAATCAAACTTTTACGGAAGTCTATGCATGTCGGGACACAGCCAATACACAAACGTTGTATAGTATATTTGGTAGATTCAATCCATGCATGAAGGGTACAAAGTTTTTAAGGTCTCAGTTTGATGTAATCATTTTAATTATATCAAGAGACGATATCGATAATGGGGAACATAGAGCAAACACCACCAAAATCGTCCAAAATCTAATGATCAGGGGGTTGTTCAATATACTCGCATTATAACGTTTGTGTAAGCAACATTACGGTCCGTATAGTTATTACGGACCATTAACGTGACAGTCGTCGCTACCTTAAGCGTGGTATACGGTCCGTGAGTTACAATTAATTAATAGAATAGAGGAAGTTCATGCTGAAAAAGTGGCTACGTACGGTTTGCCAATTCATTAGTGGATACGTGTTTTTTTCGTTCCATATTAATTGTGTTCGTCGGAATCGACCGTAATATTCTTAAAAGGTCCGTCAAGAGCTAACTACTGTCTCTAAATTGCAGTTTTGGGAATATTTCCATGAACGCGTTTTTGTTCGTCAAACAACAAGTCCTTTTTTGTCACTCATGGATGCGAAGGAAAAAGATATGCAATCAACAAAAGGTCGAAAATTGTGTGTCAAGTGGTCTTTGCATTCTTTTGGTAACAGTTTTTCCAACAGTCAGCAGCTGAAGCGCCGACTTGTTATTTTTTTCCATGCTATTGATGCCGACGTGTGCGTATGTTTCTCATTCTGATTCAAGATGAGACCTCTCTTTCAGTGGGTCCTCTATCTTAATTCCGAGAAATTTAAGAAGCAAAAACAACGCATTCAAGTAAGAAAAGAAATTGAAATATTTCAGTGTATTTATTAGTTTTTCTATGGGTTGTGTGGTTCTTTTCAACAAACCCCTTTTAATTGTATCTTGTCACCAGTCCATTTCATTATATAGTCGCATGAAATGCATTTCGCTGGAAGGTAAGCATTTTGTGAGTGTTTGTGTTTTACATTTTCGGGTATTATCGGCATCCTACCGCTAGCTTGATTATAACATTACGCTCGAAAAGGAAAAGATCGTTTGGAGGAAATAATAAGCTGTCACCAAAAGTAAAGACCACTGAAGCTTAAGAAATTTCTTATTCAATCTCTTTAACTACATACGCATTCATACCACCATTTTAAAGGGACTACACAGGTCACTACTAACCTAAAGGTTGGGGGGAAATCTATAAAAATAAAATAATCTTGTCTGATGTTTTTGGGGTAAGCACTGGATGCACCTCTATCCCTGTTCAGCCCACATTACTCGCTCAAATGTTTTTAGAGCATGAATTTGTTGCTGGGGTTATAAAAGAATGCATATGCTGCTTCAGAGATGTGGTATAGAGAAAAGGAATATAAACCAGGCTATTTTGGAATATGATAAATGCCTGGCGTTAGACAAGGAAAAGGGCCGTTTTGAGTATCACTCGACCTTACCATATCAAGAAAAATGTGAACCACGGTCACGGTGGTATGTTCAACACTTAAAGTATTCTTTCATTCGTATCTACAATTTGAGCTTTTATTTTCGTCACAGGTGCCTCCTAGTGGGGTAGGAGCGGTATTTAAATCGGGGATATTTGAACGAATTTGAACACGTTGAATTGAAACACTACATTTGCTACCTGAAAAATTTGGCTGTCACACGCAACAACGAGCGATAACACTATTTCAGCCGACACTTTGAACAAACGTGAGCCAGTAATTCAAGGACAGATGGCTTAGTGATGTTCGTCAACCTGGCTGGGAAAATCTTTTTGCAGTTTCTGAATCTTTAAGGAATCTAAGGGAACCTAAATAGAAGCTGGAGAGATGATACCCGACATAAGCCTAACTACTCCACACATCTCGCATCAACTCCAATACTACAGTAGTTAGAAATAGATTTGTATGTATATACACCCATTAGCGTTACTCCTGTTTTGTCAACTGATAACAAGTAAGGTTGATTTTTTGGTTGGGAAAGGGGTAGATGCGCAGTTGTTCACATACTGATAGTGATCCAAATGAATTAATTACGTGAGACTCACCTATACATGTAAATCGAAGTTTGACTTCATTTCCCCATTCCTTCTTACCACCGACCAGGAAAACTGGCCAGCATCGCGCACGCATTTTTTATATGACTCCTTCGTTTTTGAATGATGATAACGTAGAACCTCAATCACATTTCAACTTACTGGTAAGTACCATTTCGTTTTGTAAGTAACGTAAATTTTGTTGTCACGCGTAAAGAACAATGGATACTTTACATATACACTCTCAACTTGATTAGCGATTGTAGCTTTTGTAGTAATGTGTCTTTTGTCTTCATCTGTTTGTTTACTTGAATTTGTGAGTAACCCAAGCAACGGGTGCACTCCGATTGCGTTGGATTATGGTAGCGTTGTTTTCAATATGGCGGTGAAGGCGGCAGATATCGGCAGATTTTGACCGAACCTTACGTAGAAGTTCGACCGTTCATTGTTTCTTTCACTGAATACTGATACTGAATTTGTATAATTTTTTTTTACGTATTTATCGCGTATTCAGTGGTTCTCAAGGACAAACGCAATCACTGTTTTGTAGTATGTAACTTGAGACCGGTTTTCGAGAAGGTCTGATTTGATGTTCATCGTAGTTTGAAGCCTTTCAAACGTTGGAATGGCAGCTTTGATCCTTCTTTAAAAGCCCTGACTAATGAGAGCGCAGATTAGTAATCGAAGAAAAGGAAACAGACAATGAATCCCGTTTACATTCTACGCTACCTCGCTGCCGCCATGCACCAAAAATGTTCCCCCGACCGCGACAGAATGCAAATGACTAACCTTTTGTGTTACGACCATAATGCAACGTAATCAGAGTGCGCACACCGCCTGTGGGTAACCTGTTTAAAAACTGTGGTACGTAACATACAATTCTTGTGTCGTTTGCCTACTTAATGAGCATTCTTAGCGCTGCTTATTTGCGTGGCCTGTGGTTCCATGTTTAACGAACGAGGCATAGACTCTCTATTCTTATAAGTTCTCTGATTGGCTTGTTCTCCACATTGATACCATTTACTTTGTGGTGTTTACAAAGTGCATCAACCATGCTAAAGCCGAACACATATTAATTTGCTATTTCAATATGTCACTGACAAATGTTAACGAGCTATTCTCAGTTTTACGCTAATGAAACAAGGTGTTCACATAATTATTTGCTTGAAGTTGTCTTGTAATAGGAAAAAAAAGAACAAATGCGCACGAAACTGAACACTGTTTGATGTGTCAAGAAATACACGATCCATACGCGCCGCAACCAAGGTTATCTGGAACTGACGATCCGGTCCGCAACAGTTTGACAGTGTAACCGAAGTCATGCGTAATTCTGCTCATCATTTATTAAAAAAAATCGACATCTCTAAATTACTAAACGTGAGTAGGAAAATACATGTTGAAGAACGAAAACTTACATATAAACTCACCACGAAGAAAAACATTAACCTTAAGTAGTTACAAAAAGCGGGTTCTGGAGCATCGTCAAATGCCACAAGTCACACCCCTCTTTATTTAACTGCTGTATCACAGATCAACGAATTCATTAGATAAAAACCTAGGTTTCTGACACATTTTGAATTTCACAAGCCACCTCCTGTAAAACTCAAAGTAATTAACACACGCAACTGCTACACTTACATGCTTCTTGATAGTTTAATACGACAGGATCTGCATCGATATTGTATCTTCCTATGAAGAAGTCGTGTTGTGCCTTGATTTTTTCTTCTGTCAAAACAGTGTCTATGTAAATGAGAACAGTCTGACAGTCTGAGTTTAAACCTTCATGATAAACACCCTCATCATCATCATGTTATAAAAATTTCCCCATACAAATTGTTTATTAGAATTTACTATTTTTGCATTCAAGTTGGTAAGCTTTTTCCATTACATCGGAAAGAAGGAGCATAACTCACATCATTTCGACTTTGTCCGTTCCAATGACAGCTGACACGATTCACCAGGATTGATCAGGTCAATTGAAAAACTTATTTTAATTCATACTCTGTTAATCATCATGATCAACGAATTCCTTCGGGAGGTAGTTCAGTTCCAGCAGTAACTATCAAGAGCTCTTCTCTAACGAAACCACGCTTTGGTCCATCCTTCAGGTAATAGAGAACAGTTTCATTCTTATTCACAATTTTTCTCTCGATACCGTAGACCTTCAGAGACGACACTGGATCTGTAGTTCGCCTTTGACTACCTTCCAACTCACCAGTTGCATTGAGGAATCTCACATTCTTTGAAGAGTCTCTTTTCCTTCAAGCCAACCGGTTTTGAATAAGTAATTGAACTCTCCGCGTTAACCAACTTCTTCCGTCAACCACCTTTGATTGCGTCAACAGGATTTTTTCCCGTCAACCTGGTCACTTCTCCCATTCAGTGGATCTCTTTGATGAGGATGTGTCTCCTGATCCCTGTGAACGTTTACATTCCCTCTTCTTCTCCTCAATCAATACTTTGCCATCTCTCTTGCAACTTCAGCCATGATTTCACACCGAAAATCAACTTGAAGAACACTGGTCCATCTCAGTGGTCCTTGCCTATAAACTGTCTTAAAAGTTCTTGAGACCTCAGAGGAGTCCTTTGAGGTGAGAGGTTCAGCAGACTTGGATCTGCTTGCAACTTTTCTAAAACTTTTAATGCATACTTATAGACTTTCCTTCCTCTCGGGAGTCTTTCATGGGGAAGGAAAATGAGATCAGCTTGATGAACTACATTTGGGGATTACACATGAAAATTAGGTCTTGGTATATGTTTCAGGGTACGCGAGTCAATCTGCCAGATGGCTTGCTTCATCAGCCAAAGCTTTCCAACGTCCTCAGACACTCGAGCTTCTTTTGTCAACTTCTTAAACTTAGACAATCCCTTCCATAAACTTTTTGGAGCTATCATTAATTCTTGAAAGTTTTTTCCATGGACTCCCCAAAATGACTGACATCCAATCCTATGGTCAAAGCACCAGCAACGACGTAGATTATTTCACCTTGCTTTTGCGAGGTACTCGGCCTATAAGGGTCGGAAAACTGTGCTTCCCTCAGACCGACCTCTTGATTATGCGCCTTGTTGTACAGCTTCAAAGCTTAATCTGTATCCGCAAAATTCTGCATTGCCTGATCCTTGACTTGGTTATTAACCGCAATCCAATCGAGTAGTTGTGTTTATTCTCTTCATACTTAAAAGTCGCTGGATATTTCTTCTTCTCCTCTTCAACACTATTCTGGTCTTCACTCAAATGCCTTGCCAGATAGCTTCCGCCAACATCACATAATTCATGAGATTAGAACTCGGATCAGAAGTCATCGATTCCTTGGTGACTTTCGCAATCCATCCGATTCCAGAAGCCGATCCAGGCAAGGTCGCTGAATGATTAAATGTTTTTACAAGCCTATTATCAGACATTTTTTTGGCAGACAAAAAAAAAATCAATCCACTGGTTTTACTCCAACAGGAATCTGTGGTTGTGTTGGTTGAGGCTGTGGTTTTGGTTTGTTAACGAGAGCCATCACCTCTCTCCTTTTATAGCAGAGTGCAACCCGTGAAAGAACAATGCTTGCAACTAAAAGTATTTGAGTTAGTGAGAATAATGATAACGTTTCAGCTTTCTTCTCAATGTGTTGTTCAGAATCAGCGTTATTTTCTCTAACACCTAAGCTATGCTTCTTTGCTTCTCTCACTCTTCACCTTTTGTGCTACTGGTAATTTTTCAGTCTTAAGTTCTTTTCCATCCATTTTATTTTTCAATGCATAATTTTCAAGTACTTACTCAAGTACTTAGCAAAGTACTCGCTCAATTTCTTATCAAGTCATGATAAGAACTTAATCAGCTTCTTCAGAAAGACCGGTATCTGATTCCTTCTCAGGAACCTACTCAAAATCAACATTACTAGCAGTGAGAAGAACGGCACTTGTGATCGCCTTGTATATTCCATACTTCAGACTCAGTCTTACGGCAATCATTCCAATTTCTCTTGACCACGAAGTTATCATTCAAATCTATCGGAAGCTTTCTTTCATCAAGGGAGAGGAGACTTGACGATGCCTTACATGATTGCTCGAGAAAAGTGTTAACGATAGCTTCACAAGTGTTTTTTTATAGTAAGGTCTCGTACCTTTTGAAGTATTTCAACATCTTTTTCGGGAAGCCCTTGACTTGATCCATGGTGAGAGGTATGTCAATCATTTCCTTCGCTTTACCACTTGTGACGAGAATTGTAAGCTGCTCTCGATGATCCGAATCACTTGTGGGTTCGGCCTCTGGAATTTTGGAATTCATTTTACCAGAATTATCTCCTTACAATGTCAGTCAAGACTTTTTATTCTATTCTTAAATCCTTTGGTGCAGTAAGTTAATATCCTCAATTCCCAGTTGAAGGGCTGGAATGTTAATAGATGTAATTTTGCCGCGCTATTTGAGATCCCAAAATTATTGTAAGAGTGTAAAGAACCATTTGGTTCAAAAGGCTTTGTGTGCACTTAATTTTTAAACTATACCAGAGAACTCTAAAATGTGTGGTGGTTGGTTTGTTTTAACCATTCCCTGATTTATTCTTCTGGAACTTTTCATTAAGCCATAAGAAATCTGTCTTTGAGACAAATTGTTATGAAATAAATGTTGATCGAGACATTTTTTAAGTGCATAATATTGTTATAATATTAAAATTTTCCCATAAATTATAAAGCTGAATTTATAAAGAGTTGCTGTACCTGTCTCGTCATGACATTTAACCAATTAATGGTGGCGGTAAATTAGTGAGCGCTGCACAAACAATAACCATGTCATCCAGTGTGTCCTTAAGAGTCAGAGGCACCACAGACTGGAAAAGTCGGAATCGTTTCAGATGCTGGATGGCACGCTCAACATGAATCCTAGCTTTTGCAATTGCCCAACCCTGAAGAACGTTTACCTTTGTTAATTGTTCCTGACCTTTGGTAAATGGAGGCATATAAAGTTTTACTTGCTTTGTTAAAAGAAAACCCTGTACATTGAAAACACAGTCAACCATACAAGCTGAGTTGGAAGAGAATTTTGAGATCACACCAGAATCAGAAAATATAAATCTATCAGATGACACGCCTCCATAGCCTTTTGACACAAATGAAACAATTCCAGCTGGGAGTGATGGACACTTTATATAAATAAAAACATGAACAATGAATGAATTAATACTTGAAAATTATTTCTTATCGCATGGTTTTAAGTTATGGTTTAAATACTTTAAAAAATTCTTTAAAAAATTCATGTTAAGGCAAACATGGTTTAAATGATCTTACCAAGTATTTGGATGTGTTATGGCTCTTGTAACTAGAGTATATCAGTGCCTGTGCCTCTGCTACAGAGGGTTTGTGAACATATATTGCTGTACAATCAGTGATTGGACAAGCCCTAGGAAATGGTTTAAAGGCTTCCGGGTAGAACTTTGTTACATTTCCTGGCTTGGCCATTTGATCAAACCTTGAAATTCTCTTGATAAGAAGGGAATCCAAGTTGATGAAATTGTGGACTCATTACTTGCTGAAGTCGTAAATCTGTAGGCTAAGTCTTCCTCTGACAAATTTGTTTAACTGTTTACTTTCTTTTTCTTCCAGGCTTACATTTACCCAAGTCGTTTTGATACCCTTTAATGCTTGTGACCTTTTTCTTTTGAAATATTGCAACTTTTGCACTTTGGGTTTTGTCTTTGACACAAGGAACTGAAACACTCCATAATTTAGGAATATGTTTCAACAAGATGTTTAGTTTTTTGATGTCTTTTAGATCAAAAGCGTGTTCTTTCATTTCCTCAATTGTGGCTTTGTCTGCTTTAGTTGTTGCTGTATATCAGACACACTTTTCTGAAGTACTAGACACAAAGGGCAACGAGGATCAAGTTCCTGTTCGCCTTGAGAACTTTCGTGTCCGTGAATGCCAACTGGCAGAGCAAAAGTATGATCTTCGGTTGCAGGATTAGTAGAAATGTTTTCAGTGGCCCTTTGCTCTGTCTTTGAAGACTGGCTTTTGTTCTGCTGGATTTTAAAAGTAGTGCTATCGTCCATATGGATTTCAAAAGGAGCATCATTGTTAACATTATATTCCACATGTTAGAGTTGTTAACATCCCCAGGCGGTGCTGTTTTGTTCGTTGCTTTTTCGGCTTCAATCACAGTTTCACCACCACTTCCTCTTCTCCCCTTTGCCACATTTTCAGTGACATTCGATTTCTGCTTGAATGCGTTGGAGCTACTTTTCATCTCATCGGTCACAGGTCGATTACACTTGTAGCGACCTTTTTGGCCAGAACTCTTCTTTTTCCCTTTCAGGTCAGAAATCCTGAGTTGACTGTGTATCCGTTTAGAAATAGTACTGGATTAGGATGATCTTCCGTGGGCCGGCCGTCTTAAAATGGTTCGAACGAATACAAGGACTTTCTTTCGCATCTGTTCTGCCAATAATTTTTTTTTTCCAGATGGGTTTCCTTCTTTTTTCTTGACATTTAAAAACGTGAATTTTATCCACGTGATCCTTTTTTACGCACCTTGAAGACATAAGAATTTATTCAGCAACTTATTATGGACTCCAGCACAAACTTGCTGGGCAGTTTAACTGAAAATATAAATAAAAATATGTATAAAAGAATTTCCTTAAATTTTCGTAGCTTCTTGGGTATCTGCGGTCACTGTCACAACCCCTTACTGAGCAATGATCTCCTCATGCCATTTTTTAAGCAAAAACGGTTTACAAGCAAACACTTTTGAGTCAATTGGGAAGGTTTATTTCGCTCTGTACCTCACCCAACAATAGAAACGATCGAAAACTCACGGACACTGATGCCCCATGAGTGACTTGGTACTGGCTCAGCCAATCCCAGCATTGAGTTGGACGCCAGTATTAGCAAAGTCGCATTTTCCTTCTGCTCATCTCTCGTCCACTCATCCACATAATTCTCGAATGTGATCTTCATGTCTTTTGCTGAGGGTGTATACAAGAGAACTAATGCAGCATACATAAACCAGCATACAGGAAGAGATACAGTTGTGAAACGGCACTACTAGCATTGACGGAAGACTGGAAAAATGCTCTGGATAATCGAATGAGCGTTGGCCTGTTAAGTACTGACATGAGTAAAGCGTTTGATTGTCTTCATCATTCTCTATTACTTGCTAAACTGGAGGCATATGGCTTTAAAAACGAGAGCATCAAGCTAATGAAATCATATTTTATGGATCGCTATAATAGGCTAAGAATTGGTGGAATTGCAAGCTCCTGGAAAAGGGTCAAGAAAGGATGCCCTCAAGGGTCCTCGTTTGGACCTCTTTTACGGAATCTTTTTCAAAATGACTTGACGTTCGGAATTCCTTCAAAAATTGGGATGTATGCTGATGACCATCAGTTCTACGAAATCAACAAGGATATCAATACTATACAAACAAAACTACAGGATACTGCACAAAGAGCTACAAATTGGTACGATATGAACTTTCTCAAAGGGAACTTTGATAAATATGGATCAATGATATTGAAAGGAGGTAGACTAAATGATGAACAGTTAGAGCTAAATGTTAACGGAACAGCCATTAAATCACATAATTCTATTAAGTTATTGGGTGTAAATAAGTAAGTAACATCTGTAAAAAAAGCAGTCAAAGGGTGGGTGTAATTAATAGATTAAGGAAGTTAATCCCAGCCAAGGCTAAATTACAACTTTTTAAGGCTGCTATTCTGCCTTATTTAAGTTACTGTAATATTGTATGGAATTGTTGCAAAGCTAGTGATTCTAGAAAATTAGAGAGGGTACAAGAACGGGCCCTTAGAGCTGTTTATTGTGATAGCATATCATCATATAGCGACCTCCTTAAGAGGGCTAATTTAAAAACCTTACGTAATAGGCGATTACATGACATAGCTGTGTTAATGTTTAAAGTTAAAAATGATCTGTGCCCTAATAATATCAAGAACCTGTTTGTTATTAATAACAACAAATATAATTTAAGAAACAATGATTTCATTATCCCTAGAGTTAGTACTACGCGCTATGGTAAGCACTCTTATAGGTACTTAGGTCCAGTAATCTGGTCTAAGTTAGATGGAAAAATAAGAGCACTAAGAACGCTGCAAGAATTTAAAAACGCTTTACATAAAGTAGATATACAAAGTTTAATCTCTTCGAATAATTGCAAGAACTGTATTTTATGTAAATCTTAAATATTTTAAATATTATCAAGATCATATTATTGTAATTATTATTATCTTATTATCTCATTATATAAGGTTATTATCTTATAATACAGGGTAGGTATTATAAACATGGGGTCTACTATTTCGGGGTAGGGTAGTTTTATATGGGAAGAGCTCTTTTATCATATTCCAATAAATTTTTAATGCATAGTTTTGTATAGATTAGATTAGTTTAGTTTAGGTGTCCTTACTTAGTGGGAAACTGCTATCTTATTTGACACGTAAATAAAGTTTATTATTATCATTATTATTATTATTATTATTAATGCAGCGGTCTTCTCTCTGAATGGTTTTTCGATTCTTGTCGTTTGCTGTGTGATTCCCCGAACACTGATCCTAATGTGTCTTGCGCTGAATGCTAAATTCACGAGCTCATTCGTCCTCTGCTTCACGTTTCTCAAAGCAGCGCATTCATCGAGAATGATCAGTATATTAGTTCCCTCATACGGATAAATATGGATAACTACTGTTCTTAAGACTATCTGCTCTTGAAGTGGAGTCAAGATAAGTAAGTCCTTATCATTTTCTCTAAAACCATCATATGTAATGTTTTGAATGAATGTCGGGCAAATCAAGAATATGTGATGAAACTTTCCTCGGAGGGTACTGCTCAAGAGATTTACCAGGTATCTCGTCTTTCCTGAATTTGTTGGTTCTACCATTAATGTATTGAATGGACTATTGTTAGTAGTCATATTTTATAGTGGGCACGAGCAAAAGTTCTTCTCTTCCCTTATTACCCTCTTATCATCATTTGAACTCAAGGCTATCTTGTTGATGGTCTCAGTGAAGACTTCATGCTTAAGTGATCTTATTGCAATTATATTCCTTATTTGAATCTTTCCTCCGCTGAATAAGCACTCCTAGTAGTATTCATGACTAATAATCTTCGCTACTAGAGCCTTCTTAACCCCTTTACACTTTCTCTCCACTTTTCCCTCAAGAATCTTGATGCTGTAAAGTTCTGCTCTCAATCCAATGAACTATTCAATGATCCTACCAACAGCTTCATTTTTCATCATGCCCACAACCTTCTTGTTGCAGCCAGTTAAGATCCCTGACATGTGATCTTTGTGGTAGTTGCTTGTGTCGAATTTATCTTCAACATCACCGCCTTTATCCTTGAAGAAGTATTCAGTTTCAATCTCATACACGAGAGTGTCTGTGTCTGTAAAGAGAAGCTTTGCTCGATCTCCATATTTTGGTTTGGTACAGTTATAATAGAAGTCACACATCAGTGTCTTGCTGATTGTCGAGGACGCTCATTCCACAGTAGACCGGCTTATCAAATACAAGTTTTGTCTCCCTCGAGTGTTGTGTAATGTTTGAAGTTTGGTTTTGCTGTAAAGTTTTCGTGCCATCGAACGATTTTTGACTAATCTCACATCTTCTCAATTCCTGATGCTTTCCATAATTTTCTGAAGCGGAATCTCAATAGATAAGGGATCTGACACAATCATCAATGAAACAGTAAATGCCCCAAGGCGATCACTGAAGGGACTTCTTCTCCTCTACAAGTCACACACAATAGGAGCAAGAGACAGTGAGAAGACATTCAATCCCGACATCACTGAGGTAAAGGTGGTTGTGAATGGAATACCGAATAAGGTTTTACAGTCGAGGGTATATGTGTGAGGGGTCTTTAGAAGATTTTGGAAAGAAAACAGCGCAATGAATGCAACAGACGTTTATGCTGAAGAGTGATGTGCTCTATTTGTCTTGGAAGTATGAGGGACAACGATCTTTACGGTTCAGGATTGAGATCGGTGGATACGAAGAAACTGAAGGAGTTCAGCTCTCAATTAACAGGAAGGCATCGGGTTTAGGGAATGTGAAATGTCACGTCTTTATCTTCGCAGAGGCTCAGCTCCACATCATCAACCAAGAGCTTGAGAGTGTGACCTACTAAATGCTTCTCATTTAAAATCAAGGCACACCACGATTCCTTCATAAGAAGATACAACATTGATGTAGATCCTGTTGTATGAAACCGTCAGGGAGCATGCAAGAGTGACAGTAGCGTGTGTCAATTACTTTGAATTTCACAGGAGGTGGCTTGTGAAATTCAAAATGTGTCAGAAACCTCATTTTGTAACCGTTGAACTCGTTGATCTGTGATACAGTAGTTCCAAAAAGTGGAGATGTGACTTGCGGCATTTGACAATGCGCCAGAGTCCGACTTTTGTAACTGCTCCTTAATACCTTTACAGGCGAGTGGATGTGAACATTGATCCACCGGACTAAATTTATTCATAAAATCTGACGAACCACTTGCCATAATTACGTAACGTTACGTAATGGTACAAAGATCAACCACGAGTACACATTGCAACTAATAAAACGTACAAACACTTACAGGTAAATTAAAACCTTAACGCAATACACACAGAAAACGGTATGACAATAAGTTTCACGATTACAGGCAGTATAAGACATGACTGAGACTAGGAATTTCATGATTTCTATTCTTTCCCTCAAAAGATCTTTAACCCATCAAGAAAACTTGCTATTCATTTTGTGTCGTTCGTAACACGCAAATCCGCTACACTTTTTTGACGGAGACTAGTTAACAGTACAAAGGAAGACGTCTTGTTGTTGTAATTTCTCGTTTCGTCTTTAACGGAGACTTCTTCAGGGAATGATTACAACTAACAATGGAAAGCATATGAACGCATTCTTGTGCCTAAGTTTATCTTCCCATGGAAGAGAATAATATCTGATATCTGAAACATGTTGTGAAGTGACGTTACAAGAAACTAAGAAGTAAAAGTAGCAACAATGGCAATGTCGTTGTGATAACAGCACTGCAACGAGATAAATAAAGAAACACAAGTTTTATTGAATTAGATGGAAGTGAATCCAAGTGCTGCGTGAAGGTCGATGCATACGAAATATTCATTTACCCATTAGGCGAAGTGGGTCACATGGCAATGCTGCACTTAAACTAAAGACGTTTTTCTCTATTAAAATCCCTATTTGAGATTATATTGAATCAGATGACTTCTCGGCGAAAAATCATCGTGCCTCGTGATACACCTGATTCTTTCGCCAAAAATCGCTTTTGGTTTGCTAAAGGAATTACTCTACATCAACCAAACTCTAGAGCACTGAGCAAGGGGAACCTTTGCCGCACTAAGCACGAAGGAATGAAATGGTATGGCAACAGAAACGAACACACTACCCACTCTTAACATAGATTTCGCCATAGAAAACAAAACACAAACGCAAAAAACTAAATATTCTGTAACGGGAGTTTTTTGTTCTAGTATTGACCTGAAAACCGCTGGCGAGAAACCGCCTTTGTCAGTCTTTGTCGAAATCTTCTTTGATGCACGCGGTTCTCCTTCGTAAGGCTGAACCGTACTCGCAACTTCCATTTCTTCTGTGTCACTTGAGTATGATGTATCACATCTCTCGTTAGAGCTTGCTGAAGGTAAGTATAGATCGCTATCGGTCATAATTTCAAGAGTATTTCAACACTTATTGATACAAAATTACATGAGATGCGAGAGATTTGTAAGTATCAACTGAGAGTTTTCACAGTTTTCACCCGCTAATTCGTTATAAGTCCACGGGACACTTTTAAGACAAAATAAGGACACTTTAGGGCCCGAAAAACCGTGTTTTGGGCTTTTTGAATTTTTTCTTCTATCGGAATTGGTTTGTACATGTGATAAGCTAAATATTTACGCAAAAAAAAAACATTCGTGTCATAGGCACTTAAATTCAAATGTTTTTGCCTGCGGTTGTATTTTGGGAACCATACGATTAGCGCTGATACGATAAGAATTTTGCCGGCTGATAGTAGCTCATGGTGACGCAAAATAAAGAAAGCAAAAAACGGTAGGTGACATATGAAGTGGGACGGAATCCCAATCTAGGAGCTGTATTCATTGACGTGGAGCTGTATTCATTGACGTGTCATGTCAGTGCCATCTGTAAGTCCTCTTCTTGCAATAAACCAGCTCTCAAAGAGCTTTACACCATGTTGGGGAGCATGATATGTTTGAATTACTTCTTATTACCTATGAAGTGTAGGCACCTAGCTATATTTCAAGTATGATTTATCAGTGCAGGCCCACTACACAACCTAGATCATCTTCTACAAACCGTCTTCAGGTAGCGAAATGCTAAACTGAAACTTATTCGGACATAGCCTTTAGTTTAGCCGCTCCATCCTTATGGAAATCTTTGCCAAGGAACATTAGCGCTTCGAGATTTTTGAATGAATTTAAACGGAACCTGAACTCATAATTTTAGGTTAGCTCTCTGCTAACTTTAACAGTTGTTCAGTTTTCTTAAGTTCTACTCTAGAGATCTATGAAATATGTAATATTATAGAACTTAAGTAGGTTAGATATTTTTCTCTTTCACATATATGGTAAAGCGCAATAAGTGCTTTACAGATTGTATATGGGCGTGAGTGTTTTACAGAGATCTAAAACACTCTTCACATGTACCTTGACCAACGGGCGTTGTTATGTGAACCTTTTTATAATTTGAGCACCGGCTATTTTGTTTGTATAATATCCAGTATTTGTATAAAAGCCAGCATTTGAATTTCTACCACATACATTTATTGTCCATATGATAAAAAGAAAATTACATGTTAGCTCCAAGTTATGAATTTTATGTTCTCGTGATACGAATTATATCTCACTCGCACATAAAACTCATATCTTCTCACCATCAAGTAATATCCTCTCTATACTTACGTCCTTGAATCTCTCTGATAGCTTTCGTTTATCTTTCATGTATTCTGGGTACCCAATGTTGTGTCTGATTGCAGAAGCCTGAGGGTGATAACATGAAGGTTTATTTATGTGTAATGAACAACGTATTAATGATTATGTAGTGAATTCGTTTCAGGAAAAGCCCAAAGTGAGTTCTTGCCGAATTGACTAAACGATAGCAAGTTCATTACCACTGGGCAGACGATTAAGAAACCATGGTTCACCTAAATCCCTTGGCTTGTTGTTTGTCAAAGATTACTATCCAGAAAATCAAATTTCTTGATTTAAAATGAAGGTTGAGCCAGGAATCAGACAACTCTAAGACATCATTCAGGTTGGTACAAAGTATCACCTTCAGCATTATGCTTTTTATGAATAGAGGACCCGCTTCGAGACCTAACAAATGTAAAATATCTTTACCAGCTAGATGTATAATATCAGAAACTGAATTTGAGATGTTCTCTGTAAGCTTAACAGTTCCGCAGCATTTGTCACCATTTTGAAACTTGCTTCTGTTTTTGATATTTCATTGTGTTAAATACGGATGTTTCTTATTGCTGTAGAACACTATAATCATTAACATTACGACGACATCGATGAATGAAAGAAATCTTGAAAGCGACTTTTTACGCAATAGCAGCTCGACTCGATAACAACTCTTACTGCTTTGCAAACCTTAGAGAAGAAACAATTCTCATTAATTTGGGGATTCCATAAGGGTCGCCATTGAAATGCATCCAGGAATATCTGGGTATATTATAAGAATAGAAAACGAAATTTTAACAACCATTGCTGAGAAAAGATACATTAAATAAGAACCTTGAATGTGTTTAAAAGTAATGAGGAATTATATAAAGTCATGTAAATTTCTTAAAAAAAGCACTGGCAGTGGATGGAAGTCTTTCGTCGCAGCGTTTATACCTTTTCTCTGGCATAAGCCCTTGTTTTGTTGTCCATCCAGTCAAGTTTGTCGAGGTTAGCGATGAACGTTTCCCTCAAATCATCGATCATGGCCATTACCTGAAATAGTTAAATCATTACAAGAAATAGCAAAGATTTATTTACTTGAAAAAGGCAAAGCAAACTTCTTGTTTACTTGATGGCATTGACTTAAAAATTTCAAGAATTTTGCTGAATATATATCTGATACTAAGTGACGTCGGGCCTATTCAAACAGTAAGTCATAGGCAGATTAATTTTGGATGAATCGGAAAGTACTTAGCTTTGAGTGTATAAGGGAACTGGTTGGAGGTATTAACCCCCACTGAAATGTTGTCGTCTTTGTAACACAGAATAAAAAGGTAAAATCAAGCCGTCCTAAAAAATTGTTCATAGGATTAAATGAGAGCATTTTTTCTGAAATTTTTATACTCGTTCTCTTTAATGAAACCAGCGATTTTAACCAGTTCAAAGGGTTAAGCCTTAGATTTTTAACAAGAACAGCACATTTACATTCAATTTTTTATGTTTGTATACATATCCAACTTTAATTATAATATAGCGCGCACGCAAGGTCTACCCATTTCCTAAGGCGCTACCTTGGTAAAAATCCTTATGTGCCACACGTCCGTGTATCTATAATAGCGGAGCTCGCAGAGCGTAGCCCCATAATTATACAAAACAGTAGTAACCCATCAAGCCGAAAAAATTTGGAAGTACGACCGTAGGACCGTAGGACTGACCATAAAAGGTGCTACTTTTAGCATGCGCGGCCAACTGTACCACGGGCACTATCTTATAATCAGTCCTCTACAAGGACACGGAGAAGTTGCGAATGAAAATCCATTAATATTACCGCGCACTGTATCCATAGTAGGGGATTTTTAGTTTTGTTGAAGAGACGTGCGGGAAAAGAAAATGCGAGCTCCGTTTTTAGGCTTGCCTAAATCTATATATTAAATCTATATATTATGACGTGTGCAGTTTTAATTCAGCTGAAGTTCAGTAGAGTTTGGCCGCGAGGTTTCAAAACTTTCAATATTTTTTCCGCTCTATTCCGATTGAGATACACCTTTTGGAGCTCAAATGAAAGAAAATACGCTAAATGATACTCGTTTGGAAAAACATGAGCATGTAGATATTTCAAGCAGCGAAATTAGTTTTCGAGTTGACGATACTTCATTCCCAAAAGCAATGCGGATTATGGCTGAAAACTGAACTAAGTTTTCTGACTTTAAATCAGGCTTTGCGACGCTGGGGACTCTTCACTAGAACGGTAAATATTATTTTGAAGTGATGATTTGTCCCAAAACTGTTTCCCAAAAGAAATTTTTATTTTGAAATGATAAAATTTTCATAATTTTCAACAAAAAGCTATGTAAGTTTCTTGCCGTACATTCTAGTAAACAATAGTTCAAGCAGGATAAATCTATCACACTGGTCTCGTAAATGCAAGAAATTTGTAATTTTTTTCGCTTCGTTTTTCGGACTTGTGATATCATTTTTAGCTGTTGATATTTGCTTGAAGTATTGTTCAGAACTTTCAAACTTTTCAACACAAAACTATGAAAATTTCTGGCCGTGAATTCCAGTAAATAATGATTCAAGAATGTTTTATTTACTACGTACATGCAAGAAATCCGTTCCTTGATCGCTTCTGAGTAGAACATTTACAATTCTTTGAATAAGCTTTGGTCTCGAAATATTCCTTAGTCGTTTTCTCCTTGTCATTTAAACATAGTTTACGGGAGGGACACGATTACCTGGTTAACCCGACACAGTAGTAACAAACTCTTTCTTTACGAGCACAACTTGTGTCTGCATACTATGTAATAAAATAATTGTTTCAAGCCTTAATGTGCGTATGTCAAGTTATGGATACACTTGGATAGCTCGAAGAGCACTGAAAAAGCTAGAGGTTTTTTCAGCTGCGCCTCAAGCAAGTTTTGCACTTCTCTCGTGCTCTTCAGACTTCCTGCGTGCATATATAACCCGATATACGCACGCTAAGTGTGGACTAATTCTTTGATGACTGGTCCGGAGCCGCTATTTTCGACGCACATGTAAATTATAACTAGTAAAAAAGAGACTGTCGAACAAAGCTCCCAAACTTACAAAGAAATAACAAATAAACGTGTTTAAACTCTCCTCACTAAAACAAGGCCCTCACCGACTCTTTATCTTTTTTTTCAAACTTCTCATCCAGGAAGATTACTCCCAGAGGATCTCCAATGTCATTGTCAAGGCGACTCATTTCCGTAATACATTTTTTCCAGATGTCTGTCTCGCCCGAGCTTCCCATAACCACCCTGTGATAGTTGTAGAAAGCCCTACGGTATTCTTCACTAAGATGGGGAGCCAGCTGAACAACTACCTGCCACATCATGTAATTAGCAAGAACCCTGATAAAAGAATAGGAGAGAAATCATTGGAACTGCGTCCCAAATAATCGACTGTTTTAAATAAAAACTACGGTCAAACCTGTTTTAAGCGGCACCGTATTTAGCGGTCACCCTGTATCAAGCGGTCAGTTGCCAAAGCCACGATTTTTTTTGCATTGATCTCCGCAATTTTCACCTCCATTAAGCGGTCGCAATCACCCTTTAGTGAGTCCCAACGGCCCATTTTATTATTCTCCACCTGTATTGAGCGGTCAGAAAAACTAAGAATAATCCATGTGTCTCCCCCACAATCGAAGTTAGAAAAATTGTTCGAGCGAGTTTCAATTATAGCATCAAGTGGGATTGCTTAAAGCCACATATGTCGTCGAGATGGGCGAGTGTGCGTAACAATTAAATTCCAATCTTGAGCCAATTTTCACCCGATGTTTTCCGGTGCTATCTATTGTATGTATCTGTGTACTTTAGAAAGTCGAAATTCGCACTCGCTACACAGTTGAGTTCTTTCCTTTTGTGATTTATGGCTTATAGACACTAGCATATTATGTTTTTAGTTCTTGCCGTGACACTACGGAAACAGCAGAAGACGATAAAGATCTCACAATTATTTTCAGGATTGTGCACGTGCTGCTTAGAGGCAGAGAAAGGCCGCAGACTGCCATATGCTGCTTAGAAGGAATAGGGAAATGAAATTGTCTAGCGACTGGTTTGGATGCGTCTTTATCATCTTTCTTTAGGTTACGAAGCTGTTCTCGGAATCGGTTGCTTGGTCGTTTTCCTGTTTCGCCTATGTACATCTTTTTGCACTGAGTACAAGTTACGCAATAAATAACATTGGTGGAAGTACAGGTTAAAACAATGATCACTGATCTTAACAGATTGCTTGGGTCCTGACCCAATATTTTCTGAACGTTTCGAATGAAAGGACGGAAAAGGTTTTTATGTTTTTGTTGTGTTTGAATGAAATTAGCAGAGGTTAAATTGATTTAAAATTACTCCGAAACTGGTATAATATTTACATATTATACCAGTTTCGGAGTAATTTTAAAGCAATTTAAAGTTTTTTAAAAAATGATGGATTTTGCTGCTTTATTCGGTGAGAATGAAATGCGAGGGTGAGTGAAATTCAATGATTTTTCTCTTTCTGTGACGTTTGGCAGTGATGGCCATCTTGAACGAGAGAAGCAGAGTAGCCATTCTTTTGGAAAAACTGGCACATTGCTTCTGACTTTTTAGAAAAATCAGAGTCCTCAGTATATAGGCGACGAAGTCAAAGAAACTGAGAATAAGAAATGAATTCTTGTCATGTGATGGATGTGAAGATGAACACAACAGTTATCCATAGGAATCATTAGCATTGTAGCACACACTGTTGAATAGGCCGTTTGCCTTCGAAAGAAAGTTTGATGACTAGAAATTGGGAGCGACGGTGAAAAGGAATGGTTTTAGTGTCCATAGTGTCCCATTCCTAATGCTTTGGTGGAAGCATTCTAATCAAAAGGTATCGCCACATCTATGAGGGTAAAATCCTCGATTCTTTTGCGTTTGATAACAGTGCGTAGACGATTTGCTGTTATTTCTGTCTCTCTGGATCGTAATCGTACCACTTATTAGCAGTGTCTTCATCAAAAAGAGTACCAACTATTTGAAAATTGTATTCAACCGTCATTAAAACTAGGCTATGACGCCCCATTCTGAAATACCTCAGAGGCGTTGCCCTTACACTCATCAACTAGTAAAAGCCACAACGTGCGATTCATAAAGAACTGCTGCTTTGGTTATCACTAATTCATTTCTGGACCCAAGAATGCCTATTTTTTTTCATCTCCGAATTGTACAAACAAATCACCAACAGAGAAAAAAGCGAGAAACTACTAGATCGTAAGTTAGCGACCCATTTAGTAGATTTGCAGTAAATTTTTGAACGGTTAGGTAGCTTTTTGAAATCTCAAAACATGGTATGTTTCGCAACTTAATGTACACTTTATAAATGCCTGAGATGAACTGCACGATGATATTTTGATGATATTGAACTTGTTCTTAGTAATCAGCATAGGAACTGAGTTAAAGATTTCCTCCAGCGAGCGTTAACTTCTTCAACTGAATACAACTAGCAGCAGGTAGATGGGCAAGATATAAATGATGTTGAAAGATGTTTGCAATGGTCGGCAGCCGGGTGGCGACGCAGATGACGTGATAGTACTCAAAGTGCTTCAACTTTTATTAAGTCTATCAAATTGAATATGGTTAATTGATTACTCAATGTTACCAACCTTTCTGGTGTGTTGGTTATCAAACTTGACATGTTTGTCAAGTAATCCAAAGCAAAAATGGCGAGCTCTTCGTCTTGCTCTATTTCGTAGCTGGTGTCTTGAAACATTGCTTTTATGTAAAACAACCAGTCAATCTACGAGTATAGAAATAGCGGATTACACACGTGTAAGTATACATTTTTCAGTAACTTGTATTGTACCAATTTGTATCGATGTTGTATGCTTTTAACTTTAAAGACAAATCGCTCTAAATTATTGGTATTCTTCATGAGAACTCTCCAAAACCACTTTAACTGAGTATTCATTGTTTTAAACACAAAACTCAGAAAGAAATTCCTTCTGAAGATTATTCACTTAACTTTTATTTAAGATAGTTTTACCCTTGAGCATTGACCAAATGCAAAGAAATTGTGATGAGAAATGGTATTAAATGGGTAGGCAGATCCTGTTTATAGCTACTGAGCCTAGTGAAATAACCCCTGCAAGGGAACTCTTCAAATTTATTCTGAGAGTGAAACTGCTGCTCAAGGAAAATGCTTTTTGGTTCTGAAGGCTTTCTTTTGCACTAGTAAATTGTGCACAACACGCGATACAAAGAAAGTCGATAAAAAAGCGTTAAAACAGCCGAAAGCGACGACGCAGGCAGGCGCTGACGGAATAAAGGTGAAGAGACTCAACAAGTTATATTTCTATCATCATTGTTATTTTTTTCTTATTAGTTTTTTTTTACGGCACGCGCTTACGCTTAATTTTAAATCTTTTTTTTACTAGATATACCCTGTTACAGTCGACTCTCGCCCTGCGAACGCTTTGCTATTACGGATATCCCGCCATTGCAAGTAAGAGGTAGCCCCCCGGCGAAACGCATAAAGAAATGACTGAAATAAACTCCCGTTATTACAGACTCTCGCTATTAAGGAAATGCAGACACTTTCATGCCCCCTCCCCCAGCTCGAAATTTCATTTGTTTTTTCTCTCGCTATAACAGACACTTAAGTACTCGTCCAAAATCCTGACTCACATAATATGAAGCAACATTATGATAAAGGAAACTAGTGACACCATTCTTCAATTGGATGCGAACTTGAAAATTTCCTGCTTGCGACCGGATCTGTTTGTGGCCACGGTATAAAATTTATGTTTACGTAGTTACATTTTATTTCTTATGCATTAAGACGAAATGATTTTTTTCTCTCGTTTCCTGCTATTACGGAATCTCACTATTACGGACACTAAATCTTCCCCCGAGGGTGTTCGGAATAACGGAAGTGGACTGTAGTAGTGGTGATGGTGGTGGTGATGATAGCAGCGGCACAACAAAAGAGTAATTTTCAATTGAGTGTCGAAGTTGATCTTGGATTGCTTAATTTCTGCTTTACTTCGCTCTGTGATTGGTCAAGAAAACTCACACTTCCCTATCAATACATCAAATAAAAAACTAAAAACCAATTCCAGCTCGATCATTCGCGTTTCCCCGCGCTCTAAGCAGGTTATCTATTTTCCTTTGAGTTTTCATTGATTAATGATGATGTTGAACTTTGTTCTGATAAGTTTTTGTGGTTACCTTTCTTTGGTTCATCAACACTCCATAAAAAATTGCTCTATAAGTTTATCTTAGGTCGGGTACATTAGGCTTTAGGCTGGTTAGGCCAGTGAAAAAAACAAAAGAATATGCCGAGAAGATAAACTACGACAAGAATACAAGGTATTTGATCGATTACATGGTATCGAATAACTAAGGTTATCCATCAAATTAAAACAATGTAACCAAGCCATTCGCCGTAATTTTCAGCGATACTAATCCTCACCGGTTTTTCTGTTTTGTTTTGAAGTTCTTTCAAAGTCATTAACTTGTATACCTTACTTCTGTCAGCTCTCTCGTTAGCAGTTGCGGATAGCTTGAGCAAAGAAAAAATTAAAAATGGCCGTTACTCTCTCTATAATAATGTATCCTCATTTGTCACGATGATTAGTTTTCGATGGAACTACCTTTAAAATTTCAAAATAAAATTTCCTAACTGATTTTTGACCAGTTAATTGGAGAAATTTATTTCTTACCTTAGAAAGGTCCTGTTCAAATTCAAACACTTCTTTAAGCTGGTGCTCGGCCCACTTAGTCTCTCCACCGATCAGGTTGATCAACTCAGACATAAGCTGCTGGTAGGCCTTTCTTACCTACAGCCAACAAAACAAAATGTATGGAGTTTTACATAATAGGAAGGTCACAACAATTTCCTTCGTTGTTCAAGAAAAGGCTAAGATTAACATTTTATCAAGCAAAACATGAAAATTATGCCAAAAGTTTTATTTAATAGGTTGGCCTACGTACTTATTAATAAGTTTGTAGATAACCATCAAAACCACAGTGTTCCTGTAAATCCTCAAGACAATGCGAAAAGATTACAGGACAGTGTCAGAAAGTTGGCAGACCTTTTTTTTACAATTTTTTAATCATTTAGCAGCCATAATCCATAACCCGAAAATATTCCGGCAAACAACCTCGGATTAAGAATGTTGAAGGCTTTGCCGTTTATTTATCAACTTGATCGGGTGGCGCGAAGAACGAGTGACGTGTCAGCAGCTGATTGGCGATATCAATCACTCGTGAAAAAATATCATAGTTTTCACGTTGTTACGGCTTTTCTCGGGGCTGGAAATCCTTGTATAACACCGCAGTGTATATGATAAAATAAATAATCATATGGCTTCGGCTTGTGGCCGATATAACGTGCGCTGATTGGCTACGACAAAGAGCAGAGCCGTGCATTGTAAGCGGTAATGCCAACGGGCCGCTTACGGATTATGTAAATTACGAGGAGCACAACAGATCACACAAGTACCGCGGTGGTTCTCCTCTTTTTTAATTTTTGTCACAGCTAGTTTAGTAGTTATCATTAATAATTTACCACTCCATAACACAAGCAAGTTTAAATCAGCTTCCAGTAACATCAGATGTAAACAGTCGAGCGGTTCCTGTTAGCAGCAGTATTGCTCATTACATGGAGTTGTTTTTATATGTTCAAAAAGCTTGTAAACATCATCCGTAAATCTCTTAGAAGGCGGAGATGTGAAGTCGAAAGCGAAGACTAAAATATTTTAAATAATGCATTCCGATGATTTGTATCTTTTTGCCAAGAGGCCGTACGTGTTTGTTTGGACTAGTTTGGACTACAATTTTGAAGCACTTTTCTGTCTTTCCTGTATGCATTCTAGTTGACGTTTGCCTTGAAAGTCAGGCAAAAATTTATTTGTGACACCTCTATATAGAAGATCATCTTTTCCGAAAATAAATGTGTTCCTGCCAGAATACGTGATACACCGGTGTAGTTCACTGATTACGTAGTTTAACCGAGGGTTTGAGTCGATGAATGATTGTATAAACGTGCGCATCGCCGGATGTAAATTGACGACTTCCGCTTGAATAAGTTTTTCGTTTCTTCTTCTTCATAAGCCATATTATAAATAACTAAATAACTACGACTGTCGGTCGCTATCGCTCGAACAATACGGCAAGGAAGGCCTTAGTTTGAGATTATCCCGTAATGACCTCAATCTCGGTTGTTAAGTGGTTAATAACGAGAGTAATTAAAATCTAGGTAATAACTTTGATTACCCAAACGATTATTGACGTTATCTACAAGATACAAAACACTAATTTCCTAACAGAAAAGAGAAGTTACAAATAACAATTATCGTAAGACCCGTTCTGCTCCGAGCGCTCATGTGCCTTACCCTGTGCCTAAATTTCGCCGTACTCCTGACAACATACTTGCTATAGAGACTATTTGCAAGATTGAATTAGGGATCAGATCACTCAATCCCGAACAGGCGGGCACTGTCAGAAGAGCTCTCAACGGAATCCTTTCATAAGTAAAACAACCGGAGCCTAACCTCACGAAGAAATGCAGGACACAGTAAAACTCCTAGAGGAAGACCAGTCTATCATAGTTCTACCAGCAGACAAAGGACGTGCTATTGTACACCGACACCTATCGGACTAAGATGTTCTCCTTGATCGAAAACAGACTTATCAGCGCTCGAAAAAAGATCCGACAGACATCTTTGCCATCTTGTCCGTGAGCGCGTAAAAAGCTTCCTACACTGATTTAAACTACCAACAGCCTTCCATTCACTTCACTAGGGAAACGGAAGGTAACACCAAATTCACCTTCCTTGACACTGCAGTACAAGAGAACCTGATAGACGTCTATCCACCGGCGCACACAGCAAACCGACACACACTGACCAGTACTTAGCAGATCCACCACAGTCCTGCCCTTTGTCAAAGATCTTTCCGAACAACTTCGCCGCTGTTTAAAAGTTGGAGTCTACGTTATGATCACACATATTACTACCGAGACATGTGGTCAACCCGGCTATGCAGGATCAAAACATGTTGTACAGGATTCTCTGTGAGTGCGGGGAATTCTTCATCAGCGATACTGGCAGATCTATACAAGAGAATCAAAGAACACGGCAGGAATGTACGACTCGCGAAGACCAGAATCTACGCCATTTCAGTACACAATCACAATAACGGATGTCACCCGCTCTAGAACGAGGTAAAGTTCATTGATTGTGATACCCATTTCTAACACGCAGTGTGAAAGAGGCCATCTATATGACACTTCACCGTAACAATTTCAACAGGGACAGTGGGATCGAAATCCCAGAAGCGTGGATGCCCACGATCAATAACATATCAGCAGGCAGCGGACCACAAAGAAAGACATTAAAGGGAAATCTTCTCTAAAATATAAGCTCAAACTCGTCCAAAATGTTCTAGAATGGCTTAAGATTATCCATGAAAAAGGAAAAAGAGTTTTTCGGTAAGAAATGGCGTCGTTATTGTCATAGTTGCCGATCTTTACCCTTTCAAATATACATTTTTTAGTGCCTGTTTGATTATGCGGAGGATATCAATGCGCCTGTAAGTGAAAAGCAGGTTGTGTAATTCAAGATACACCATGCAAACTATCACAGATGGCCCTGAAAACAACCCCAAAGCGTTTACAAGTTCGTATTTTCGAGATTTTAGCATTTTCGGAGGATTGTTAAAAACTACAATATAATATTGAAAAACGATTAAAAAAGGATGAAATCTACAATATAAAAAGCAATAACATCGGACTGTAAAAGGATATTGTATAAAAATATAACAGAGATTGTTAATAGTTATACAACCCTATATGCAATTTACAAACTATTTATAAATGTGATTTAATAAATAGGCATTAACTTCCCTTAACTAAACTTTGAAATCGCTACAGTTTCTCATATTTGCCGAAAGGGCATTAAGTAACTTGACAGTCTTGAAAGGTGCCCCTCTCCATTGGTATAATTATTTTAGTATCGTCAGCGTATTGAAATGAACCAATCGAGAAAGGGAGATGATCTTGCAGATCGGAAACGCAGAGGTTAAATAACATTGGGCCGAGGATCGACCCCTGTGGCACACCAAACCGTACGTTCACTGATTCAGATGTACGATCATCGATCTGTACGAAATGTGACCGATCACTCAGTAGCTATTCAACTAGCACAGAGACGGCTTCGAGAAACCAAGCGTTGATAACTTAGTTATAAGAATCTTGTAGTTGACTGTGTCGAACGCTGTAGAGAAATCGGCCAGCACTTTGAGAGCAACCTCACCTTTTTTCATCGCTCTTACCAAATCGTTGCGCATAGCCATTAGCACTGTATTGGTCGAGTGTCCCTTACGAAAGCTAGAAATTGTATCGCGGAGTACTGATCCAGATTCACAAAAGGTGGTCATCTGCAGCGCGACAAGTTTCTCAAAGACTTTTGATAATGTGGGGAGAATTGAAATGGGACGAAAGTGTTCCTCAGACTTCGGTTGATCGACTTTAGGAATTGGACTGATCCTCGCATTTTTCCACGCCTTAGGAAAATAGTACTTCCTGATACATTTGTTGATAATAGTTGTGAGGGGACCAGCAATGGATTCAGCCACCATTTTAACTAATTGGACAGGGATACCGTCGGGGCCAGTAGACGTATCAGATCTTAACAATTTCAGCACGCTCAGGACCTCGCTGTGGGGCACTTCTCGGAGCTTGAAATTAGCAGGGCTATCATCAGGTAGAGATTAAATTTCTTCTTTAAGACAGGAAGGTAAGTCACCACTAACAGGTAAAGTTCTCCCGGTAGTACAAGCAAAGAATGAGTCTAACCTGTCAGGATCCTGCCGCAAGGGTTGCTGGTTAGGTTTCAGTATGCGGTGGATAATACGCCACAGCTTCGGTTTATTAGAGGATAACGCCTGCCTTGTGAAGGTCTCGCGAGCCCGACTAATAGCTGCCTTCAACTTGTTTCTGACGTCCCGCTGTAGTAGTGACCGTATTTGGCAGTCCTCTATCCGAAACTCGTAACTCTCTCCCTCCGAAGAGGGGCATGTCTCTCGATAAACTCCTTAAACATGCTGTTTAAGTGTTCTAACTGTTCCTCTGGATTATCACATGAGTATACGATGTTCAGATACCGATCTACACCCACATTTATACAGGCAAACGGAGAATCGTGGTCGCTTACAATACTGGTAGCAATGACATCAGTGGCAGAAATGCACATTGGGAGGTTAGTAATAATATGATTAATCAGTGTTCGAGAGGTCCTAGTGACTCTAATCGGCTTCATAACAAACATGTCTAAGGTATTACCGTAACGCGTAAGGAAAGAGTCAGGGCGACCGATAACATCAAGTTAATATCGCCTATAAGAACTACCTTGCCATTCCACGTGGATGTGATATGACCAAGCAAGTCCTCGAAACACTCTAGCCCGTCATCAGTAAGTCTGACCTGTAAATAACTCCAAGCAACAGTTTACTGTGTTTGTTTCTCCTTAGTAGCTCCAGCCATAAGTGCTCCAGGTCTGGTTGAGTTTTTTCAATGTCAAAGTTTTTTCAGTGTTATGTGGTAAATGTCAGGAATGACGCGGCTTGACATGGTCAGAAACAGTTATTAAGTAAGAAAGCCATTCAATCTGAAAGTGGTGCTTTTTTCTACCGTTGCCGGTTAAAGTTCAGGCTGTTGGAGGGCTGACAGTTAACCGATGGAGGCCTTCTTGATGATTTTTTTCGGATGTATTTTAGATTTCTGATAGTTCTCAGAAGAATACAACTTAGTCGGAAATATTTCCGAAAAGTCCAGCCGCAATAAAAAGTAGGTGCTTTTAAAATAGTATAGGTATTTGGACGTGATGAGACAGATACGTTGTACATCATATCTATCAGGAATCGTTATCACTTACTTGGTAATGGTAAGAAGTATTAGCGAGGTATGCATCTCTTGTAATGGTATGAGTCGTTTGATCTATCTGAAAAAGATAAAAGAATAGGTTACCGGTGGGAAAACTGCAATATGAGTTGAGCATTTAAGTATGGATTTAAACATTTAAGTTTTCTTTAGACAAAAATTAGTTTCCGCAGAGGGAGTATTTTTGTAAGTTGACTGCTCCTCTTTAACACGCTGCTAAATTCCTGAGGCTTATCATGGATTAGCAAGGGGTAGTTGTTGATATAAAGAGTCCGTCAACAAAACGGATTAAAGAAAATTTAGATTTAGCCAGGAGAAACTCTGTTATGAACTATTATCGAGAATGTGTCGTAAAAGCTGAAATAGAGAAATTTAGATTTGGTCAGGAGGAACTCCGTAGCAAACTGTTTTCGAAGATCTGTAGTAACACGAATACAATAAAAAAAGATATCGGTAACAAAGTGAAACGACTAGTTGTCAAGTTAATAAATTTTTCAAATGTATGACTGAGTGTCATTTCACCAAGGGAAGGTAAGACTTTTTTTGGACAACGAAGGGAATAGAATTTCCGAGTTCCGAGATAGAAAAATTGTGTGTGTCGATTTGCACTTTCAGCGCTCGATTAGCTTTGGCACGTAATTCACGATAAATGTATGCTACGCCTCAGTCCTTTTGTCATCCAAGATATTAGCTTTTCAGAATCATGTGAACACGAGTCGTGACCTTGCGGGTGTTAATCAAGTGAAGGTGTAATGCGCTGCTATGAATGAGATAGGATGCTATGTCTTTTTTCTTGCAATTTCTTTAATTGCAGTTCACCTGCCGGGATCATATCTTCATTTAATTTCATAATTTCAGTTGTGGTAACGGATGTTGATGTTGACAAAAATTATCCACCATAATAAGACCTATAACTACTTCAAATACAACCGAGTTTGATGGATTTCAAATCATTCTAAAATAAACTTCAATACCATTATGACGTAGCGCGAGGATTCCACCAGATCTGGTTTTACTTGAAGTGTAAACAGTGGAGAGAGCTTGAGCTCTTTGTGAATACGAACCAAAGTCTCGGCAAAATTCCAGGAGTCGGAAGTCCAAGTTTTGTTGGTGATATTCCATGATCCATACCTCGCAATTAATTCAAGAAGAGGTGACCCTTTCGCATGTTCAATGGCGTCCTGGTCAGTGCAGGAATCGTAATATAGGAAGGCCTTCTGAACAGCATCATTCTAATCAAAGAGGAACTAATGAGGCTACGTCCTATAAATATTATCGATAGTAGGGGAAAGGGATGATTTACCCCTTAATCTTGCCTTCAATGCGATCTATGCAATCTGGAAACTAATATAAAACTGGCAATAAAGTTATGAAATGAGTCACTCACCCCGATATATCTCTTTCTGACTGTTTTGTCATCGAGAAGCCTCTTCAAAAGTTGGTCATTTCTTTTCTTGAGAGCAAGCACTTGATTCCAGAGTGGTTCATTAGGTGGAATAGGGTTGCTCTTGATCCAGCCGCCACATGCGTGAAGGAAAAAGTCTTCGCACGGATCTACATTCTGGTCGACTGTCCGCAGAATATCTTTTAAAGAATCAAGAGAATCAAACAAGGTAAACAGTTGTTCTGAGTCTAAAACCATATGCGTAAGTCTTACTATAGTGGCTCATAATATAGATTACTCTAATGGGATGGCTTCACAAAGAAAAACGGCACAGATGTGCATCGACTGATTCGCCTTTGACAATTGATCAAAAATGAATACAATTGTTTTAATCAACAGATTTGCGATGAATATCGGTAGAAAAGCTGTAGCAACGTTCACGGCAAGGACCTACGAGAGGAACGTTTCTTCACTTTTGAAATCGTCGTGTTTGGATAAAATGAATTCTGCTACAGTTTCCCAGCGAACCATTATTGTTAGCGAAAGCTATCGAGTAATGTTTGTCTTCATTGTCACATTGCCGCTCCACCCGTTGCTTGGTGAGTTGGGGAAAATATAACACAGATGAATAAAATTTAGAACTTTGAACTGAAAAGGGGCTAAGGATTACTTCAGTTACAATCAATTTATCAAAAAAACCTTTCCGATTTATTGGACATTTGCATCACTGGTAATTAGCCTAGATGAGAATATTCAAGGTCTTAACTATCCAAAGTTAACTCTGCTGCTACTACAAATAGGAAGGAGATGAAAACATAGTTTGATGTAAATATAACTATAACGCTTGAATGAAAGGTAGAGAGAACTCATGAAAATGTTAAAATCATTGTAAGTCATCAACGCAGCACTGTCAAGCAATGATAGTACAGCCGTTTATGGGAGAAGCATGGAGTTTGAGTACTAAGTAGGTTTAAAACATGGCAACTTTTTGTAGCCACTTGCTGGTATCCAGCAGGATTGTTCCAGGATTTGAACGCTCATCTTGACTTATATAGCAACACGCAAACACACATCGCAAGAGTTCTTCAGATACTCTTTTACATATCTTCATGTGGCGTATCCCCAACAGAAAAAGAAGAGTTTTAATATTACTTTTTGTAAAACATACTATATTTAATTAAATTTAACGATCATAGCAAAAATTAACTTGGTACTTTATCCACAGGACACAAATTGCGACAAAAACAAATCCGGAAATTCACTGGTTAGCGTAGTGTCGAATTTGGCAATTTCCCAATTCTTCTTTGTATAAATTACTTTGAACAAAAGTTAACAGCTACATCTTTGGAAGCATTTTCCGACCCAATTGTTAGAAAGATTTTGTAAGTGAATTTAGCAGGTTTCATCTCACAAGAAAGCAAACCAATGGTAAAGACTCTCTAGCCTAAGAAATCTGCGAAGTGTAACTATGGTGGCTGGCTAGTCAACCTTAAGTAAGCCATTTCCTTTCTGTTGGGAAATATCTAATCTTTTTTTTTTTTTTCGCGCCGTTCATTAGAATAAAAAGGTTCTAAAATCCTAAGAGTCGTAATAGCTTTCAATAAAAATGACTTTGGTTAGCAAGTGCTACTTACTGGCAGAGGCGAGTATGCATTGGACACTTGTGCATGGTGGCGTCACATTCCCACTCGAGTTAGATGTGCCCAGGACGGTTCTACAAAACGAGCTTCGAATTTCATCGTTCCCTTGCAATTTTTCTATTGCCAAAAATATGACTAGGCTGATACAGGCCAGGGAAAGCAGAACTACCACAAACACAAGTACTGAAGTGCTACATCCATTTCTTTGCACCCGTTTTCTACTGTGTATTATATGGCCGTCAGGACTGTTTGAATTCCCATCAAGATGCATCTTCTCTTCCATTGTTAAGCGGTATTTGGGATCTGCCATTTTTCTCCTCGATGGACTCAGACGCTTTTTTAATTTACAGAAAAATACTGAAATGATATGCCTTTGTCCTTATGGTGAACTGATGTCAAGTGGAAAATGAGGGAACACTCTGGCAAAGTGCTATTCGAATTATAAGGATTTCGAATTTGGCAGCTGAAAATGTTTTCAATCAGTACATTATAGATATTGTTCATTTTTGATTCGCCCATTATGCACCACATGCTTTGTTTGTGGTTCCGCAACATAAATGACTTAATAAACCGAAAAAGTGATTTCATCTATGGTCCACTGACCTATCTTTTTGTCGGCAGGTGACCGGTTTTTTGGATAAATTTAATAAAAACTGATTAGCATTACTGTTTACGTTTGTTGGTAGTGTTCAATAGGCGATCCGCCATTCTAATCGGCTTTCCCTTGATGGATCGTAGAATTGCAAGAAAGTGAAAATTAAGGTATGAAGTAGTCGTTATGCTTTGCTGGATTCTTTGCGGGCTTGGAAGCGTTCAAACCAATATTTTTAAGGGTATAATTGATGTCACTTGGCAGTCGCGCGTTCTCGTAAATTTACACCTTGAAAGTATCTTATTGTATTCCAAGAGCGTGGATTATTATTTTTTTTTGTTACGCAAGATGTAAAGCGACAAAGCTTTTATGGTACAGGTTCAAATTGTAAGTAATTCTTAGTAAGGTGAGTCAGTACGTTTTTACATAACAGGTGATAAGTAGGAGTGGTGATATGACTATGCTGCCAACTCAGGAAGGGCTCCTGGGTCGATTTGACCAAAAATAGCGCCAACAGCAATAAGCAACGAGGTTTAATTTGCATTTTCAAAGTTTCCCAAAATTTCCCGAGTCGCGGAGCAACTCGGGAAATTTTGGTAAAACTTTGAAAATACAAGTGAAATTTATCCTTAATTGCCCGAGGGCACTTGCGACTTCTTATTCATCACTTAAAGGCAAAATTTTTGAGGGGATTGCATTCGAGCACGATGTCCCCGCGATGAAGCCTTTTCAATGCCGCCACAAATGTCAAAACAAACGTAACTGACCAATAGATCCAATGAACATTTTATTCTCAAAATACAGTTAACAACGTTACACGGCTTAATTCAGTTAAACTGCAATCGATCAATCGTTGCCGCAAACAGCAGAAAGGTTCAAAATGTATTTATCTGAACAATACACCTAAATCGGAGTCAGATTCTGAACGAAGAAATTTTCTGGTAACTAAGCATGCTCTGGCCGACACTTGCTTGGGAAGAATGGTTTCCAGCGATGTTGAGAGTTACACTGCAATGACTGAAATTGAAAATTTACTCAGAGCTGAGCTGGGATGTGTTTGCACTGCGGACAGTGGTTGGATTACCTGAGTTCTAACCATCGTTGTTATCTCTATGTCAACAGACATGTACAATTGTTTGTACAATTAAACAAAAACATTTAATAAAAAGAGATCAAAGAACCTATAATAAAACACTAAATATAATCAAAGTCGGTGAAAAGAAAAAATTGATCTGTAAGAAAATGAAAAGCAACATCACAAAAATCCTCATAAAAAAATTCTGGAAAAGGTGTATCACCCTCCCCTTGAATAGCTTACAAAGAGGTGTGACCCCTTTTGGTGCTCACTTTAATTGATGACCCTCCCCTCTGAGGCCCCAGCCCTTCCCCCCAAGAAAAAACGTACCTTTCCTTAGCTTTACCGGTACTATTTTTTTATAACCATTAAATAGATTCAGTCATTCAGTGACTAAGCAGGGTAAACATACAGACGATAGCCAGATGAGAAACTCTGTGGGCGGAAGGATGGCACATATCGGTTGCATCCAATCACGGAGCGACTGAAGGCTTACGTATGTTAGAGCCATAATCGAAGGTGTGCTTAAAATCATTTCAGGGTTGTTATGTAGCTGAAGGGAAGCATTCCTTTAGCGATTTCTACCTGTAACAAAACGTCTTTTGTAGAGTCACGCAACAGGTCAGCCAGTCAATCTATTTAAAGAAAAGCAGTACTTTAGTTCATAGTAAAAGCACGGATTTCATCTTTGCTCATGAGTGAAGCCATTAGATTTAAAAGATACCTGTCGAGGTTTGCTCTGTTGGTGGCCCTGCCATTACATGTATAATATAGTATACATTTTTCATGCTTGTAGCCTTGCAAATATCCTGGGCATCATTATCACAAACGAACCTAACTCATTTCATAACATCGAAACTATGCATGTAAGTGTTCTAACATTCCATACGGACCACGTTCCAGGGACGTTCAATGTTACTCTCCGCATTCCTCGATTACCAAAACAGTCTTGCACTGGTTATAATTTCAAGAAAGCAGATTCTGAAACCTTCCAAAAAAAGTTTCGCGATGCAGACTTGACTGACCTGATCTCTACCACCCTAAATGGGGAACTTTGAGAATTGGTATTTCAACTTACATCTCTCATTGACGAGCACATACCCAAAGTAAAACTCAAGAGTATCAACTCTCCTCTATGGATTGTTGGTCAAGTTAATCACTTGCTCCGAAAGCAAAACGTCAGAAATAAAACTTTAAAGACTAATGGTGAATACTATCGTGAAAAATTCTGTACTCTTTATTGTGAATGCAAGTTGCTAATCTACAGTAAATGTAACGACTATACAGACTCTTTCAAGCGTCACTTCACGGGAATCCAAAAAAAATTTTTGGTCGTTTCATAAAAGTAAAAGGAAATTACCTTCAGTACCTACCATTGTTAAATATTGCGGTCAGTTTCTTTGTACTCTAGCTCGTCAGGTTGAAGCGTGTAATCATTACTTTTCCCCTTCATTTTCGTCTGATCCACCACCTTGTGTGAGCTCTATACTGAACTTAAATGCAATGTTATCTTCCATCCTACTGACCGTTTCCGTAGTAGAATCATTGCTACGCGACTTAGATATCAGCAAAGCCTATGAACCTGTCAGTCTCCCGACTGATTTTTTTTTTTTGCGTATGCAAGTTTTTTGACAAATCACTGTTTTTGGTACGGTACCTAAATTGTGGAAAGAACCATTAGTCATACCTATCCACAAGAAAAAAAGATAACGAACTAGTGGAAAATTTCGAGCCTATTTCATTGCTCTGTATCCTACCCAAAGTGCTTGAAATACGTATTTTCAAAAGATGTATTAACCACCTGCATTTCCTATTTTACTTAGCAACACGGATTCCTGCGTGGCCGTTCAGTCACTCAGATGCTTTGTTTTTATTGGGAATCACGTCGTATTGCAAACTGACACACAAAAATATTGGTAAAGTTATCAATACAAACCTTAACTGGAGTTCCCACGTCTCTTCCAAATTATCCAAAGCATCATCTACAAAACAGTTGACCCTCCTTTCGGATCCAAAGTCAAGCGCTCTCTCTACCTGAGCCTTGTGCGATCCTATGTCGGACATTCTGGTGAAGTGTGGACGCCGCCTCTGCACAGTGGTGGTCTACAAGCAATCGAGGGAGTTCAACGTCGAGCCAGAAATTTTATTTTAGATTCCCAAATACCCTAATTCCGTACAAGAAAAGACTTATTGCACTGAACCTTTTTCCAGTGTCTCACTGGCATGAAATCAGGGATTGAGTATTTTCCCATAAGGCCATATATGCCCATATATGGGCATATATGAAGGTCTCTAATTGGATTTCGTAACCCTAACAGGGCCATTTCGGTGGGTGATAATTTTCTCAACTAGCATTGATCTGTTGAAGTTTATGGTCACCGTAAGGTGTAGGTTTATCTCTTTTCGCCAAAATGATGATATCGTTCATTTTAGAAGTTTTCAAAGTATTGTTCGTTCTAACGAACGCTGTAGTCATGGTAATGACTTCCTTCCGTTAAAGTTTGATCAAGGGATAAAAGTATTAGTACAGACAGGTCAGTAAAAAAGAAACGAATAACAATGTCAACAAGTGCATAAAACACAAAAGGTGACGTCAATCCCATCGTTCCATGACAAGGGGGATGGAGAAGAATTGACTGAACACAATTCTGCTGTTAAAGTGAATACTTCTTCCGAAGCGGGAACACCTTCTGAGATGAAAATCAGCCTCTCGTTGCAAAGATGGAATGTCACCATCATCACTCGGGGAATCGCACTCAAATATTCCATCTTCCCCTTCGTCTCGTTTCCCGCTGTTTTCTTGCTACTCCTCGAAGTTAGCGTTAGAGGCTGACCGGTTCGCCAGGCTACGACGGCGGAGTTCCTTGCCACCGTTGTTTATGCTTAGTCCCTCATCTTCTGTATGCCCTGTGGTGCCATCGGTACTGGTGATAACGGTTGACTATTACTGGTATGGCCGACAGGATCATGGCACGTTCGAATTTGGATTTCTAAAATAGTACATCGCCCAATGGGTTGTCCTCTTCAAGCCTTATTTGGCTGCATTTCAAAAGTTTATCCTTGTGATGCACTACCGAGCGAATATTCTTCACGTCTAGTCTCATTTGACTCAGTATGTTAAGAGCGTCATATCGGTATAATTCTGAGACTTGCTGGGGGTTTTTCAACACCGTTAAGCGTATTAGTTGACGCAGCACTCTTCGATGCCACGTTTCCCTGTGGGCCATTGAGGGTTTCTGGTAAATTGGTGACTTCGCTTCAGATATAATTGTCATACCCGCACAATAACTGAAGAGTGTCGTTGAACAGCCCGACCGCCTCTTAAATGCTAAGTTAAAAGCACCAGGCCTCTACGAGTGGTACTTTTCATGGACTGAGAAGATCAATTTTTTAATAAATTCTCAACATGGGACATCCTAGTTCTCTGTTCGTTTAAGTGAGTATTTCCCGAATCTTGTTCCTCAAAATCGCCGATTCCTGTGTCCCGTTCACAATAGCAATCCCGCATCTTGCTCCCCTCATAAATTCCCGAATCCCGGCCTTTAAATAAGCCCAATCCCGAATCCTGAAAAACTAGACAAAACTGTATGATGGGGATCGGGATTGGCCGGTATAAACCGTCGAGATTGCGGGATTGAGAAAATTTTGGTCGGGATTGCGGGATTGCAGAGTGGAGACTCTTTTTCAACGTAGTCATTTCAATCCAATATGTACCTAGTGGAAGTGAATATAAATACATAGATACACCCGTTTTCAAAAACGTCGCAAATTTGAAACTATTTATCAAATATATGTGGCTTATATTTTCTCATCAAAAAGAGACACGGTGACGCACACTCAATCGACCTTGTTGGCTAAAGAAACAAGCAGTATGCAGTCGAAACGTTACGATCCACAGCCGAAGTGACCACACCATGAGAGAAACATGAGACGAGCTTTCACATAAAAAAAAGCCCGTGTGAAATTCGTACGAAATGCATAACCAACCAATCAGAAAAGTAAAACGAGTGTGAAAATACATGGTTCTTCTAATCAGAGACACGGTTATTGTGACTCTTCTATCTTATCCTCTCGAAGTATTGCGTATTTCCTACGCAGCGTGCGAACGTGACTACGACCTGTCATCAGTGAAGTGTGTTTGCCAATGTAAATTATTGCAACCAGAAAAAAAGGCTATGCGGCAGGCCAATATATAAGAAACAAAATTATCTATAATGTATCAGACAGCTTTGGAATTAATGTCTCCACACGATAGGTAAATCCAGCGATCCCGACAAACGACTTTGAAATTTGTTATTGCACCATGATTTGGCCTATTGACCTGCATCCGTATCAGGTCGTTTTGGCACAACTGTCCTGTATCATATCAAAATTTTAAGGAAATCACAGCCTGATAAATGGTATAGGTTAGAGCAGCACACAGGGTAAAATATGGACTGGACTATTGGACACTTGGACTAGTTTTTTTGGACTATTTTTTGGGACTATTTTTTGGGACTATTTTTTGGGACCAATTTTTTGTAGACCGTTTTTTTTGGACCGATAATATCGGGGGGGGGAGGGGGGAAGGAAGACCATAAGTACTTAGAGAGGGGTGGGATGCAGTCTATCAGTACTCAGGTAGGGGTGGGAGGTAAACTGTTGTTACTGAGGGAGGGATGGAGGACAAATTATTAGTACGCAGGGAGGGGGCGGGAGTTTTTAATGGATCATACAAATTATTTTCAGCGGTTTTTCGACTGACTATTCTTGTGTCAAAGTTTTTGCGCTGGGTCGTAGCGTTTCTTTATTTTTTGTTATCCGAATGCGAAACTGGCGCCTGAACACTGGACTAAAATTGCCATCGACATTATCGCCAATACCCGTTTTCGTTCCTCCATTGTTGAGTCACACGTGTGCCTTTTAAGACGACTTATGCCAGAGCTTAATGATACTCACTGGTTAGCATGAATCATCCACCAGTTCCTTCACGTTTCTCTTTGTGTGAAAAGCCCGGGCTCTTCCTATGTACGTAGTAAACCTAGAAATGGTTAACTCGCTAAAATGTGTTCTTTTCAACATAGTAAGCGGTCATATAACAAGCGATGCACTGTGGAAGTAAGGTGAGGTGTTTTTATTGAGAAATTTTGACTTTCATTCCTTAGAGCGGCCGAGGTCGTAAATATTCCCAAGATCTTATGATTTTACCATGACTGTTATTTCGCAAGATGATCATCTCACAGCTGGAGCTTAGGCCGCCTCTGCCTTCCTCGATGAAATGGTCCAAAAATTGGTCCAAAAAAAGGTCTTTAAAAAGGTCCATAAGTGGTCCAAAAAAAAAGTAAAAAAGTAGTCCAATAGTCCAAGGGTCCAGTCCATATTTAACCCTATGCCGAACTGGGGGAAAAGACCCAACAACAATCAAAGTACTGACGTCACTACGTATCATTTGCGCTGAGCTTTATTCCCCAAATCTGTTTAGCGATTAACTAGACAAGTTCTCCTTAACTAAAGACAGTATTCTTACGCTAAAGTCGATCCATGTTCTGTCGGTGAGGCAGAGCCGAAGTTAATTAGAGTCGAGAGGTAGAGTCGAAGTTAATTAACCCACGAAGAAGAAGAATTAGCCGAACAACGAAATTACTAATGAAAGTTGATTGCCGATCAGGATGGAATCAGTGTATGTTAAAACGAAGAGAGAGACGCGCAGGCCAAACAGTAGAACAAGTTTTGTTTCGTGGAATGTGAAGGAAGCAAAGAAATGTTCAGCACTTGTTAAATTTCTAATCCTCACTATCGCTCTACTGATAGTATGTTGCCTTGTCTTACTGAATCTGTACTTGAGGGAGCACGCACGAAATCTCACCGCTGAGGCTGTAGAGAAACCAGAGACAACAACTACAAGGATACCTGAACACGAAAAATATCATGGCGGTATGTGTTGGACAACAGACTGTCTACATGCGGTATCAGGTAAGGAATTTGTCCTTTTTTAAATAAAGACAGACGACAAACGCAAAATTTGGAGAACAGAAAAGCACGATGAGTGAATAAGCACACTAATATATAATCTTGCTTAAATTTGATACAGCTGTGCGCTATAAGAACGATAAAACAAATCATTCCATGTATTTTAATTGATGTACGTGGGATTCAGTTTCACTCCTTATCAACCTCGCACACGCAAGAATCTAAGCCATTAAAATAGTTCTATATTTTCTCGATGTAACACAAAGTCTGGAATAAACGATGGGTCTTCAGGCAGTCAGTTTACCTCTTTACCTAGGCCGGTAAGCTTAGATAGCTTACTGCTAAGTAAGATTCCCTGGGTTAAGACTCTTACAATATCTGGGCTCCAATAATATTGATCAAAAACCTCTTTTAAGGTCATATTTGTAGTAAAACAAGGGACTCTTCATTTACTTAAGTAACAACAGGAGGCAAATCACGCCTGAAGCTGTTTCACGAATCACGCTTGCCTTTCTGTAAAATTCATACGTCACATATTAATTTTGGCCTCAATCACGCGTTTCTATGAAACCCTTTGGCACCCTCTTAGAATGGTATGGGGTGTTGATCTTTTTTAATATTTGTTTGGTCTCCTTTTTTTACCATAAAAATGCAATGCCTACACGTGTGGGGGCAAATTCGTAAATTTGCATGCATGGAGTAAATTTTATGTGATGTCGCATGAGCTACAATTTGAAAGACATCTTTAAACCTTTATATTTCCAGAAGAACTAACTGTCCATGTCTGTGTAACATATTGATCTCCTGTATTTAACATAATGCCGCGTTTTGGTCGAAGGGAGAACAATTATTTTCGGCCATGTTTCTTGTGTGAGGGAGGTGGAGTAGCATGTTTTCGAATGTTATCTTTGTCATTTTTCGTTCGCAATATATGTTTTGTTGTTGCCACCACGCTTTTTCTCATAAGTTTTTTTTGGCTGGGGAAAAATAGCGTTATTCAAAACTCATAAAAATCTAAAATTTCCCATTTGATAATCTATTGTTTTGGATATCGAGCTTTAGGGATTACACGCACTTCCACTCAATAAGTCACTTTATTGTATCTCTCAGTTAGTAAGTGCGCCATGATTGAGCTATTTAATGGGGCGTATTTCGCTGTACGGCCCGCTAAATTAGAAAAATTTGTTTTGATCGCCAAAATGTCTCGTGAAGAAAAATTTGAAACACATTTAAAGGAAAAGTAAACAAACGATGAAAAAGCACAAACCTCAGAAGCAGATATCCCAGACTTTCGAGTTGATTTCTTCGAGATTTTGGCAGATGACAAGCGACAAATGAAAAATGCGAGGACGACAAAGATAACTTGATTCGAGAGCTAGATGATTTCATCGCCGCCGAAAGGTGCTCAAACACTGTGAAAAGGGAAAAATACGATTGGGAAAAGTTTGAAGGGTTTTGCGAACAGTAGGTCGATGAAAATTTTTAATGTAATGAACATACCTGCTGCTGCTCTCGACAAGCTCCTTGGCAAGTTCGTTAAAGATGTCCGCAAGCAAAATGGCGGCGAGTACGAACCAGACAGTATTTCAAGCTTTCAAAAACGCAAACTCGAGTAAACTTCGTCTAACTTGTCCTTCTCTATTTGCCACCCGTCTTCCTTCAAAATCCCTACAAAATAGGTTCGGCTTCCAAAAGATGCCACATCCTTTTTCTTCGCTTCAACAAACATCGGCTTAATCTCCAATGCAATAGTGTCTTTAATATTGTTCAGTCTGCACTGAGTGATCCACCTGGGAACCTTCCATGAAAACGCCGCAAACACCAAAAAAGTTGGATGCCAATCGATGAAAAGATTCTTGTGTTGTTTTCAATCGTATTGATAAAATTCATTCATTTATTCATTTGCCGTTAACATTGAAAAAAGTTAGCCGTTCGCACTTTCTACGAAGAAACACGTTGTGCCTTGTAGATTTCGAGCATTTTGAAAAAAAACTCTCGACAAAAGAGTTACTTGAACAACATTGTATCAGTTCCTTGTAGAAAACCTTTGTATACTTGAACAATTCTTTTCATGAAGTTTGCTTCATTTAGAACTATGGATATGAAACGAATATTTTAAACTTTTGACGACTCAAAGTCCAGTTTTTAAAAGCCAATAAAATGCTCTTGTACTTAGGATTTGACGCGCTTCAATCATTAATGGCCGTTCCGCTCGAGTTGAAATCTTTTCCCTTCTCTGTTTGAAGCAAAATACATAATAAATATCTTACTGACCTCATTTTTCTCCGTACTGTAAGTTACGTAAACTCGTGTTTTCCGCTCGATTTATGGCCCGCGCGCTTCGCGCTTGGGCCATAAATCCGAGCGGAAAAAACACGGTCTGCAACTTAAAGTAGAGCCCTCGAACTCGGTAAATAAGAGGTATTTTTGCCCGTTTTTTGACTCGGAATGGCTCTTTGAGGAAATTCAATATGCTAATGTGCCCGTCACTCACTTAATTGCAATAAGTCGGCTGTAAACTCGAGAGAGTCCGCTGCACGATATCTTTTATTCGCTTTCTTTTTATTGTCTGATCGACCCATCCACTTCGACGGTAGGGAAGGCGATGGCAGACAAAACAAATTAGGAAGAATGCCTGATGAAAATTTCGACAATCTTGCACACCCTCCTGGCAACCTTACAGATATAGGCATGAGTCATTTTTAAATTCACCTTTGTTTCAAACAAAAAAACAAAAAAACAAAAAAACAAAAAAACACCTCTTTGATTTTTATGATAGTATACCAAGGCTACAACACCAAATGTTTATCGGAACTGTTTGAAATCTTTGGGTGGAGCAATTTCATCATAACCATAACTTTGTAATCCCATATTTTGTTATTTTCTCTTTGCTTCAGCAATAAGTATTTCATGAGGTGGTAAAGGTGTAAGATTGAAGCTGATGAAATGCAGTTGAAGTCCACCGTTTAGACACTACATGATTGGCATTGACCATTTTCGCATTGATCATTTTTCTTTGACAAAGTCCTCTCTTTATCGACCAGCGCTGTCACCCTTAAGATTGGAAGAACATGGGTCATCATAAATATGGCGAAGAGGAATCGTTTTATTTCCCACGTGTCTTTCCACGGTGAAATAACCCCGAAATAAATCCATTTTCACCTCTTTCCCCCCCTCACAATCCGGGTTACAAATTTACAACAAATGTAAACAAATTCTGCCCTTTGCCCATGTGCGACATCTTCTACAAAGACATGCAGAAAGGATGTATATTTATTGATTGACTCTTTTCAAGACTTGCTGAATTCAGTTGACCCTTCAGTGGACCCTTGTACGGATTTCTATCAGTACGCTTGTGGAGGATGGATGAAGAAGAACCCGAGGCCACTTACATCTAGAAAATGGGATCAGTTTGAGAAACTGACTGCAGAAAACAATGAAGTGCTCGAGAGACTACTTAAAAATAAAGAACTGAAAGCTAAATACTCTAAGGTAAGGCCAATACCAAACGATAAATTCTATCATCTTTCATTTTTGAAATTCATATATTTACACTGAGCGAGAGATTAAATTAAGAGATCCTCGCAGCTTAGAACACTACTGAAAGGAGTAGTTGATAATGGGACCTGAAAAAAATTCAGGCCCGTACGGGATTTGAACCCATGACCTCTGCGATACCGGCGCAGCGCTCTACCAATTGAGCTAACAAGCCAACTGTGAGCTGGTCAAAGTGTTGGGTACAATTAAACCATCCAAGTGATGAATGATGATCAACTACTCGTTTCAGTTGTGTTCTTAGCTGCGAGGATCTCTTAATTTCATCTCTTCACCGCAGTGCAAATATATGAATTTCATATATCTAAAATAAACCATCCAAGTGATGAATGATGATCAACTACTCGTTTCAGTTGTGTTCTTAGCTGCGAGGATCTCTTAATTTCATCTCTTCTCCGCAGTGGAAATATATGAATTTCATATATCTAAAATCATCATTATCAACTACTCGTTGTAGTAGTGTCCTTAGCTGCGAGGATCTCTTAATTTCATCTCTTCACCGCAGTGCAAATATATGAATTACATATATCTAAAATCGTCATGATCATAATATTTTAAGAAAGAGTGTCGAGCATGAATGAAAGTGATCCTCGTAGTAATGTGCACTATTTGGGCAGTAGTGAAAATATTGTATATAAATGATATCTCGGCTTCTTATTATCGCAAAATTGAGACACGTCTTACCAACTTCTGTTTCATCCATATCTTTCCTTTGGCCTTGTGGTCTGGGGCCGAACCTCAAAAACAAATCTTGAAAAAATCTTGATCCCTACGGAAAGAGCTCTACGCTTAATTTACTTCTCCAGCAATTTTGAGCATGCAATTCCAGCTAGAATCTGGGACAAAATCCCCAAGTATTTGAAATCAAAACCAAAGGAATCATTCAAAGAAAACCTTCGGACTGAATCGTTGCAGATTTTAGAGCGTGAGGGGGTTTATGCTGATGTGTATAATATTTCTGATTAATCATTCCTTAATCAGAAGCCTAATGTTTTTCTATTTTAAACTACATCTATTCGCCTTCTTATTTAATTCCTTTCTTTTATATGTAATGATCTTGTCCTCTCGTTATGTGTTAATTTTCTAGCAGATATGTATATGTTTTCCCATATTTATCATTTCATGTTGTATATATATGGAGTCTACACCGCCTAGAGTAGCTATGCTATTTGCGGTGTACAGTTACCTCTCTTTCATTAGTAACTTTCATTAGTTAATAAACAGTAAGTCTGCCTCCACCAACTTGTCACCAGGCAAAATACATAGTTTTTGTTGCGCAAATTTCTGGGTGAAGCAATATATAAGACTGGGGAACAGGAAGGAAATTTAAGAAACTAACTGATCGAAGCAAACAAGTGTCCTGTGTTCATTCAATTATTTCAGGAGGAGGCGGTTTGGAAGGCTCTGGCATATTATGATTCGTGCATGGATGTTGCCGCGATCGAGCGACTGAAGGGCGAACCCCTTGAGTTGCTTATCAAGGAATATGGCTCGTGGAGCATCACAGATACTAACTGGGAAGAAGAAGAATGGGACTTGATATCTCATCTTGCGAGGATTCATAAAGATTTAGTTGTACCAGTTTTGTTTTCCATGACTGTTTCGATTGATAACAAAAACAGCTCACACAATGCAATTACGGTAAGTGGAATTACTTTCTAACAACATGATGTCCTCCGAGTTATCCACTTGTAATAGAGAGGAATTTTTTAAACGGGAAGATGGTCCTCACGATTTATAGAGTTCTGACTTAAAAGGTTTTCCCGATCCCTTTCCCCCCAAAGAGCTGATGCAGGAATTATGTTGTGAGGGTACTCGAGAAAACCGGAGCATATTTAATCGAAACCCTTCGTAACATTTCCAGGCAATAATTTACTGATGATCTCATCTTTACTTGTTTAGTTTGGAGAGTCCTACACCTCACTGTCACGACGAGAACTTCTTACAAATGACTCAGAGAGCCAGCGGGTAGGGGCAAACACTGTAACAGGACAATCTTCATCAGAGTTGTTCGATTTAAGCTAAAATTTTGATGTTTTCCATGCCTCTTTTCTCGTTCCTGATCAGTTAAAAATTCGCAGTTTTCAACTTTCCATTAATTTGAACGAGCAAAACAAGATGATCGTGACCATTTCGCTATTGCTCGTTCTTTACCGAGCAGAAGTCCATATTGAGATAAACTGTACCTGAGTTCTTGAGCGTACTTAAGAGTAGAGAGAGCACGGTCCTTCCCAAAACAGACCGCCTTTTTATACCGGTAAATAACATGCTTATCTTTTCTTTGGTTGAAATGAATTACGGGCAAGTTTTGTGTTTTAAACGTGTCGCTACATCAGACATCAGCAATCAGAATCAGAAATCAAAATACTGAAATTAACAAGGATTAATTGGAATGTAATTAGATAACTTGTGTTTTTAACTCTCAGGGTTACTTTATGTGAATGACTGGGAAATTACAAACGGCTTTCAGACAGCATTTCACGTGTAACCCATTGAATGAAACATTAATATTTGCGTTATCAAAATTCATACAGAAATCAACTTTCTAGCCAATGAAAGGATTGGTGAGACAGAAAAATTTAATTTCATTTAATCACGAAGGGTTGGTCCGCATGATGAGAAAAACTGACCTTGAGCTAGAAAAAGTGCCTAAAACCGCGTTTTCAAGACCACAACCAGTTTTCCACAATACGAACCTTTCAGCCGGAAAATTACATGTTTATTTCGCGAAGTTATTCTCAGATACGTGAAAGAGAAAAACGTAACTACAACTTTGTTGCTAAGAAGGGTGAGAGGCTCGTTCTCCGTTAGCGGTCTCCCGCGGAATTTTGTGCCTACCGCGGCCGTTTGTTAAACATGGCGGGAAAATCAAAATTTCATCCACGAAAAAGAATATGTAAATCCATCAGCTCCCAAAGTTTTGCTTTTCACTGCAAAATGCCCTGTTGTCAACAGTGCGTGAGTTTTATCTCCAGTACCAAAAGAAAATACAAACGTAACTTGTCTGGCCAAAAGTGCCATGCAAAATCCACTTATGTGTCTCACTAGCGGTTTATGGTCTCGAAAAAGTACAGCCACAAAAGAAAAAACAGGCGGTTCTCTTGAAAATTTAAGGATTACTGGCAAATTTTCCCTTGAAATTTCTTCGCTTTCCTAGGACCTTTATGGGTACAAAAGCTGGTTTATGAAATCCGTTCGAGCAGCCATAATGTTTCCTCCGTTAGCTACCACATCGCCAAGCAACTCTGAGATGTTGAGTGTGAAAACAAATTTAATTACCTCACACAACAAAAGTGGATAATTAAACTCCAAAAAATTGATTCAGTTTGCTTTTGGTTATAACCGATTCAACATTTCATTGTGAAAACGCTGTGGCTAAATGCCCGGCCGTCGGGCACGGCCTCAAATGGACTAAATGCTCGGCACTCAGAAATTTTCACAGAATTTCCACCGAAAGGCTTTTTCAAACTCCTTAAGAATATGAGATGCTTGTTTAGAAATGTTAGGTGATTCCAAAAGTTAATTTAGCTTTTTAGTGGAAAAATTCCGCGAGCTTGAGCATACTTTAATTTCACGCGATTGTCGACACTTGTACGCTTCTTATCAGACTGCCGGGCACGGTCTCGAATGGACTAAATGCCCAGCAGTTAAAAATTTGTACCAAAAAATTATATCAAAAACTTCTTACAAACCTATTGAGTATATTCGATGTTTGTTCAGAAATGTTGGTCTTTCAGTCACATTCTAAAACGTATTTATATAATAGTATGCACAAGCTCGGAGAATTTGTCCACCAAAAAACAATTTTTTTTTGGAATCGCTTGACATTTCTACCCAAACATCTGATACTCTTAAGAAGTTTCAAGGAACCATTTAGTAGCTCTTAGGTGAAAATCTCCAACTGCCAGGAATTTAGTCTATTCGAGACCGTGCTCGGCAGTCTGATCATAAATGTACAATCTTACAGTGTGGACAACCGAGCAATATTATGGTATGAATAAGCTCGGAGAATTTGTCTGCTAAACAACTAAGATAATTTTGGAATCGTTTGAAATTTCTAAACAACATCTGATATTCTAAGAAGTTTGAAAGAACCTTTCGGTGGAAATTTTGTGAAAATTTCTGACTGCCTGGGAATTTAGTCTATTTGAGACCGTACCCGGCTACCGGGCATTTAGTCACAGCGTTGTAAAAAAGACGAAACAAAGTGCAAATGGTTGCGCGGTTGCTTAATATTTGATAAAAATTTGATGTTTCGGCGTAAATAACTTACGTGCCCGTTGCAGACGGGTTCTTCTTCTAAAGGTACGAATTTCAATCAGTTCAGACCTGTTGTTTTAAAGTTCTTGCCTGGAGAAATGATCCAGAAACCAACTATCCTCTCCACCGAACAATTGATCGCGGTAAAAATGAACATATGCTGGTAGTGCCAGTCTCCAATCAAGCGGATTTAAAAAAATCCGTATCTCCTCACAGGAAGTTGACGATCCAATTTGTCTGACTGAACACGCTCCTTTTTGTTGTGATCTCGTGACGCACCAAATATGGTCGTGGTTCGAATCATTTAAATAGAACAAACTTTGATACCCACCGGGGTCATAGAACCAAATTAAGGGGGTTTGAAGTCTTCCTTAGCAACAGACTTGTAGTTAAGTGGCACCCCCCATAAAATGGCAGCTTTCTTATATGCAAAACTTTCCGCTCCGTTTCTTTTTCTCAAGCTTTTTTCTATATCTATAGCTTTATATTCTTACATTTTTAGGTTCGTAATGCATATAGAGATTTGATGAGGAATTTGACCATCAAACTTGGAGCTGGGGAAGATTCAGAAGATGATCTGTTAAAGACGTTTGAGTTCGAGAAAGAGCTGGCAAAGGTTAGTTATTGGCAATGCAAGGCTGGCCTGAGTTTTCCTCTGCCTCTCTTTTTCTTCTTTGATATCGTGCTCAATATTTCCATGACCTTGGAAACATCCTTTTTCCACTAAAGTAAGTCTTACTTCTCTCGCGTTCTTATCATAACAAAATCAGTGTCAGGCTGTTTGTTGGCAACAAGAGATGATACGTTTAATATTATTGTCCTCTAAGCATAAAACTGAAGACATAACGCATATATTGTAAAAGATTGTAAATAAATATGAAAGTCATATATTTGAACTGCGGATGAAGACGTGAATATGAAAGCGATCTTCGCAGTAATGAACACCAATTGAGCAGTAGTGAAAATAGGGCTTGAAAAAAATTCAGGCCTGTACGGGATTTGAACCCATGACCTCTTCGTTACCGGTGCACTGCCCTACCAACTGAGCTAACAAGCCAACCGAGAGCTGGTCATTATGTTGGTTCCAAATAAACCCGTGAAGTAGTGAATAAACGAATGTGAAGTGGGTATATATTGTACCTAGTTTGATTTCTGTAGGTGACGAAATGCAGTTTAGGGTAGTTCAACTTAACTTAAGTAGCTTTATCTGGTAAGTGTAATTGCTGTAGTTAAACTGCAGTACTTTGTAGGAGGCTGCTGTATGCAATGTCTGAGTGTGGTGTTTTCTGTATAGTATCGCGCAGTTGGTTTCGTTGGTATCTCAAATAAGTATCGGCCTAAAATTATTTCTGTTTTGAGTTTTGTATCACGAACTCAGAGAAATTTCCTGGAGCCAGCAAAATAATTGAAGGCCCATCTTTCAAAACTAAAATAAGTCTTATCTCAAGAGAATGAACACAGATAATGACAAGTAAATATTGCATGAAACCTTTGTTACGGTATGAATCTAACCGACAGATAAACATTACAATCCCACATACTCAACTACTTTATTAAACAACCAGTGATATTCCTAATAAGAAGCGACTCCTAAAGGCATCACAATACTTATCGTTAATAAACTTAACTAAGCCCACCACAGTCTATGTCCTAGCTTACAACTAATACAGTTTCGCTGCTGTCTCCAAAGTTCCTTGAAATAAGTAATCTTCCGCAATAACTCTCTCTGGGTATAGCTTTCAAAACAGTCTCGCTCCGATAACAACAACAACAACTACTACTACTACATAAGTAAGTCTTTATATATATGTATTCACAAAGTGTTCAGGAACCTTCCAGAAGCTTACTACATCAACGGCAAACTTGAACGGGGAGCTGAAATCAGGCGCTGTCGATACAGGGGCACTCTGTAATATAGCTTGTAATTCCTCAAACGCCTTTTCACATTGGTTACTACAAACAGATTTCACCTTCTTACTGAGTACTTGCGTTAATGGTTATGTAACAGAGGCGAAATTAAAACAAAACCTTTTGTAGTTGCCGGCCATAATAAGAAAACGCATGAGTTGTTTCTTGTTCTCTGGTCGTGGAAAGTTAGCCATCGCTTCCACCTCGGCACTAACTGGTTTTACTTGACCTTGCCCGACGACATGCCCCAAATAAGTGACTTTCGCTTGGCCAAACTCACTTTTGGAAAGATCTATGGTCAGCTTAGCCCCACTCAATCTCTTGAAAAACTCACTGGTAGTTTTAAAGTGCTTTTCCCAAATGTCAATGAAAATAATCACAATATCAATATATGCTTTACAATTCTCACGATCTGTGGTGACTTTGTTGATATGGCGCTGGAAAGTTGCAGGTGAATTTCTCATACCAAAGAGCATGATATTGGTACAGTCCTTCTGGTGTTGCATAGGCTGAAATCTCTTTGGCGCGTTCTGTCAAAGGAACTTGCCAGAATCCATTTAAAAGGTTGAATTCCGTTACATACTTAGCTTTTCCAGCTTTGTCAATACAGTCGTCCATTCTTACGATAGGAGAGGTGTCTGTCTTGGTCACGTTGTTCACTTTTCTGCAGTCTGCGCACATACAGTAACTTCCGTCTGGCGTAGGAACGAGTATACATGGAGAACCCAACAACTGCTGCTTGGTCCAAGAAAGTCGTTCTCTAACAAATATTTTATCTCTTTTTTTGAGATATTGTTGCTTACTAGGATTTAGCCTGTACGGGTGTTATTTTACAGGAGCAGCATCACCGACATTCACATCATGGTAAATCTGATCTGTCCTGGAAGGTACATCAGGAAACAGCTCTTTATACTCTTGCAGTAACCTTTTCAGGTCCTGGCGTCGGCTCTCTTCCAGGTGTGACAGCTTAGAGTCTAAGTTCCGCAACACATTGGAGTTTGTGAGTTTTGTTGTGTTAGTGGGACTAAGATGACTACTACTAAGTTCGCTATTCAGTTCCTTGGGCTCAGAAACAACTACATTAACTAAATGAATACTTTTCTCTACATAAGGCTTGTTACTGGGTACTGGCAACAATGCAAGAACCTTTTGACCTGGCTTAAAGTCACGTTCTACAGCATGTACATCATACTTTTCTTTCATAGACTTCTGAGTAGAACTAAGATTAGCTTTGACTAATTCACAAGCTCTAAAAGCTTGGAGCGAAAATCTGAAGAGATCAGTACTGTCAGTTGTCACGTATAAATGTAATTCTGTTAGTGATCCAGCAGAGAAGGCGTCATTATTTTAATGAATTTTTTCCTTCCGTGTTCATACCTAACTGTGTTGATCTTGCGGGATTACAAAAAGAGGTGGCACATTCTAACCTACCTTTGGAAGTGTCAACAACAGCCTCTGAAGTCCATAACATTTTAGCTAGGTCAGATGTAGTGTCTCATGTAATCTTACGACAGAAGTTATGTAACTTTGGTGTGTCTGGTTGCCTCCTGAACTGGTGCAGGGACTGCTTAATGAATCGTGAGCAACAGGGAGTAATAGATGGGGCAAGTTCTGACTGGCACACTGTCTCCTCAGTGGTACCCCAGGGGTCCATCCTGGGCCCCTTGTTTTTTGTGATATTTATTAATGATCTGCCTTTGAGAGAGAAAGATGGACATACTTTGAAGAAGAATTATGCTTGCACAAACACTTTTAAGTTTAGTTGTTTTAAATATTATCGTTGATATGTGGAATTCACTCACATTTTTTCAGTGTCTAGTATCTCAAGTTTTAGGCGTGGCGTGAGGAACTTCTCGATGAATACCAACTACACTGGTCGAATTACCGAAAACTCATAGTCACTTATTTTAGAATTTTTATATCAGATTTTAATTGATTATATTAATTATATTTTTAAACTATCCATTTAGTTAGGTGGTCTGTCTGAGGATTGATGGTCTTGAACTCTTTTACATATCATCCTTAAGGCATTTCCTTTGTTATAGGTAATTATTTTATTTTGCTAATTTCCATTACATTGTAATAAATAAATAGATAATAACTTCTCTTTAAGTAGTTTTAGCAGTCCTCTCACAGTGTGCCCAAACACAAGCTTGAATGGACTCCTGTACTGACTCGCGTGCAGCGGGAACATCCGTAAAGTAGCGGGTGGGGTTTTGCGAGACTTCCCTTTCTCTAACACTTCTTGAAAATATAGGTGAAACTTCCGGGTCTTCATGCTGTTCTGCAATGAGCTAAGAGGTTGACATCTTTTCAAACTGTTTCATTAAAATTTTCTCAGAAAAGACTTGTACTGGCTCATAAATAGAGGGATTCAGTCGTTTACCCTCAAAGACTTGGCTGATGACGGTGTACGCTAATGTTACCTTTTCGTCACTGGTTTCTTTCCACTTACTCATGGCTCGCGTCTCAACACACGCTTGGTATAGACCAGGAATTTTCTTCTCTACTGGGTTTGGATACTTTTCTGAACTGGGCTTCTCGCTAACAATAGCATTAATAACTACTTTGTCTCCTGCAAAGTCATTTCCGAGGATAAGGTGCACTCCCTGGTAAATGGTGACAAAAGCTGTATTCCAAATTTCACAAGCCCAGACACAATATTAGGTAAACTATATGAAGTGGCACTGGAGTATACTCAGAACTGATTCCTCTGATTAGAACACTCGCACCAGTGGACGACTTTTCAGAAAACACCAAAGTGTCACTCAACCGAAAAAAGACTGCGAGGCTCCAGTGTCTCTCAAAATCTTGATTGGTATGGAGTCGGACATATGGAGACAGCAGTGATATTGTGTCAGTGGTAAGCTAGGATGTAGACTGTGGTGGGTTTAATTAAGCCCTTAAACACTTTGGTGTTTTCCACACCGTAAACATAATGCGGAATTTGTGATTTGTATGTTATGAAGTAGCACTATGTATGGTATCATGTTGTGAATAATCTTAAGTTAGAGTATGATTAACTTCGTTAATGAACTGGTCGTCAGCGAAACGACTCGTAGACGAAAAGATCGGCAACCCGCCCTATTTTACTCGCAAAGAAATAGTAAGTGATGAAAATCTCTCATGAAGCAAGAGTAGCTATGGACCGAGCCTCGAGCAACTCTTACGCTTCTCTCGTGCTCACCAAACTTCCCGCGTACATCTATAACACGATATACGCTCGCTGAGCATAAACCAATTCTTAAATTTGGAATAAGGTCTCCAGTCCTGCATATTTAGGTTGCTGCCTATTCATTAAATGTGTCAGAATCGATTGTACCTCAAACACAAAAGTGATCTTTCCACGTCTTTTTCACCTTTCGTATCTTAGATATCTACCCCAAGATCTAGACGACCATCCTTTGAAGAAGCTTACAAGAAGCTCACGTTATTAGAAATACAGGAGTATACCGGTGACTTCGTGAGTATCAAAGCGTATTCATGTAGAGCGATCTTTCGTTTATACCACCTTCATCTCGAATTGATTTTGTTTACTCTCCCAAGTTCAACTGGACGAAATATGTGCAAGTAGCGATGGAGGATAATACATTTCATGTTAACAGCCAAACCAAAGCCGTGGTCTATTCTTTGGAATATTTAAAAAGACTGGTCAAACTCCTGAGCATTACACCCAAAAGGTGAGATATCGTAACTGCAATAAATAGATATTCAAGAGATTCATATTTGTCATCTTCTTTTTCTTCGTTGGGCCTATTGAAAAGAAAACTGATCACTCCCACTTAAAACAACAAAATAGTGCCTATTCGTCTCAAATATTTCTAATACTTGAACAAAAAGAATAATGAACAAGTTTCGAGTTGGTTGACTTTTCTTCAGTGTCTTAGCTCGTTTCTTCTCTCCTTTGGTCGTTCGAAAAAGGCGCCTAACAGTTTTCCCGGCCTTTTTTCCTGTGTCTACGATCTCCCGTGATGTTTGTAGCACCCGAATACTTTCCATCCTAACACATTCGAGCAATGTTAGTCACAAAGTAATTTGCCGGCCAACTGTCTGCGTGGCGCTAACAATGTCCAGCAATAAGTATTCTTCCTTGGAAATTAAACTCATCCAGGATAAATAAGTGTCATAATTGGTGTACAACACAGTACATATAGGTTACATCCAAGTGGGTTTTTCAGAACTGATTTGTATGAACTTACAACAACGTTCATTTACTTATTTTTACTAAATGAACAAGTGTTAGAGATTCCTTACAACATGACTTTCGCCAGAAGCTTACAAGCCTAAAGTAATTATGTATGTCCGAGAGCTGGGTTTATTAATGTGTGAGACTAGTCAATCAGAATTTACTTCCTAATATGGAGTTGTTTATCTTTAATGACTGCTGAATATGTAATGAAAGAAACTTTACCGCAGTACTAATCAGGAATACGTTATGAAAATGCAGTTTTCAGACCGCAAACTTGACTCAACAAATAGAGAAGCCTTAACAATGCTCTGCTCTCTTGTAAAGCACGCAGGAATTGGCCAGAGTACTCAAGAAGTGGGGAGAAATACGTAGTCGAGTGTTTCTCCCAGCTTCTTGTCGTTTTTACGGAAATCACTCTCGAGGGTTTTATGGACCAGTCCCAAGGGGATCGATCGTGATGCCATGCGATTTCAAGCATTGAGCGTCATTTTGGATTGGCTGGCTGGCTATGTGGCACAAATAGCCTCAATCAACCTCATGTGAAAATGTTTTCTTGGCCGCCTTGAGCTTAAGACACCGATTTTTTTTCTGCACAATCAGCACAATAAAGCTTTTACTAGAGATCGAACGCAGTTTACTAATCTTTGATTATTACTAATTTTACAATAAATAATCCGTTAAATTCCCCAAGCATTACTTTCAATTTTCAAAACAAACTTTATTTCCAAAGCGAACAACAGTGTCGTTAGTATGCTCTTTACTCTCCGGTATAATTTCTGAGACTTGTTCCACTGCGATGACCGGAGATCGCTAGTCGCTCAATACCTCTTTGTAAACAATTGTGGATTTTTATGAAGGAAAACACTGCTTAACCTCTAATTCCATATTTGGACAAAACTTGCACCCTTGTTTCTGATTGGCCGCCTAATTAACCCAAACTTGTAGTTTGAGAATATAGGGGATTTAGACACTTCTAGATCATAAGCTTCTGCTTTCGCTCATTAGATCAAAATCTTCGTGCTCTATTTCATTCATAGTATTTTCTATATTTCTTATGGATTTAACCCACCTTTCCATATTCTTTTTTTGTCTATTTTATTTTCACTTATTAGAACTATTGCTAACTATATGATGTGGAGAGTGGTCAAGTTAAAGTTTCTACAACTAAGCAGCGATTTTGTCGAATTGTTCAAATATTATTACCTCCAAGCTTTCAATTACTGGAGTGACTCGGACCAGCATCAGCTCTGTCTCATGGCAACTTCACAGAAATTTGGAATACCCCTTTCGAAAGTCTTCCTTGATCAAAAGTTCTTTGGTGACAGCAAGGAATTGGTGAGTGAAAAGGGCAGTCAAAGAAAATTACAGGCGAGAGTAATAAACCGAGTCTCTTCGTCTCTTATTGTTAAATAGTCTAATACTAATCCATTTAGGCAAAGGACATCATTGGAAACATCCGCGCGGCATTCATCTCCAACATTGGAAAACAAGACTGGATGGATGAAAAAACACAGAAGGTGGCCGTAGAGAAGGTGAGGTCCTTGAAATACTAGACTGCTCTCTGTTCCATTTTAGTGATACTAGGTACAATCGACTTGTACTTTTCCCATAATATCTTAGATACGATGGTCTCGTAAACCTCAGATACAGATATGAACGTTATCGCTCAGAGGGAATGAAAATACAATAGTTAACCGACTCTAACGGCTCAGTCCAACACACTCTTCTCTTTTACGGATACGACAAAGTCGTGACGACCATTGGCAAACCTCCAGACCAAAGCTACTGTCTGTATATTTGTCACGACTTAGTTTCGTTGGTAGATGTATGTACTTCTATTCCGTTTACAATTATTTGCGACTATTGACTACCTTTTCTTTATCGTATTAGTGCCCTTTTGATGTTTTTCATTGGAAGTTTTCCTTCAAATTGATTTCAATGGATGATTGCAATGAATGAATATTTTGAATACTCGACCAATTGAATATTCACGAATGCATGGTTTGCTCGTAGGCGGAGGCTCTAATCGAAAACGTAGGATATCCTGATTACATAATGGACGTTGAATATATGACCCAAAGATATAAAGAGGTACGTTTTTTAAGCCTTGGGTCCATCGTTTTTTCGGGGAAGGCACCTATAACGCATTTTTTTTTTCATTAATTGGAATACTTATCCGATATATTTCGTTCATACTATACCTTCTTAGAATTTCTCCAGCAAACTTCACTTCACTTCACTAGTGTTACTCGCAACCTATATAACGTAACGTAATATTGCTCCATGTTTTTTTCGCCTTGATACTAGTTGTTCTAATTTAAAGCAATGCAGGAGGTTGTAATGTTGCAGCGAAGTCGACTGATGGTGTGGTGACGGTCGCAATTCCTCGCCTCCCAACGTTCCTTGATTATAGCTTCTCTTGGAAGTACGACTGCAGTTACAACCTTAGCCTGGTCTTATAACTGAGATAGAAAAGAAGTGGTTGGCAAAGTTTCATGCTCTCGATTTAACTTCTTAACTCAACCTTTTTTTAAATTTCACCTCTGAAAGAAAAAGCAAGTAATAGCGCTGATTTCGATATTTCATTTAAATTGAGGGGTGTTTTCTTAAAATCCCAATTACCTCTGCAGTGTATATAATATGTGTCTTCCTATATCGTTCCTAAAAGAGGCCTTTGCAGGGTTAAAGATTTTTCCAGATAAACCGGATATAAAAATAGAAAAAAAACTTACAAATACATGAATGAAGAAAATTTAGGAAGTTCACATTAAAACAGGTGTTTTGATGTAGGGAAACTGATTAAGTCCAATAGGGTGTTTATAGACGTTTCCTTGGTCGTTGTTTTTAAGGTAACCATAGACGCAAAAACATATTTCAACAATGATGTTTCAGTTACAAAGCGTCAGAATATCGACAAACTTGCAAAAGCTGGAACAGCCGTGGACAAGACTGAGTAAGAAATTTTAGAAATTCTTATAATGTCAGTGTCCTTCCGCTTGAGCTCAGTTCCCTTTGGCGTAACTTCTGCAGTCGATCGGAAGAGGGTGTACCACAATGCATGAAGGCGATTTGTTTGTAAAGTTCCTGTAAACTCTAAGGATTAATTGCCAAAAATTTTTAGTGATTCGCAAATTTATATCCCAAATCGTCCCTCAGGCTCGTTCAATGCTACTACCCATGCATTCTCACGAGCTCATACTTCATTCCATTACAAGCACAGCGAGACTGGCCAAGGCGTACTAAACATTGAAAATTCCTTAAATAATTTCAGAGTCAAGTGCTTATCGGACTTTATGCTAAGACGTAGAAGCTCTAGCAAGAAACCTTAAGTTCTAAATTGTTCTTTGTGCTTTTTTAGATGGCCTTTTCCGCCAACAATGCTTAATGCATTTTACGCCTATAACGAGAATAAGATGGGTAAGGAAAAATCATGAACGTTTGTCTTTTGCTTTTTTTAAATAAACCGTTGAACTTGAAGCTTAACAAACTTTTTTCCGTTGAATAGGGGGAGGAAAGGATGGAATATTGTCATTTAATATCGTAAACTATGATTTAGGCTCAGAAAAGAGAAAATGTGCACTTAGCATAGATATGTACAAAATTGTATTCTTAAATTTACTTTTCCACTTGAAATACATAGATTTGTTTTCATTTCAGTCTTTCCGGCTGCTATTCTGCAACCACCATTTTATAACCTGTTGTATCCAAGGTAATGCAAAGCACGATGTTCAACGTTTGCACTTTGTTTTGTGATCGTTTTTTTCTGATCAGGTTTTCCTGACTGTTTTTTCTATTACAAATGGCCGGCCTATCTCCCTGCGCCCTAAGTCATGAAACAACGCATTTATATCTCTCACTGTACTGTAGGTCTGAGTTGTGCAGTTCAAGTTTAACAAAACTGTGACCATTTTGCTCCCTCGCCTGATCTTCTGCACAACCTGCAGGGGCTGTTTACAAAGATAAATCATTACTCTTGTTTTCTGGTGTATTTTAAGAGCAATGAACTATGGTGCTATTGGAGGAGTCATGGCCCATGAAATTACCCACGGATTTGATGATACAGGTTTGTGGGTGATTGTTTATTAATGATTTACTTAAAGAAAAAGCATCATAGAAAGTCAGGATAGACAAAATTATGACAGCCCGCGCGCTATTTGTAATTACACTCGTGTTACAACTTTGTTACTCTGTTACATGAAAAATGCAATCGTTTTCAGCCAATCAGAAACGGGTAGTTTTTTCATACATACCATAGTATGCTTTGAAGATACTGTTGATCAGATCATCGAATGTACACTTAGATGAGGCCTAGACTGACAGTCGAAGAAAACCTCTATTCTTATAGGAAAGCTTTACGACATTGACGGTAATAGAAGAAGGTGGTGGAGTAACTCAACCCTCGCTAACTTTCAAGAAAGGTCTCGTTGTTTGGTCGATCAGTACTCGAATTATACATTTTATGGAAACCAGGTAACAAAGTAGTAAATAAACTTTGATTTACCCCTTTTTTATACTAAAGAATAATATTTCATTGAAGCCACGTTTTTGTTCTTAAAATAATATGGAATACAAAGGGTTAGATTTCAAATAGACAGTAAAGTACTTATAGAGAGGCAGTTTTCATGAATAAATAAGTATGATTATCGTCTCATTGCCTTCGGCTTCCATGCTTTTGTCGGACATAACTAATGTATACTTGTATAGGGGGTGGTGTAAAGGAACAGTGTACGCACAAAGAAAATGTGCTGAAAGTGAGGAGTCTCACTATTCAACATGTCCACTACCGAAGAATCATTTCTTTTGAGGCACGTTTTCTCTCTCCTAGATGTAGTTAATCCTACCGTTTTGGTGTGTCTCAACTCCACCACCAGTGATGCTGAAGGCTTAAAAAATTACTTATCACTTGATTATGTGTTAAACTTTAAAGGTGAATGGCGAGAATACTTTGTCAGAAAACATAGCTGATAATGGTGGTGTTCGCGTAGCTTTTGAGGTAACTGACGAATTATTTTCTCTATGAAGACAATTTTGTTTTATCAACTGAGTTGATAATGCAAATTAAGCACCATAAAGAGTTTCAATCTGACGTTCCGAGCGTTTGCCCTTTCGTCAGGGAAACTGAAGGAATAATCCATTTTACAGTTACGTACTTAGTTGCCAAGCCTTTGATTTGGAGGGAGGCTGAAGGTGACCTTGTTGTGATAAAGACCAGTATCTAGTTAGCACGATGACAAAGTAATTTACATTTGAAAAGCAGCAAGGTTTGTATCATAAAGACCAGTGTCTAGTTAGCACGATGACAAAATAATTTATATTTGAAAGCAGCAAGGTTTGTATCATAACAAGGTCATCCTTAGCCTCACTCCTGTTCAGACTTGGCAACCAAGCGTGCAACTGTAAAATGGAGTATTGTGAGTTGTGCGAGTGTTTATAGGCAGAAAATGGAGCTACACTATCAGTGACAACGTGGTAACGAGAAAATCAAGAATAAACTAGTTGAATGAAAAGCGTTCATTGCTACCTTGTATGGATTTTTACGCTGTTGCACAACTCAAAAATCTTTATTCCGCGCTCTCCGACACTCACCACTCAGCATGGAAACGAAGCTCAAACAGAAATTGACCTCAAATTTTATCTTCTACCGAAGTGCCCCAAACCCTTCTGGAAAAATGATGAGCATGTACCTGCCTACAATTTGAGAGTTCACATGGTACGACAGCATGTCACGTGACTGTCACATGACCATTTTTTTTCTTCAAAAAGCAGTCTCCTTTGTCGATTCTGACATGTTTCAAATCCTGCTGAGACTAGGGTGAAGGTCTTATTCAGGCTTTTCATCTCATGTGGCAACAGAGAAATCATGTACTTTCGAATTATGCTAAAAAAAAACATTTGGATGCGTAGAACTCCAGAAAATGGACAATATTAGTGCCGGTGTCTCTTCCATCACGCATCCTCGTTTCCATGCTGAGTGCCATATCATGGTGTAAAGCCCCATTTATCTCGTTAGCGGTACCACAATTAGGGACTACAAAGTATCTTATATTAAAGAGCAGGTATTGGTCTATCAGAATCAGCTGTCAAACCTTTTCTGTCGGGTGGGTTGAACCAACTCGTTAGATAAGGCTTTTTCAGAAAATAGCTCCTTGACTAGCAGTTCAGATATATGATTTTCACATATTCACAGTCATTTATTCATCACTTCACGGGCTCATTACGTACCAACGCAACCACCTCCCAGTTGGCTCGTTAGCTTAGTTGGTAGAGCACTGCACCGGTACCGCAGAGGTCATTATAACTCCTACTTAAGTAGCGTTCATTACTCGCTCTCATATGCACAGCCCACGATTCCTCAATTCGCTCTGAGAAGGGGTTGACAATCGAAACTTCAGCTTTGAAACTCGTTAGGGTTGCCAATTTACATTATCAACGTAGTTGATTAAACCAAATTATCTTGATATACTCTCCCATCTACGCAGCAACATAGTTTCTGTAGAAACCTATTCCCTTTATTCATTTATTTTCCCTATCCGCTTTGGATTGAAGTTTTGTAGTTTTTGAAATTATTTTGGTCCTAAGAGAGTTTTGCTGAGATCTGGGTGTGGTTGCAAGAAAAAGATCCCAACGGAGGCTTAAGTTGCTGAGTTCTGGGTTTGTTTGCAAGAAAAAGAAAACATTGACACATGAACGAAGTAATGAAAGTGAATCCAATTTGATGCTTTTGTTGCCTACATAATTGTTTCCTTATGACGATGTCATTTGCCTTCACCCTTCTGCGCAGTAACCTCTGAGTATCGGAAAACATTCAAAGCTCTTTCTACAGGCAGTTATCGTTCTGATTGGTTTTTGACGAAGCTCATTTACATTTCACAGGCATACCGGAAGTGGGTTAGGGACCATTGGGAGGAACCTAGGCTTCCTGGTATGATGCTGACAAACGAGCAGGTTTTTTTCATTAGTTTTGCAAGGGTAAGATTGTCTGTTTTTTTAAATCTTAGAATCAGAATCTTTCGAGAGAAGTTGGGTGATCTTACTTTTCATGAAATAACACTTGGTAGAAGGGAGTTGCCTTCACTTCGGGCCATAACCATGGATGACTGGAATCAACACATTGGTAGCTGATAGCTCATTGCTTCTGAAGTGTTATCTCTCAGTAGCAATGACACAAAGGACTCAAATTCAGTTGTGGTCCTAAATTTTCGTGATTCCTCATCGATTCTTTTATTTTTATAAATCTTAGTGTATAACAACATTGTATTGAAATAGGTTTCATTCTGACTTGAAAAGAAAAGATTCTCGCAGGTGAACAGCAATCTCCTGCAATTGCCTAAATTACAGTTCACCTGCAATGATCATTTCTTCACTTGTCCTTCGTGTCATAGCAGTTTCTTCCTCAGTTTTTGCCCTGGGCTTGAGCTGACCGCGTTGCAATTGAATTTATGGCGAGTTTCGTTTTCATCGTAGTCACATCCCGAATGATATAGATTTTCTGCAGCTTAAAGTGAAAAATAAATGTGCCAAAGAATGCTCGCTTCTGAAAACATATTTGACTTAAGTCTTAAGGGAACGAAATAAGTTTTAGAGTTAACGATATTCTCACTCTCAGAAGTGATGCGAAAAAATTGTCTACAATGTAGCAACTAATTACCCCAATTGTAAGCATTTGTTTCAGAAGTGGACAATCAAATAAGCACCTCCAAATCATGAATTACGGCCTTCCGATGGTGATTTGAAAGCATTATATTAAGAAACAGTCAACTGACCGCGCTTTTAATTTGTTTTATTTTTGTTATAAAAGATTTATTATATAATTATATAGCTTACGGCAAATATAATCTATAGCCTAGGCCCTTAAAATCCACGCTGTATTTTTTATAGGCAAAATAATATCAGAGTAAGCAAAGATGCCTCTTCTCTTGGATTTTTGTCTGCTAACTTTAGTGAACTGGCAACTTTCTTGTTTTCCAACAGAACTGGTGTAGCCATTACAGCGATAGAGCTGCTCGTGTAGCAACGAAATACTTCGATCATAGTCCCATGCCATGGAGGTAAAAAGAAGTAATTTGCGTTTATAGCCCATTTTTTACACGGTCAGTTCTTTATTTCCGACAATTATTGCTTTCCTCTTTCGTTGCAGGGTGAATGGTACTCTCATTAATTTCCCGGAATTTTCAAAGGCGTTCAATTGTCCTATGGGTTCACCAATGAATCCTGAACACAAATGTAAAATTTGGTGAAAGTTACTTCTAAAAAGAACACTAGCAAACCTTAACGTGATGTTTAGCAATTGAGAAATAAAATACGAAATACCTTATTAATGTCAGGTGAAAAAAAAATCGACAGAGAAATTCGTCCCAATTGAACTATCAAGCCTTCATTTAAAGTTCTTTACAATAATTTAGTTTGAAATGGTAAATTGGAAATTCATCTTTGCGAAGTTACTACTTAAACAGGATGTTGGTGTGTACACTCAGAAATGAAAGTAGTGAAAGTCATCAGTGTAATACATTCAGATACAAAATAATGTATCGATGTAGTTCGACAGCTTAAAAAGCAATTTTTAAGGCTATTTTCAGTGTATTCATATTTTTATCATAAAATGATTAAAAAGACCATACTTGAAAGATAGGAATGTCAATATGGGTTACCTTTGAGCAATGATGATGTAAACGAAGATGGTAAATTTTAATCCTGGCGAGTTAGGTGAAAAAAGATGTTATTCAGTGAATGACACTGGCATCTCGGAGATAAAAATAATATAATCCGAGTGCTGCCCATAGATTTCGAAGCAACGACCTTCTTAAGGTTATAGAATGGGTTTTCTGGGACAGTTTGTCATTTTGCTTCTTCGATTCGCCGAAGTTGAGTGGTGGAAAAATCAAAATGACTCAGCGAATTCCTTCAAGCGGCAGCTTAGTTCTAGGAGGAACTATCTGAAGCTGTTGTGTAACGAATCCACGCTTTGGACCATCTTTCCGATAGTAATGAACTGACTCTCCTCCATTCATAATTGATCTACTAACGTTGTAGACCTTCAGAGACCAGATTGGATCTGTCGCTCTTCTCTGTCCACTTTCAAACTCACCAGCTGCATTCAAATACGTCACATTCTTTGAAGAATCGAGTCCCTTCTCACTCAAGCCAACATGCCATTGAGGGCATCGACAGGTTCTTTCCTGTCAATCGAGTCACCTGGCGATTCAAAGCTGAGACAACTTCTGGAAACCTTTCACCCGTTCAGTCGATTTCTTTTTAGATGTGAAGTTCATCTCCTAGCTGTACTGAAAACTGAAGTTTACGTTCACCCAAAGTTCAATTGTGACATCACCTATGAATTCATGTCCAGGATCAACCTGAAGAGCTTAAAGGCCATTTCAGTGGTCCTCTCTTCAGTAAAAATTCTTTCCTCTCGGGAGTCTGTCTTGAGGAATGAAAATAGGATCAGCTCGATGAACTGCATTTGGAGATTAAACGTTAAAAGTCGGTCTCGCAATATGTTTGGGAGCAAACAAGTAATTCTGCCAAATGGCATACTTCATTAACCAGTTTTGCAACATCTTCATAAAATTTAGCCTTTTATGCTAATTTCTTTACTCCATGCAATCCTTCCAATAGCAATAAAATATCGTAAACTCTTGAAAACGTACTTTCCATTTTGAAATAGCTCACTCGAAACGACTAGCAGCCAATCCCAAAGAAAGCAATGAAGCTGTCCGCGGAAGCAACTAGAGGTCTCCAAACTTTAGAACAACTGTTGTGAATCTGCTAGCCACTTTTAACAATCTAGCAAAATTTTATTATCTTCAAGATATTGTTTTTTTGCAAGAGAAGCTAAGGCAACTACAGTGAACTTAGCATAACTCATGAAATTAGACCTCAGATTAGAAGTAATTGGCTCTTTGATCAACTACTTTGCGATCCATCCATATCCAGCTGCAGCTGTGATCCTTGTTATGGTTACGGCATCCGTCAATGTTTTCATGAGCTTATTATCAGACTTTAGTTTATTTAAAATAATCCTGATAATTTTCAATCCATTAGTCTTACTCCTGTATTCTACCTCCAACTGAAAGTTCATTGAGCACCTGGTCGGTCTTCGACTCGCTGCAAAGCTTCTGGTTTCTACTGGTGGCTTTTTTATATAGTAGAGTCCAACCAGTGAAAGAACTATACCCACTACTGACAGTATCCAAGTGGTCGTGAATGATGATGCTTCAACTTTCCTCTCACTGCTATTCTCACGTTGATCAAACACAATACTGTCACCTGAGTTTCCACTGCAACTCTCCCAGGGACCTCTGAGTGAGAGGACGTGTTTTCAGTTAGCTCCGTACTTAGTTTCAAAATAATCTTAGAATATGTCTGGAAGAGGAAATAAAACTAAAGTTAAAGCTCCTCAGCACCAGAATGACGCTATGATGAAAGAGCTGGAAACTTTGCGCAACGAAATTGGCCGTCTACAGGAGTCGTAAAGATCGCACGAAGAAAGGTCAGCGCCAGATCCTGCTGTAGTCAAGGCGTCGTCAGTAACAAATACGGTGACCTGTCCGCCTTCTACCGTTCGGCTAAAGAAGACCTCGATCCTCTAAAGAATCTTAGGGAGTCTCTCAACTTTCAAGTCAGCGAGATGGCGGGAGTCTTGGATGATGTGGTACATTATAGTTATAATATAGTACAATATAGTCCCGGAGATTGATCCGACTAAGCGAGAACCTGCTCTTCAAACGGCTAAACTTTCTATTCGACTTTTTAATGCCATGGGTGCTGATGTTACACTTAACGACATTGATACTGCACACATTGTGCCCCGCCGAAATTCGTCTTCGAATGGCCCAAAAACCAAAAATTTGCAAATTTTAACGACGAATCGCTTGAGAAAATGTCATGTCATATCGCCGAGAAATTGATCAAATAAACGCCAAGATCATAAGAGCCTTTCTTCTGATCCATCTAAAATTCCTGATATTCTCAATAAACATTTTGCTTCTATAGGGAATAAATTTGTACCCAAAATTCCAAATTCAGTAGAATTCTCTCGCTATCTGCATTAAATTTCGTTCCCAGAACCTTTTACCTTTGATCCAGTTTCGTCTGGTGAAGTTGAGCAAGGAATAAAGTATCTTCCTGTAAATAAATCGTCAGGCTTGTATTCCCTTGCCCCTTAGCTCAGTTGGTAGAGCGCTGCACCGGTATCGCAGAGGTCATGGGTTCAAATCCCGTACGGGCCTGAATTTTTTTCAGGCCTTATTTTCACTACTGCCTAAGTAGTGCACATGACTGCGAGGATCACTTTCATTCACGTCTTTGACTCTAATTATGAATAGTCCGATTGAAACTGGCATATACCCTTCGAAGTTAAAGCATGCCAAAGTTATCGCAGTTTTCAAGAGTGAGGATGAATTGGACGCGAATAATTACAGGCCAATCCCCCTCCCGTCAATTATTAATCGTATCTTTGAGAAACTTATGTGTAATCGCTCAAAATGTTTCCTGGATAAACACAGTATATTGTACCGTCATCAGTATGGTTTTCGGGAAAAATGCTCTACATAGCACGCACTCATTGATATTATCAACAGGATCCAACTCAATAATGATAAGAAGCTATTCTCCTGAGGCATTTTTATAGAACTAAAGAAAGTTCTTGACACAGTCAACCACTCAATCCTACTGCAAAAACTGCAAAAACTTCAACGTTATGGAATCCGTGGAGTAGTAAACATCAAACTCAGGTCGGCGCTCACGTATCCAAGAAAGAGTATTGTCTCAATGGCGTCCCACGAGGATCAGTCTTAGGACCTTTACTGTCCTTGTTGTACATAAATGATATCTATACCTCCTCTGAGAAACTAAGCTTTTTCTTATTTGCTGATGACACTAACTTGCTTTAGGTGATAAGAATTTGAGATCCCTTGAATGAACAATTAACGAGCAGTTAAGGAATATGAGAAAATGGCTGATGGTAAATAAGTTATCTCTTGTATTAAGATGTATTAAGAACCCTCTTTTATAGATTAACCGTGAAATTTGCAGGATAAATCTTGCAAGGTACAAATGACTAAGCTCTATGAAGACCTCCTCTTTACTAAGCATGACAGAGAAAATATGTTGAGGGTGGGATTTCAGATGTGAAGATCTTTCAAAGATCAGATGCAATGTTTGAGACTTTGAAAGATTATTGAGTCTTCGATTCGGAGGATTTCTAAATGATCTCGTTTTTGAACACAGACTCACACCTGCCAGCAAAGTTGTGAAGACATCTGCTTCAAAAAAGCTCAGCTATGTACTGAGCAACAATTGGCTTGAGTATAAAGTGATTCACTTGCCGATGAAGCGAGATCACTCTCTTAAATGGCTGGGAATTCATGTTTGTGCATGTTCAGCATCACAAGACATTATCAATTGCAAAAGGAATTGACACGATCATCAAAGAGAGCATCAATGTTACAAGGAGGTTAATGGAAGGACTCCTACTCCTCTTCTACGAGCCATGCACGGCAGGATTGAGAGATAGTGAGAAGGCATTCAACACTGACTTTACTGAGGTGAAAGTGGTTGTAATTCTGAATAAAGTGTACAGCCAGGGAATGAATAAAAAATCTCCTTGGGAAGAAGTCTGGAGAAGATTCGGGAAAGGGACCAGTTTAATGAATGCAACTGACTTCTATGCAGGAGATAGAGTCAGTTTGTTCATCGACCTCAGTAGCATGAAATAAATTAAAATAATCTTCATGGTTCAGGATAGAAATTGATTGACACAAAAGAGGGAGATTCACAGAAATGGATCAGGTTTAAGGCATGTATAGTTTCATATCTTCATCCTCTCAGACACTCAGTTAAACATCATTAACAGAGAGCTTAATAGTGTCACCTATCCACTTCTCGCTACGTTGGGAGGTGGTCTGTAGCATTGTTACAGTAGAACTTCGATTGAACGAAGTGCCAAGGGCTGGGAAAATTGGTTTCTCACATCGAGGGTTCGTTATGTCGAAAACCTCTTTTCAACGAATTTGCCGAAAAACAACCAAAATGTTCGCTATCTCGAGGGCTGGTTAATAATAATTTTTGATATTATTCCTTTTATTTTTTTGTGGTGTGACGTTGCGCCAGCATTTTGGAATCGGAAATGTTAACTGTAAATAACATTTGTGCTTTTATAAATGTCTATATGAAGCTACACCACACTGGGCAGATCCGTACATAGCTAGGGCACTTTGCTTTTAAAGCACGTCCATGGTTTCAAACTTCCTGCTTACTGGGAAAATAGGAAGGCCGATATGTGTTGCCTCTGCACAATGATGATGTAAATGAAAATGGTTTATTTTAATCCTGGGGATTTAAGTAAAGGAATGTGCTACTAGACGAGACAAAAAAACCCGAAAGCATCCAATAGGAGTGGAACTTACGACCTTCTGATTAGTACTCCAGGCGCTCTACCACTGAGCTACTTTAACTGGCCTTTTAACTACAATCGGCGACACAATTGTTGACACATTAGCCTTTTCAACCCCCTTTTACCTCTTTTACTCTATTTTAAGTTAACCCTCTTTCCCCCAAAACAATGTTGTATGGTAATTCTATTAGCTTTTAGCCACACACAGGCAACATTGAACGGGGGAAGGGAGTCTTTTCTATGATTTAGGGTGTTGTAGAGTCAAGAGTGTTATTCTACATATAAAATAGGACTCTTTCAATATGACGTGTAAACTGATTTTGAAGCTGATTGTAGGTCCATGTTGACAAACTTCCTGCATACTGCGTGGATATGAAGGTCGATATGTGATGCTTGTGCACAATGATGTCAACGAGGATGGTAAATTTTGAGCTTGAAGATTTAAGTGAAGGTAGATGTTATTCATTGAATGGCACAGGCATACACGGAGATAAAAGATACACGTGCTCCCAATAGGATTCGATCCTAAGCCTTTCTGGTTGGTACTTCGAACGCTACACAACTTAGTTACAGGAAAATGGCCCGGTAGGGCCGAGCTAAGATCAAATTAAAAAATTTCTTTGGTTGTATCAACTGAGTTGATAATGTAACTTGACCACCGCAAAGAGTCTTAAGAGGGTATCCGGTCAGTTCGCCACCACTGAAAGTCAAATCACCACCGGTGAAGATTTGACTTTTAGTGGTGGTGAGCTTTGTGGTGGCAAGTTTGTTGTGGTGGCAAATTGACCGTAAACCTTTAAAAGCCGAAGTTTCAAGCGTTAGCCTTTCAGTCCTTCGGTCTGACGAATAGGTAACGCTCGAAATTCGGCTTTAGAAACATTTCACCATAAGCAATTTACATCATAAACTCAGTTAATAAAACCACATCATCTTTTAATACCCCAAACCGAAGTGTCCCCACAGTTTCTTTACAAGTTTACGTCGTTTGCGGGATTAAAGTTGGTTTGTCTGTCACGATTACTACAATTTTTTTGTATAAAGAAAACAGTGAACAGGGATCGCAGAAATGTGCACGCAAAACGTGAAAAGTAGCATGAGGAAGTAACCATCTATGGACAAAACAACAAAATCGCAAGAGCTGCTCCTACACTCCATCATTTGTTACAATTCGTAATGTTTTGTAGAATTTTAAAAGTGCATTTGACTAAAGATTGTTCAATTGAGAAATTCTTTAACACATAACTTGCTCTAATAAGACACGAATTATATTCGCGTTTATTCGATTTCTCATACGTATAGAGGGGGCATAGTTACACACAGTCCACGCTAAGACTCATGAAATACCTTTGCATGCCATATCTGACTTAGTATCCTCTCATGAAAGGGCTATACTGTTGCTTTCTCTGATGCTGTCATATGGCAAGCCTTTTCTCTTTTCTACTTAATTTGCTTGCTTTATACCTTTCCCTGATAACTTGAGATTATGTCATTAATAGAGAATATATGCAAACTTGTACCACAAGTAACTTGTATGGCATCTCTAAATGGGCATCATCTTCCTGGTTAGTTAAATTTGGAGATTCAAATTAGCATGGTCCATTCAAAACGCGAATTCCTGCATTTCCTGTAAAATCAGACAAATCCAAAGCTGAATCCACTCCTCTGATAAAATTTAAGAGAAAGGATCTACGAGTCTGGTCGGTAATTTCTGCTGTAATTAGTAACATAAAGTGCAGTTTCGTCGTTAACATCGCCACATTAAAACCGAGAGAAATGTAACCAACAGGAATTAGTAACTACATCACAAGGAACTTCCAGCTAAGTTTCAATTTGAAGATACAAATGAAGGTCTAACTAACTTAGAATTAGCTTTCAGAAGGAGGCCAGTCAAAATCATGCTCAAGTTGATGCTGCAAAATTCGGAAGTAGTTTTTTGGGCGAGTTTTGCAAAAAAGACGATTGAGCACTTTCTTCAGCCATTGTGACGGAACAATGAACATCTGTGTACACAGAAGAGAAAACAAACAAACATTAAGATCGAAGTACATAGAGCCCTAAATAATTTCTATACATCAAAGGGCAGATTTGCTATTTGTTAAGAATTACGAGCTGTAAAAATGATCCGCAATATAATTATTGATTACGTGCCCCTTTATCATTCATAGTTTATGTTCTTTGAATGAATTTCTTGCAATTGGGGGTATACACGTTTGTTAGCGATGGCAAATTTAAAAATACCGCTCATGACACTCTTATTAGATTGTATCATTGTAAAGTTATTGTTAATGACTGAGATTGACAAATTTGCTCATCATGAGCCCCAAAATTCAAATACTTATGTTTTGTTTGTAAACGAAAAGAAAAAGCTGTGTCAAGAAACGTTGAGAGTGTGGGAAAGAAGAAATGCCTTATTCCTCCAAACTATTTCCTGGTTAAAGAAAAACCTGTTAGTCTAGGTGCTGAACAGCAATTTGTTTGGCTGTCTGAAGTAAATATCAAATTAGGCGGTGAAAACTACTTAAGAAAGATTGCAAGGGGGCTATCTTGTTAAAATGTCGGCTCAAATTGAAACAATCGAGCGATTATAGAGGAAAGTTTTGAGAACTGTTACAACGTGCTTTCTGACCCGTTTCTGACTTTGGAAAAAGGTAAGAATCTTGAATAGAAATAGCAAACTGACGTATGACACCAACCCCCGATTCGCAAAGAAAAAAGCAGATCAAAGTGCAAATCTGGATGAGGAGATGAGGAACATAGGTAATCATGAACTTACTAGAGCACTTAACACAACTGAATTATTGATCAGTTTTGCCTTTTGAGAATAGAATGGATTTGATACATCGCTTTGTCCTCTTAATAATAGCTCGTCACTAGTAACTGTCCATGATGTCGATATCGCAAAGGAGTATCACCCGACAACACGCTCAATCAGTAAACCCACTCGCCCCATCTGATACTTATGGAATTGATTTGTATGAATAAGCAGTGGATTTTATCGCACAATATACTGAGATACTGAGAGGGTGGTAACTTTACTATATTACTAAATGAATTGCTATTGTAAGCTATGAATGCTAGACCAGTACTGTCGGTTTCCCTTAATTAAACATACATGAGGAATACAAGTGATACGATTTCAATCGTTTTACAGTGTCATTATAGAGTGAGAGTAAAATATGCACTTCCTATTGAACTTAGCAGTTTGAAATAGTGTTTTGCCAGAAAAATGCAAACTTTTTGAAACTGGGATGGCTTAGGCTTCGCCAAAGGACCCTTTTTCGTCCATGGGGGGTAAGGATGGCGTGGTACAAGAATAACTGTAGCAGTTCATAAAACGAACTGGTCTGGTTTATCCAACAAACAGCCAAATTCAGTAGATGACTTTCCACTAACCTCAATGAAAAGAGAAATGAGACAATTGCATGCCGCAATACCAAGAAGCGTCCACTTGAAGATTTTATCTGGGATCGTTGCTAGCTGAAAAAAAAAAAAACAACAACAACAACAATCAATCAATCAATCAATCGGGCAAACAATCTATTACTCAGTTGATTTTTAGAGAATATCAAACAACGAATTACTACAGCCACGGAGCTCTGAAAGTGGTGCACTGTAAGTACTGCTGTGGTTTACTTAGTGTACATCCTAGTGTGCACCAAACATTATTATAAAATAATTCAAATAGTACGCGCGCTCTGATTGGCCATAAAACCATTTTACATGAGCGTATGTAAACACGGTTTTCGTTCCTCTTTCATTAGTTATTTTATAAAAGAAATGTAAAATGGTTTCCGTGTTTACATAGCCTGATGTAAACACTTGGGAGGTTGGGAGAACACGAGATAAGCGTAGGAAACCACGACGCGAAGCTGAGTGGTTTCCAGCTTATCGAGTGTTCTCCCAACCTCCCAAGTGTTTACATCAGGCTATGTAAACACGGAAACCATTTTACATTTCTTCACTAAAAAACATCTTTATTATTCAAAGCTACCCTTTGCATTTCGTCTCTTAACGCATACGCGGTTATTTCTCTTTTGAAGAATGCAAGAGGAGGCCGAATAATTCATTAGAAAGATTTGTCAAAAGTGTCATGAGGCTAATAATAGCTTGATTAGTTTTTAACTCAACCCGCAAAAGGCAACGCATGTCTGGAGATTGGCGCCCCTCAGATCTGACACTTCCTTAATAACAGGGTGACTATCTTTGGTGGACCTCTGCAAGGCCCACAGATATTCACATCTTCAGTTTGCTAGTAAAAGTACCGCTGTAATCAATACTAACTCGAAAATCGAGGTAGCAGAACCAGATCATCGAGTCCACCTCACGTAATGTGAATAAAGCAATAGGATGCAACAGTTAAAGGTTGTCATAAAAACCTGATAACTGACAACCAGACAGTGGAAATGCTAATAATCGACAAGGTGTACTATAGTGCATAATTTGGCGTATTATTAACAGAAAAACAGAATGAAGGCGTTATTACTACATCAGTTTCCTATTACATCAGCACCTGAATTATATGAGTAAGTATGTCAAGTATACATTCCTTATTTACAATCGCAATTATTCCCATAAAGTGACTTTCAATATAAAAATTAAAAATTTAACTTTGACTGAAAATACATTACCTCAAAAAAAAGCTGCAACGTTTCTCCTGGAAGAACAACTAAAAATCCTGTAAACAGGGTTAGAAATACCACGACCAATAGAAAATATCCTGGAAAGAGAAGCAAAATAAACTGAAAACTAAGTTTTACTCCTGACAAGATTCAAGTTACATTTGATATGACCATTATATGAATTTTGAACGACTTCGATCGACACGTGTTTCATCCGATAAGTGAAGAATCTTACATACCACTTTTATAAAATGGTTTCCGATAAGGGGCTCCACCAGAGAAGACTACTGCCAAGTGTATATACTGGAAAGAAGACAGTGCAAACAAAACAGCATTCTGATGACATTTCACATATGTAGCATTCTTTTCAGTAACGTGGACGGCGCTAAACCTAGAAAAAAAGTACACAGCTTTTAATCACGCACATCCAACTAAAGGAATTTTCATTAGAGGCAAATGAGGAACTGCAAAATCCTGGAAAAATGTAAGTTTACGCGTAATGAGCGATAAAAGGAAGTATAGCTGTCAAAAAATTGAACAAAAGACTGGCCATCATGATGTATGTAAGAGCACAGAGGAATAAATAGTTTAGAAGCAGATAAGCATTCCTGATATAACAGGTGTCTAAGAGAGGGAAGCACAAAAGAAAATGATCTCCACAGGTAAATTTCTGCAAAAGAAATCGCACGAAGAAACCTTTATATCTGCTGAAGTTTCCAACAAATGGAGTAGATTTCCTTTGGCAGATTGAAAAAAAAAATTAAAGAAATCCACAAGTTAAACCTAAATTAACGATAAATTATTTGTCGTCTTACCATGACTGGGACCGTACGTAATAAAATCCAGCAACCTGCACGACAGTTTGTACAACAATATGGGATATCAGTGAAAAAAGAACGATTGGAGACATAAGACTTCCTCCAGGTCTCTTAGCCACCAACATTGGATACGCCTCTGTCTTACCCACTAAAAAAAGACAAGAAACAAAAGTTAAAAGATCAAATTTTGCTTAAGCATTGTTTTCAATTTCTCTAAGACAAATTGGAAACCATGGTTATGTAAAATTAACCATGGTTTAAATTTGTTGATTGTCAAATTTCTTGCGGGAAATAACAACAATTCGGTAGAGTTAGCCCAGACTTTCAAATAAGTAGAAAAACATCGTGTTACGAGGCGAGTTAGTCTCATATTGAATACCTCGCCGACGAATAAGAAATAATAATAAGTCTCGAATAAGAAACATGATGGGTTTTTTAGCACATAGCCTTCACCGTGTCAGGAAAAGTATAGGGATTTTGAGGCGAAGCGGTAACGCAGAGACAAGAAAAGTCCAAGACACTGCCTCAAAAATACTGCTGTCTTCATCAATTACTGATCACATTGTCGGAACTGGGTTTATTTCTATAACCTAGGAATAGATGTATTAACTGCGCTACAATTAAAAATGTTAGGATCAGCGATGTTGATTAATGCAAAGTTTGTCGTATGTTAAGGCGTAAATGGCAACGACAAAATATTCCGTGTCACAATTCCTGCCCAGGGACCGAGTAACTGCACTTGTGGCTGACCTTTAGCCCACGATGGTAAGAGGGGTAGATTCGCGTGGCAAGAAAAGAAATTTAAATAGTTCTGCTAACTGCTAAGTAGAACCTGGAAAGCAGTTCTGCACGACCTTAATTATCAGACTTCATTCACATTTATATGCTTTGTTGACGACGTCCAAACTGTCTGATAGAGGTGATGGAAAACTGCTTCAGAAAACTGTCGTTCTTGCAGTCCACGCTGATAAATGACACTGTTCAAGAGGGCCGTGGAACATTCTCATCAGGGACTGCTTCAAACTAAACAGTATCGAAAGCCACAGCTGGTAATGATATGGGGCAACAACTAGCGACAATCGAGACTGGTTCGATTATATCAACTAGTAGCGCACTCATTGCATCAGGACCCTTGGAGAATATTCACACACCCACTCCCATGGGATTACCTCCACATCCACTGACAACGCCTCTATGGCTAGTAAAGGTATCTATGTATACGGCCATGCGAGAAAAAGACGCCTGAATGGATCTCCCCTAAAATGGGTCTCCCCTTTAGGAAATCGAGGCTTCATCCGGCATTTCAGAAATGGACGATCCATAAGAACCTGTCCGCGAAACGCCCCTAACTGGACTGTCTGTGCGCAAGCATGTTAGGGTGAAAAGCCCCTTCTCTGAAACGGCACAAGGGGACCAAATGTGTCATTTATTACTATCTCCCAAGCGGACCATACTTATTTAACAAGCAAACTGATGGAATTCATTTGAAGAAACCATCATCCAAAGCTTAAAACACGAAGGGCAATAAACTTACTGACAAGAGCCAGGCTTGTAATAATGACTAGATCAATGTACAAATACTGCCAGTCACCAAGGTTAGAAGAAATCTGTACAAAGAAAGAGAGAAACTTACATCAAAGGTGATTTTTTACATGTGCCAATTTATGACAGAAAAAATACTCTGAGCTTCTTGTAGTATTTAGTTAAGGATGTGTTTGTCACCAACCTTACCCTAAACTTTCCTCAAATGCGAGGATAAGGAAAAGGTGAGAGGAATTGGACCATTAAACATGCCGAGATGGGATAGATTTAAACTCTTTTTAAGATAATTTTCACTCAACCAAGTAACTAGGAAAAAAAGAAAATTCCGACGAAGGGGCCGACAACTCATCGGTGGGGACACGGGTACTCTAGCCAACTTACCATTCAATACACTACAATCAATGTAAAACTCAAAACCCCCAAAAACCAGAAATAATCTCAGATTGCCACTTTTTTCTCAAGAGAGAACTACAACTGTAAGCATCAACTGTGAAGATTTTGTGCATCTTTTAATTTCCTGAACTCCAGTCTGATTGATCATAACCCAAAATTTTCTTAAATTTTTCAGGTGTTCATGGTTTTTAGGATGGACGACAATCAACTCGGGTGCATTTTGTTACAAACTGAAAACAAGGCAACACATGGAATAAGAATGATTGAAAGAAATCTGGCTAATTTTTGGGGGTGGAACAAATTTTTCGAGTATAACACATATTCTAAGCATGGTTTATCATTCAAAAATGAATAGAAATGAATTAGTTTAAATTTCTTCCAGTTATCAAAATTGCCTGGCTGCCGTTCACAAACACAACTTGTGCTTTCAAGAGACCTAATTTCAGAAAAATAATTTACATAAAGATTATAAGTGGCACATACCGAATAAAGTAAGAGAACAGAGACAAACTGCACAATACTGTAAAGAGCCATGTACTTAAAAATTCCAAATGATGTTACCAGAGCTGCTCTGCCTTCCCTGAAAAAAAAAACCAAACAGACAAATAAACTCTTACAGTTGACAATTTTAGGGCCGACATCTCACGCAAGGATACTTCCATTAACATTAAGGTATTAACATTAAGACATTACCTTTATCATATATTTCTGGAGAATATGGAATGTTGGTTTTAAGAGTTTACTGATTATGCAATAGCAACTTTGAGCATTTACCTTATTACAGCAGGTACACATTCAATATGTGGAATCTAAATAAAAATAATGTTCATTGGTTAACTTCCATTTCTGTGCCTTTCAGTGATTTTTCTCAGTTATCTTCTAAGCTGAATTTTGTTAATGTTTCAAAATATCTTAATAAAAACGAAAATGTATGGTGTTCATCCGGTTTCATTTCATGCCTCACAAAGTTGCAAGCAAACTGTAGCCCCCCGAATCTGTGTTTTGGGCAACTTTCATACCTTAATCCGCTTCTTTTGAACTCGCAAACGTCTGTCTAAACAACATATGATCTATACTAGAAGACACAAATAAAGAAGCCTGTCCATGCTCTTTGTTGCAGAGCCGCGTTCTCTCGTACAACGATATTATTTAATGGGGTAAGTTTCTAAAGAAAGCCAGGGGTATTACAAGATAAATTGGTTTTATCAATTGAGTTGACAATGTAAATTGGCCACCGTAGAGAGTTTCCAAAGCCGACGTTTCGTTTGTTAGACCTTAGCCAGAGCGAATTACGAAGGGGTAATAGAGTCTAAACAAACCTTTGAAGTAAATGGAGATGCCACAGATGCTTCTGCTTGTGACAATGAAATTCCTGCATGTGCCACCTTAAGAGCCTACACAAACAATACAAAATACTTTAGGGCACAACAAAATCCACATGCTTCGAAGAATTGCGCATTTTTTTGCGATTATTGTTTCTTTAAACCCCAGTGGTGTGAGATTGTCATCAAACCCTTATGCCACTTTTTTCTTCCATTCAATTTCAGTATCAATCCTAATTGTTACATTACATCTCTAGTACTGATATAACTATCTATCAATTATCATGCAGTATCATCAGAGTTTTTGTCCTACCCCACAATCATTAGCTCCATCTCCACACATCCCAACACAGTAACTACGTTTAAGACAAAAAAACAGCATATCAAGAGTTAATTAACAACTATTGGATCCTTGCTGTCACTGAGCAATAAGTTACGGTTTCATACCACAGTTACGTTATCAGGCGAATAGATGCGTGCGCATTCCGGGACACGGAATCAATGAACCATGTAAAGAAGTACAATGGTCTTTTGCCCTTAAACGTAAATTTTGGTTAGCAAATTACCCCCTTTAAATTGGAAAAGTACTCGAGGATGCAATTCTGACCTTCATAACATAGAGGGCAAAATTACTAAAGCTGATTGGCTGAGACAGCGGGGTTTTTTTTCGTTAATTTTGGTAATTGCCCCAAGAAATTACCAAAGTTTAGACAACGTTCAAAAAGGCTTAACTTCGCCTAAAAAATGTTATTATTTTACTGACGGCAACTGTTTTCAACTAGGTTGCTTTCATTGCTTTGGCGTTGTTGTGCAAAAATCAGCTGATTTGTGCGTTTTACAGTTCACTTAATACACTAACTGAACACTGTAATAGCTGAACAGGTAAGGGCCAATTCGAAGAAAACACAACACGATGTCTCAGCAAATGTTTTTACTATAACGTTAGAAAAAAGCAAATTCCTTCAAGAGCGAAAAATTAATAATTACAAATCAGACAAACTACCAAAAGGCCACTGCAAAACGAAATCAAAGAACACGATGAAAATGAGGCCGCTTACCAAATGCTGAGAATAACTGGCATTGGTGGTTGGAGACAACAAACTATATAACTAAATTTACATACAGCACGTAACAAAGCAGCGTAATTAACAAATTACAGAAGAGCGAAAAGAAAAAAAAAAGGTATACGATGACGAGTGAGCAAACGAAAACGAAGGGAAAAATTTGCCCCAACAATGGCTTCCAACGAACATGCGTAACAACGTGCGGTCTTGATCTTCTTCATGAAAGAAAACTTTGGCCTTTATATTGTAAACAAGAAATCACTTGTGTCCTAGTAAAATTCAGGATTAACATCACGTGTTTTCTGAAGTTATAGAGAAAATGCATGAGTCGCGCAGCCCGTGAAATTAATCCTTAATTCTCCTTCGCTCCATGCTATTAGCTAGTTTAAAAATGCGTGATTTTCCACATCAAATATATCAAATCGTTCTATACGATCGGGACTTTCGGCCTGTAAAGTTTTGTTCAAGTGTTACTTTAACCTTTGCTTCCAACTATCGCAAAATGTACAGTGAACCAATGTAATGACGCGCGTGATTAATAAATGGGGTTAGTTTGGTCAATTATATCTCACAAAGAAGACCCCTCTTTTTTAATGTATTTTTCGAACCAGACATTGATGGGGAACATTTAAGGAAAATTAAAAAATTTAGAGAACATATCCACGCTCACGCCATCTCCGTTCCTCTGGAAAATAGAGTTCGTTTTGAAAATTATACAAATAAGTGGGGAATTTAATGTATTCTTTATCGTAAAAAAACAAACAAACAAAACCTCGACTGTGCTTGTTTTCTTGTAAAGCATTCAGAAAGCGTAACAAAAGAAGTAGGGAAAACAAACAACTACGTCTTGTGACTCCCCCTACAGTTCTTTTGTGCTCTAACTTCTTCCTGCGTGCTTTACAACAGAACAGAGAAAAGTGAGGCTTCTTTTTTCCGTTAACTCTGCTACAGCATTACTTACTTCAGATTCTGCAACCCTTGAATAAGATGCGTCTTTTGGTCAGGTGACATTCGAGCAAATACAGTTCCTGACATAAGCAACTTAATGCAAATCATACACAAAAAATGAAAAACTTCAAATCATGTATGGTATAAGGCAACGAAAGGAAGCCGATATCTGCTAGTTTTTTGCATACGAATAAGTGACTTGACATCAATAATTCTTCTGTAAATTGCTTCGTTCACCTTCCTCTTTATCCATCCATTTCTGGATGGTTTGTTTCAATTGTTTAGCGGGGAAACCTTAATTTTAAGAAAATAGAGAAACTCATTTAGTTGAGACAATTTGGTTATGATGTCACTGTATGTTCACAGTGTTAAATATTGGGTAAATTTACATATCACATTTGTAATGTTGTTTTGGGTGCTGTTGAATAAACCCTTAAATATGTGCCTGCATGTACCCTTTCACAGCTGTTTGTCTTGGGAACCAAAACAAATAATTATTATATAGCTGACAGCGCAAGCAGACATGATGATGTGAAACCGGTGCTGTGATTCGTTTGCCAAGCGGGCAAATGGGTAAGGGCTTTGGACAGTTTTGGAAACAATTCTAATATTGAGAATGATGTTTTTCGTCTTGTGATGAACGTGGGACAAAGACTATTTTAGACATAATTGTTAGTTTCAGTTTTCTGCGACCTCACTTGTGTTCGTGGAGTATACTGTCTAGAGTAACATTGTTCACCTTGTTAAATAACCGAGGCTTGTGAATTCTGATTAAAGCAAATGTTTTCCCTGAAACTGCCACGTGAATACATCTTCTTCCTCCATCTATGTAATTACGCTAGTAAAGCACACAAAATAATAATGTCAGTGCATTTAGGTTTGAGTATGCAGTTATTATCCATCATGATGACATTACCAAGTGCAGATAGAGCCAAACAAAGCAACTGTTGTAACGTAAGTTGGTTTTATAACTGAGTTGATAATGTAAAATGGCCACCATGTTCTGATCCTTCGAAGCCTGATCCATTAGCTTGCTTCCCACAGCAAACGAGACGTAGGCCCTTCATCACAGTGTAACCAAATTTATTCAAAGTAAAATTTCGTGGTGAACCGAGAAAGCCGGCGGGCACGACAATTACAATCCCCGACAACAACATGGAAAATTAACACCCTAATACCTTGCGATGAAATACAATGCTTAACTATGTTTGTGACGCTAGACGCGTGACACGTGTGACAGAACACACCATTAAGAGTTTCTAAAGCTAGCATTAGGAATATAAGCTATGTGTCAGAGCGAAAAATTATGAGTTGTGTGTGGTTCATATCTACAGAAGATGGAGCCACCCCATCGGTGGGAACATAGTAATGCGAAAAACAAGAATTAATTAATTGAAAGAAAAGCGTTCGTTGATACCGTAGGGATTGATAGTGCTGAACTGAAACAGTTTTGCGGCTTTTCGAACTGCCTAAGGCAACTGTTTGGCTGACAAGGCTTTCTACACCCCTACTCAACTGAGCTCCCAGAATCAAGTTTAAAGTCTATATCAAGCCCACAACATACAGAACCCCTAACAGCACTACCATTTACCACAAGTATGAACCTGAACTGAGTGTGCAAAGATGGAGAGTATGTAGTCACCCTTACTCTTTCTGGAATTTCTTTTAATTTTCAACTCCAGTCTACTTTAAAAGTCGCCTCTCTGTACTGCATCTGCCCTTGACCTCACGATGACAACAAAACGCTGTGGAATAAACCTTTCTTCCATAATTTCTCAATAGATCAGTACCTCAGTCTTATAATCATGGCTGCGACTTTGAACAGCTCCAACAACACACCAATTGACATGAATTTCGTGAGAGTGGTCCTCACTCAGCTTAGCAGTTAGTTCGACAACCTAAAGAACAATTTTCAAAAGAGTTTTAACACTTTCTTAAGTTAATGTTGTGCTACCTATTAATGTAAATTAATAGGTAGCACGTTGTCCCTGTCTATGTTATTTAAGTTGACTCTATTTAAATTGCCTCTTCCACTTTCCTTGCGTACCAATGGCTTTCTCGGTCATTAAGCTTGCTTTCGTTCCACAATGGCTTGTGTCCGGTTCCGTTGGCATGATCTGAAACCGCGTAATTCTGAGTGCGTGCGAGTCGTATATCCCTGTCGTGTTCTTTCGTTCTCTCTTGCATGGGTCGTCCTGTTTCCCCGATGTAGACTTTGCCGCATATGCATGGTATCTTGTAGACTACACCATCTTGCTTGTTTGGATCAGCGGGGTCTTTTGGTCTGACCAGCCGAGATCTTAATGTGGTGTCGGATTTAAAGACGGTGCGTATTCCTTGTCGGTGTAGGTGGCGGCGGAGGGGTTCTGAGACTCCTTTGATGTATGGCAGCACTGCGGTGGACTTGAATTCTGCTGTTTCCCTCTCTGGTGTTGGATTCCTGGTTTTGGTCACCTTCTGTAAGAAGGACGGAGGGTAGCCGTTGGCGACGAGAGCTGCTTTTTATCCTGGGCTGTTTCGGATGGCTTGGTGATGATACGTTCAGCTCGATCATGTAAACACTTGACGATACCGCGTTTAACAGATTGTGGGTGGTGCGAATCATAGACGAGGTACTGGTCGGTGTGTGTGGGTTTTCTGTATACACTTGTGAGTAGTTTTCCGTCTGGAAAACGACTTGTTACGTAAAATATAAATGTTAAAACCACAATAAGAGCCTCACCGTTCAGCTTAGTTTTTCCTATTGACAAATGGTGATGAATTCAAGTATTTAATAGATATATTCCATATTCCCTTGCGCCTGTTCAGTAAAAGGTCACAGATGACGTCAAAATTTTGAAAGAACATAAAAGCGACACAAAAGGCGCAGCCCGGTGTGTTATTAACGTTCTTACTACATCTCGGTCAAAGTTTTCTGTAATCTATCACAGAAGAGACCCACGGCAACATGGAATGTTTTTTTTTTTTTTTTAAATCATAAAGAAGCAAAAATACTGTCAACGACGAAGTCACCTATGGCGTGTGTCCTCCTATAAATCATACTTCAGAACCAATCAAAATGAGCACATAACTCAGCCTATTATATAAATGCATATACCTGATGTGTAGATGCAATCATTCCACAGTCTCTAGCAACGCTCACAGCTGTTAACATGTTATCACCTGCAACAAATCAATCTTGGGGTAGCTCTCAAAACTAAAGGAAATTAAGAGCTAGTAGAGTATATCAATCACGGCCCCTTGCTTTGGTAAACCAGGCTCAGTTGAGTGAGGTTCAGACATCAAAATCAAAATATACATGTAAAACAAGAGAATATAATTATATTCTCTTGTATAAAATTGTTAACCAATGATGAAAAACAGATCAAATCCAAACACTGTTGTAAGTAACAGGTTGTGAAAGCCATATAGTGATCATTTTACTTCACTCTCATTGAGCCAGGCTAAAATGACAAATTCTAAATGGGCTTAACTTAATCAGGCTAACCGTATTCCTAAAATATTTCATTTCTTCGCTTTCACAATAAATCCCATAGCAAAGTCAAATCTTGTCTACTTTGAGTTGTGTAGACTATCATGAAAGTGGTAAAACCACTGAAAAGAGTATCCACATGGTCATAAATATAAAGGTGCAGGTTTGAACTACACCTCAGAGTAACAAGAGGTTGCAAACAGCCCGTCGGACTAACTTTTGCTGTAAAATGGATAGCTACAATATGAAAATTATGAAGGGAAGGCACTGGCCTTTTCTACCAGAAAATATGAAGCAAAGCGGGTCCTGAACAGCAACAAGATGAAATGCTGGTACTGGAGCCCTTAGCAGCGATAACAATAACAATGACAGTAGCTTTATGTCTAAAGAGAGACGTTTATGTGAGATGTATGTCTTACCTGTCACCATTACAGTTCTGATATCTGCATTTTGAAGCGTTCTTATAACAGGATAACTCTGGGGTTTCACTGCGTTTTGAAGAATCAAAAGTCCCAGGAATTGCAGGTTTGATTCTATTCGATCCCTATAAGAAATCAAGCTGTCAAATTGTTGTTCTGAATTCTGGCACCTCAATAGTTTTAGCTGCACGCTAAGCATTAAATTTATTTGATGGATAGTTACCCCCACCATGTCATTACCGTGCAACTCTATGGACATGATGCCATGACAGTTTAGAATCCAGTGGTTTCCATGCCAAACCCAAAACTCTGTAACCTTTCGTGGTATAGTGCTGCAGAACATTGGTAAAATCTCCTGGAACTAACCAAAAAAGTTTACCAACGTTAGGCTTCGTCAAAATGAGCAAACCCTGCATTTGACATAATTCCTTGGATATAAAACCAAATATCAAAACCAATTTCCTTTAACATCTTCAAAGGCTAATTTCTTCGAAATATTTATTATTTGACGTCAAACCAAGCTATATTATTTTGATTACAGTTTTAAAGAAAACGTATGGTAAAATTTTGAAATGCGTGCGAGATATAAAAAAACAGAAAAACGCTTTGAAACTGACTTCTTTAACCCGCCAAAGTACGAGTAGCCAATTATGACATGTCACCATAGAAGCCTCCCAAAGTGCTTTTTTCAGGCAAAACATCCTGATCCTAAATTTCAAATGCTGCAAAATCTCCTGATTTCTGTTGCATGTGGTGATCTTTGTTATCTGTATGCGTAAAAGCAACTGAATATGGAAAGATGAACAGAATAATCCTTTATGAAAGTTAAAAAGGTGCCTGGCTGTAACCGAAAGAAACAAAATATCACCCATCGCAGGAACTTTAACACCATAGACCTAATTAAACGGCCGAGTTTGCGCGTGTCTCCTATAGCTCAGTGACAGAGCGTCCACAGTATTTTAAATCGCAAGGTCGTAGGTCCGAATCCTAACAGGAGCACTCGGAATTTTTTTCCCTAATCAAAGTATGCCTGTGTAATTTTCTTAATAAAATCTTCCTTCACTTAAATTACCAGGCTTGAAATTTACCACCTTCATTTATATCATCACATCTAGAAATTCCTATTCTAGCAGCACACAGAATGTTTGTCACCATGGATCTAGTTAAACAGCCTAGATTGAATCAAGTCTCCTGTAATTGCGTGGTAGAGCATTCGAAGTATTTCTCCGAAGGTCGTTCCCTCGAATCCCGTTGGGAGCACTCGGAATTTTTTTTTTTCATCATACTATGCCTGCGTCGTTTACTGAAGGGTACTGCTTTCCCATAGATAACTAAGGTTAAAAATTACTCTCTTTATATACATCATCATTGCACATAAGCATCACATGACGACATTCCCACGTGATTCACGCAAGATTTTAAACCCAGTTAAAATCAAGCTTGCCGCGAGTCTTCTCTAACCTATAACTCGGTGGTAATACGCGTCCGAAGTACTACTCGGGAAGGTAGTAGGTTCAAGTCTATTTGAAGCAAAACTTAAGATGCTCCAGGTGATATTTAACAATTATTCAACTGGAGATACCAAAAAATAAGTGTATTTCTTTCAATATACCGAAAACAGGTCGGGAATTAAACTCTTGAAGTACGATTTTGTCTCGTCGGCGGCTCGGAAGTAAATATGCGTGTTATTCACTTCTAAACTAGCCAATAGTGAAGTTAACAATGACTTTCATGGTGCCTTTACCGGTACAAACCTGTTTGTGGTTGGCACAGACTTGTAATAGTTTCTGGAGCACCTTTTACATAAACATCCATATTGGGGGCACCAAGAGTACGACACACAACACTCATACGCTGCAGTTCTGAAGAAAATGGAAACTGTCGAAGGACAGCTATTTCATAGGGAGTCTAGATTGAGAAGAAACAAAATAAAATAAAATTTTCAAAAAGGCTTAATATAAAACCCAGTAAAACTTATGAAAAAGACTGTGCAGCTTCTAGAAAACTCACAGTAGGACTCTGAATGGCTAATAAGACGCTACTCACATGCCCTTTTAAAGCAGACTCGATAATGAACTCCTCAGCAGTTTTGGGTTTAACAATTGTGGGAACTATATTGTCAAACTTTGTATTGTCTTCCCCTGGCTCCTCGAGAATCTGCAATGAAAAAAGGGTAAGTTTGCACCCAGGAAACTCGCCCTCCTCCTCGCCCTCCTCAACAAAGCATTTATGAGAACTGGTCATATGGCTCACCACTGTCAAATAGAGCGTGGGCACACGTATCATTTATTATCAAGTGTCTTTACAAGCCCCTCTGGATATCACGTTACAAGGCCTCTCTTGGAGGTTTTTATGAACTATCATAAAGAGACATCACATATAAAATAAATCACACTATAGTAAAGATTTTAACAGGGGGTGCCAAAATGAATAGTTTTATTTTTTTTTTATATATAGTTAAAAAATTTGCTTTCTACATTGCTAATGTCACCATTGAACTTAATAATGGCAAAGCCCAACACAAAGTTCTCTGAAGCTCAGAAGTAGAGCATCATAGCCCATAATCAGAAGTCTTTAGTACCTGAGGGCGGTACTCGAGACCTTGGCACAGTTTTTCCCAATACGGAACTCCCGGCTGGCGAATAACATATATTTTCTCAGCGGGTACAGCAACGAATCCTGCAATCTGATAGGATCTTAGCGCGGTCCGTATTTTCTCTGCCCACGGGCACGGTAACGATTTCGTAAGTCGCCGAGTACATCCCTGCCTTCGTTGCCATTTTTCATACATATATCTAGTTTTTCCGGCTGGGCAGTATTTTTAAGCAAAAAAGTTGGTCACAACCTCAAGCCGATAAATAACTCATTGTTCCTCTCTTTTATCTCTCTCAATCACTTTGGTAGAGGAAAAAAATTAGTTTCGAAATTAATTTGTATAGGCAAAAGTGTCATTAAATTAGTTGACAAGCGACCTAAAAACCGTCTGTAACTAAGTACCGAGGAAATTGAAACGTGTGGTATTTGGTTACAATTGAGTTAATCGATGGAACTTTCATTCATTTAAGATCTGAATTCTCTCAAACAATTTGTTCGTAGCTCATCCTTCAACAGCACAAGTAAAAGATGCAACCTCCACCTTAAAGAAAATTACTAATCACGAGCCGCGCTGAATTGTCATCACTTAACAAACGCAATGAA